CTGGCGAGCAACTTGTTCAATAGCGTCGGTGGCCGTGCACAGTATCATCTGGGTCGTGAACCAAGATGCAGATGAAGCGGACCCCACAGATCCGGTACCGACCTGGTAATTGACGTCCCAACACCCCCGCTCGGAGCGCCGGTGCGTTGGCTCTTCAAAGGGGGGATGTAACGACGAGGACGTCTTCGAGAGATCGCGAGTAAGCCCAAATCGGACGCGGGAAGCACGAATCGCGTGACCAACTCCACCGATTGGGTTACCGCGACCGAAAAAACCGGTTCGGAGAATGGCAATTGGCGCATTAGATTTCAGCGTGCCTCGTACAACCTGTGGAGGCCCGAGCCAGTGCGGAAAAGGAAGAGATCGGTACCGCCACCAATAAATCAGTTGCGGTGCAGCGACACCCATTAGTTTAGTTTAGTTTAACAGTTTATCCAAGAATCTTGTATAAAAAGGATGTATTCAATAAAATAAGTCGGGGGCAGAAGCCGTAGCGACAAAAAATCCCCATAACTCGCTTCTCAACTCCAATCTTAGGTTAACAGGAACCTAACAGAGCGCTTCAACGGCCTGATCACCCGTACCGAAGCCTCTAAATCCTGCTCGGTTCACAACTAACCGACTCTCCTTGCCTCTCGCCCTCAAGTCGCTACCGACGCCCAAAGAAAGGATTTGGAGACTACGATTCCTAGTACGGACACCCACACAACCTGCTAGGAGACCCAAGTTGTCTTTACTGTAGTCTACCAACAAAAAATCCGTTACAAATGCCACCAGTTGCAGGTTGGCGTAAGAATCAAAGATAACAGGATCTTCGGAGCTCCACATCAAGAATTTCTCATGCTCGTCGAGCCTTATCCAGGCAAGGAGGATCAAACGAGGGGTACCGTCTTCTCGGACTTTTCGCAGGATTCGATCCTTGTCAGCTTTGGCTGCGGCAGCAATGTAGAGGTGGTGGGAACTCCACACGACTGCGTAGGGGTCATTCCCGAGGTGCCCGGCGCCTCGCTTCGGTTCTTTGGCAAAGAAGCTGAGCGCGCGGGGGTTGTTGCCCATCATCAGAGCCACTTGCGGGGTGCCCCAGATGATGGCTATGTTGTCCCAGACTTGGTCCCAGCCCTGCGTGGGCGTGCGGGGGTCCTCTTCCTTAGTCTCCGTGACCTCGGAAAGAGGTGCAGTCATCAAAATTGTTGATTCCGAGTGCTTGGGTGAATGAAAGAATCCGATGGTGTGGAATCCTTGATTAGCGGCGGCTGTCCTTTCCAGTTCCGAAGCCGAAAAAAGAGTCTCGGTGGTAGCAGACGTCAAGTCCAGCTCCACTATGTAAGACTTCTTGGACTCCTGTTTGGGTTTCCAACCTGCGGGCGTGGGTGCTCCATATGGTCCTTTCTTTCCATCTTCAGGATCTTTTCAGTTCGGGTTCTGCCAGCAGAAAACGTTCCAATGCTTTTTCTGACAGAATTTGCAGGGTGCTGGTGGTTCCTTGTTGGGGTCCGGAACCATCTTCTGAGGACCGTTGCGACCCTTTTTGGGGTTTCTGGTTTTATGTTGAGCCGTCTGCTTAGGGCCTTTGTCAGTTCCGGTCTTTTGTGACTTCTTCTGAGCTTCAGCAGCACCGCTGTAGCAAGGGTCTCGTTTTCTGGTGTCATCAGAGCCGAAATAAAGGCGCAGGAAGTCTTTTAATTTGGTCAGGTTCGTGACGTTACAGGATTTGACCATGATTTGGATGTCGCTGGGCAATTGTTCAACTATTAGGTCGAAATGCTGGTCAGCGGGACATTCTATGTTTGCCCGGTCACCGTATGCGAGGCGCCAGAGATGAGTTTTGTGGTCAATGAATGTGAGAAAGCTGCAAAATTCTTTGGGGTTTGCGTGGCAGCGCACATATTCGGTTTTGCGCTTGGACTCAGTTAGGGGATCTCGGAACTCTCGAAGCAGTTCTTCTTTCCACCTTTTCCAGGTCCATGAGCGAGTTTCCTGGGCTTCCAGAGTGTAAAACCAAGCATCGGCAGGGGTTTTCTCAGCTATCATGGCTGGTAGGAGCTGTACCATCCTGGCATCTGACGTTGCGCTAATGTTTTGAAGAAGTTGGACTTTGTTGAGCCATTCTTCAACGTCTTGGTTTCTTTTGCCCGTAAACTCGGGTACATCCTTTGCTTTCAAGGAATCGACCTTGGTGTCGCTGGCCCACGGGGCCGCTGGCACTTGGATTGGAGGCACCGGACCTGAAAAACTTGGTTCGGTATGCTCCCTTGGTGTGTCTGATGTTTCCCATGGGGTTGCGGACCATTCTCTTGTAGCTCGTGCTATGAGAGGTAGTTCAGGCAGCGGGCGATGCGCTAGGGCTTCTAAGGCTCGTGTGAGGTGCTCATCCGCCGCTGTCTGACGTTTGGAAAGCCTATGAAGCTGTTCCATAAGATTTTGAGTTGCCAACTGCATTGCAGCAGTCGAGCGGGCCATGTCTTCTTTTAACGCTGCCACTTCAGAGGCCATCGTGGCCAAGTTAGGGGCTTCCGGTTCGATGGAAGTGGTCCCTGAACGCCTTGGGCATGTTGCGGGAGGGACTTCGACGTCCTCCGCAGGACCCTGACTATGAGTCTGGATCACAGGTGAGCGGCCTTGCGTTGGAGAGCGTTCGACCGGCATCATTCTCGGTTTCATGAAGTCTGTTTCCGAAATGAGAGAAAAGGTTTCTGAGTAGCTACCTGAGCGGATCTCGGTTTGCGCAAGAGTTTCAGTATGACCGAATAAGGTTTTCAGCTGAATTTGAGAGGGGAAGGCAGTTCATCGCGCTTCTCCACCATGTAATGGATTTTTTGTTGGTAGACTATGGTAAAGACAACTTGGGTCTCCTAGCAGGTTGTGTGGGTGTCCGTACTAGGAATCGTAGTCTCCAAATCCTTTCTTTGGGCGTCGGTAGCGACTTGAGGGCGAGAGGCAAGGAGAGTCGGTTAGTTGTGAACCGAGCAGGATTTAGAGGCTTCAGTGCGGGTGATCAGGCCGTTGAAGCGCTCTGTTAGGTTCCTGTTAACCTAGGATTGGGGTTGAGAAGCTAGTTGTGGGGATTTTTTTGTCGCTATGGCTTCTGGCCACCAACTTATTTTATTGAATTCCTCTTTTTATACAAGAATATGCTACGGTAACATCTACACTAGTTTCTGTAGCCTTCATTAGGGTGGCGGCGTCCGATCTTCCCATCTCGGACCATCGCCATGATCGATCATGGCTGCGTAATGTATCCTTCACGCTGCGCTGGTGTAGCCCAGAACCGAGCTTGATCTTAGGGGTTTCGAAGCTTAGGTTACAATTGCGGAAACCTCAATCATGGTCACCTGATGCCTTTGAGCGAACCGGTTTATCAGAGTCGTTCACTACATCATCGTGGAATGTGTTTTGAAGGCTCGATCACGACAGATGGTACCTCGGTGTCAGTTTACTTGAAACATCCTGAAGCTGACAAGTATGGAAAGCGCAGCGGCGGAGGGAAAAAGTCAGCAAACACAATGGAGGCAGAGGTTAAAGTGCAATATGTGGAGAAAAACTTACCTGCTTGTCGAGTAGCAGAGAATGTTGTTGTTATCGACCCAAACAAGTGTGACATTCTCTACTGCCAAGACAGCATTGGTATGACATTTCGCTACACCTCCAACCAGCAAGCCATGGAGACAGGTAGCCGTTGACAGCAAAAGGAACGACAGCAGATGAAGAAGGGGGAAATTGACCTCATAGAATCACATATCCCTAGCCACAAAACAATGAACCTCATGGATTTTACTCGCTACCTTCTCATTCGCTGTGCTGATTCGGATCGTTGCAAGGAATTCTACTCACATCCTGCCCACACGCGGTGGAAGTGGCACTCCTTCATCAATCAGCAGCGAAGTGAATCAGACCTCATAAGTGCCATGCACAACAAATACAGTGAAAACTTTACCATTGTGATGGGTGATTGGAGCGATGCCGGTCGAACTGCCAGATTTCAGACCTCATCAAAGACAAAAGGTTGGCACACCATCTTTAAGCGGAACAGGATCAACTGCTTCCTTCTTGATGAGTACAAGACCTCATCTGTCTGCCCTCACTGTTCATCCGATGACTTCCTTGAAAAAGGCTTCAAAACACGACCTCATTCAAGACCTTGGTGACGAAGAGAAGGCAAGGTTGAAAAAGTCCATGGATTGCTGGGTTGTACCAACCCTAACTGTTTGCAGCAAGACTGGACATCGGGAATGCGCTACTGGAACAGGGACACACTGAGCACCTGCAATATGCTGATGATCGTGCAATCAATGTTGGATGGACATGGTAGACCAGAGGTGTTCAGCAGGAGTGTTCCAGCCGTAGCCTAGATTGGTTAGATTAGCTTTTCCGAACCGGTTATCGCCGGTTCAATCCCTGGTGCGGGTGCTAGTGCCAATACCCATCGGCTCCGCACTAACAATGATGATTGTGAACATACGATATGACTACAGATTTAAATATATTGGCAGAGGAACGTCTTAGGGTTACCTGTTTGTCCTGTCCGCCTTTGAAGAACACTGCGCTCCGTTTGTTTCTTGCATGGGTTTTTTTGAAACGTTTTTGCATTGGATAACAAAGATGCGATACAGTAGAACATTGGGAACGATGGGTTCAGACATTTTGGCGTAAAGGACGTTTGCACAATGTAGGTTTAGGTCAAACCCCCACATATTGGGATTCGGATAAGAATGTTGGTTTGGGGAAAGAGTTTGAACACATTGGGAAGAATAAAAAAACAAGAGTAATCCTTCATCTTTACAAACACAAAAAAGCCTTTTATTTACAAACCGGCAATCGGATACGTATTTCACAACGGTATACACCTTTTTTTCCTATATACAAGCCAGTTGACTTGTGAATTTCCATACGAGTTTCGACTTGGGTTTCGTTTGCCAAACTCTTAGTTTGGGTTACTTTTACTTTGCGGCTTTCTTCGCTCCACCTGGCGCGGGTGCTGCATTCTTCTGTGCCTTCTGGGAGTGCTACGGCCGGTAATTTCTTCCCTACGATTTTTTCTTTTCCGAGCTTCGACCCTTGAGGGGATGGAGCCTACCAAGGCGAGGACAACAAACAATGTGTGTAAATGCTTGAAAAGTAGCAGGTCATTCCTAAAGTCCTAGTCTTGTTTTCGTTTGTTGGTCAAGTTTTTGCAGTTGAATGAATGAAAGAAAGGATGTTATCTGCGTCGTTGTCTTTGTTTTGTCTTGGTTTGGGGTTTACGAGATACATGCTTTCCCAATACACATTTTTTTTGTTTTACATACAAGCCAGTCGAGTTTCGACATGGGCTTTTTCCCGTCGTTTGCTGAACTCTTTCAAGTGGGTTTGACCGGCGTTTATTTCTTTGCAGATAAAAGCGGTACGGCTTTATTTACAATGGTTTCAGAGGCCAGTACGGTCTTCTTTGTAGGCGTTAGGACTGTGAAGTGGTTTGATATATCTTGCCAACAAATCCCAAGTCTACCCTGCGTAGACAACGCAGAGGCTGTTAAACTGGGCTTGCGATATGCATTGTCTTTGAGCCATATCTGGAATAAACGATACATGACGAATCCCATTCGAAACTCCAACCATGATTTAAATGCATTTTTGCATAGTCTTTCTTTGAAGCATTCAGATGGAGGGAATGCATTTTAATGTGGGGAGTGTGATAAAATGCCCAGAATTCTTTGTTTATTTACATTCACAGATACTGACCCTCCCAATACATATTTTTGTGTTTCTATATACAAGCTAGTCCATTTCAAAGAATTTACAAAAGAGCTTAGACATGACCTTTTTCATCGTTGCTATACTCTGTCTGGATGTCCCGAATTTCTTTCCCTCATTTACACTATATACACTTTACTCTTTTTGTTTTTTTACCAAGCCGAAAGAGTCCATAGAGGAATTCACAAAAGTCTGGACATGGCACATTGATCATTTTTTCGGATTACCAACGCCGCCGGGTCGGGTAGGAGTAACAGGCCTGCCTGCCCCATTCTGAGGAGGAGGGCTCGGATATTTGTTAACTTTAACGGGAACTCTCTCGCCTTTTGGTAAGTTCGTTTTGGGGAGCACGGGCGGCTTTGGAGGGCGACCGATGGTCCCGGGAGTAACGTCAATGGCTGGCTTGGGTTTCGGCGGTGGGGCTTGCGGGGATGGAGCGGCCAGAGCTGACACGGCTAGCAAGGCGAGAACGACGAACAAGAATGCGTAGATGTTTGACAAGTAGCGGGCCATTTTTTGAGTAGTTGGATTTTGGTTTTCGTTTGTTGGAACTATCGAGTGTTTACTGATGATGAATGAATGGGGGGGAGTGTTATCCTGGTCGTCTTTTTATGCACATTGTCAGGCATAGAATACTTTACTATAGTCACTATTCGGGTCGCGGCATGCCGGTACCTGTTACATAATATTCCACACCCTGTTTTTTGTTGTATTCTGTACAGTGCTATCAACACCAGTTCTCATGTTCCGATAGGCTCTCTTGCAACATGTAAATGACATGAACAAATGCTGGTTACAAATCAATCCACTCTGTTTTTTGATAGCATTTGGCATACGCATACAAAATGCTATGAAAAAGATTACAGATGAGACGTGCGCTTTTGGTTTGTGATTTAAGATGGTGCGGGTGCGCATTAGCAAGCGAGTTCTTGTCTCTGTTTTGGGGTCATTGGGAGACGGGCTCGGGGTGCAATTTGAGAACGGCTCAACTTGAACAAAGAGATCATCAGAACGAGTTTCCAAAACCTGACATTGAAACGTTCCATTAAAGCACCAGTTGAAGCAACCCGCTTGCCAAAAAACAACCAATACAAAACCAAAAAGAACGCTTTTACGCAAGCACTCATCAACCCCTCTCGCAACATTATCCATCGGCGCATTCATCCCATCAACCAACAGAAAATATCTGTAAACAAGATAAAAAAAATATTTTCATAGAGACAATAATGATAAAAAGCCCTAGTTCATGTACAAAGATTGCCTCACCGCCTCAGCCATAGAAAAACCCGACCAGGGTTTTCCAAAAGCAGGGGATGCGTAATAAACAAAAGAAAGGGTTGGGTGTTGTAAAAGCGGAAAGCAACTGGCATGTACATGAAATCAACGTAAATAAAAAAAAGAGAAATGGAGAAAGCAATGTCAGTAGTAAAGTATTCTTGAATACAAGACTGGCTTATTGCCCCCATTTCTGTTTACATTTTACCATTCTATTTTACATTTTGGGGCTGTTATTTAAGACGCAAACTATATATCGCAAACTATGCAAATGACAAACATTATCTCATCTCGTTTGTTTGTTCATTTTCTATATTCCTGTAATATCCACATTAATAACACCCCATACTTTTGGAATATCCGTTTCCGTTTGACTTGAAAAAAGGCACTCGAATAAGACATCACTAATGTGCAAGACATATCCTCAAAGTCCTGAACGAAAAGGTGCCATCTCTCGTCGGATGAGATGCGTGTTGGCGGATCCTCACCATTGACACATACGTTCCCATCTCAAAATCAAATCGTTGAAAAGTTTATAACATTCATATTAGGCATCATAAATACAAAAAAAAAAAGATAAACACCTTTTCCGCTAAACAAAAAACAAGCCCACATTTTCTTGTACATTTCTCACGATTCCTGACACTTGTTTTTCGCCCTCAACTTTTCAACACCACACCAAATCCACGACCACAACGATAAACACAGCGGACTCGTTGACCGATTCCACACAATACGGTAGTCACTAGCGCGCAAGATAAATCAATGACCATCACCACCGTCACCAAATTGCCAAAAAAAAAAAAAAACCACCGCACACGGCCAACTCCATAGTTCTCGCAAAATCATTCGAGTCCGAAACCATCACCCCCGGAAAAAAACACCATCAACAAGCTCTTCACTCGCCATCCCCGCTGGATCCTCACCCATCATTCGCCCCACCATCATGACATCCTCCATTCCTTGTCCGTATCCATAGCCGTAGCCTCCATACACGTTATACGTATTGACATTGTACGAGGGGGGACGCGAGATGCCGTACGAGGCGTATTGGTGCTCGTAGGGGGGATAGTAGGGTTGGGAGGTGTTGGAGTGGGTGCGCGTCATGGCGGGCACCGCACCCATGCCCGGTCCCATGCCCGGGGGTCCCATTCCGGGTCCCATCGCGGCGGGTCCCATGCCGGGTACTGCCATCGGTGCTGGTGGTGCTGGTGGTGCTATGGGAGGTGCTTGGTCTTGCGAATGAGCGGAATGTGTGGGAGTCAAGGGCGTCTTTTCAGTCAACTGAAGCTCCGTCAACTGCTTCAACAAGACATCCAAGTCCACACCAGGTGGAATCGTCCCGGCTTTGGTCTGCATTTCCAAAAATTGCGCCAAAACAGTCTTGAGCATTTCGGGCGGGAGCGACGAAGGCTTGACGTTTTGCGGGGGTGTAGTTGGGGGATAGTCCATCATGAAATCGTCGTCTGAATCTCGACGGGGCCGCTTGCCGGATTTGGGCTTTGGAAACGTCGACAAGGAGGGCGCTGATGTGCCGTAATTCGTGGTGGGTTCCTGGCTGGCGGCTCTAGAGTGGATCGCCGGGTTGTATACGGTCGTGGGCACGATATGGGATGGGCTGCGCTGCATTGGTGTAGTACTTGTTGTAAATGACGGTGCAGACGTGGAAAGGACATTGGGGTGTGCCATGGGCGAACACGTCGTCAAGACCCCGCTTGTGTTGGTCCCCGCAATCGCGGGTTGATGTACGGTAGACATCGTAGCCATGGGACGGTGATGCGGGCGGGATGCAATGGGGGCTTTGGCAACCGGTGCACTGGATTGTTGTTGCTCTTTTCCCTTTTCCTTTTTAGGTCCCCTGTTGCGTTTGCGAATGACATCGCTCTTCATGGAGATAGGACGCACGACGCCGTGTAGTTTGTAAAAAAGGCCACAGGCGTTGCAGAGAGGGTCGCCATTGGCATCGCGGCGCCAAAGAGGCGTCTTGTTGGTGCCGCAGTTGGAACAAGCAGATGGCGGTACATACGACGATAATGACGACGAAGCTTGTGAGGAACTGCGCCGGCTGTTGCTGGCCGATTTGATTTTCCGCACGGGTTTGACGGTGGACGTGCTGCTTGTAGAAGCGACCGAAGACGAAAACTCGACGCCTGAATCGGGCGGCGGCGTTCCCGCCATGCTTGAATGCGGATTGTCGATGAGCGAAACAGTGGGCAGTGATCCACTTGCCCAGGAGGTTATGGGGGGCGATGAAGCGACATCGCCCGGTGGGAAATAAAGCTGTTCACCCGGGCCACCCAGAGTCCGATTGTCCCGGCTCACACTCGAGTGAGCATCGCTAATGTTTCCTGCGTGCGCGAGCAAGTCTGCGGCCTTGAGCGAGGCAGAAAGAGGACTTGTAGAAAGGGAGGGATGGTTGGGAACGGGTTGTTTGATGAATGGATCATCCATAGTAGTAGTTGTAGTAGGATCAGTAGTAACAAATCCAAACGGATCCCATGAATCGTCATCGAGTGTAAAGAAAGATTCAAGATACGAATGCTCCAGTTGCTTGCGCTCTCGTAAGAGTGACATGTGCATGAGCCTCCATGTCATATTCTCCAATCTCGCTCCATTGGGCAGAGCGTCCCGAGCGCGAGTACATAGTTTCCATACAGAGTGAGAATCCGCAGATGTTCTAGCACCCCGTATGAGCCACGAGAGTAGATTGTCCCCCTCCAGTTTGACCAACGTGTCTGTAAGCGATAGTGAGTTGAGTGTGAGTGAAAATGAGAGGAATGAGTGAAAACACTTACTAATAGAGTAGAGATGTGTGCGTGTGTGTGGGGAAAGAACTAGAGTTGCGTGTGCGTGTATGAATAGTCCAAATGACTTGCGTGCGTGAAAAGTTGTCGTTGTCCGTAAGTGTCCGTAGATGGTCGCTTGCGGGAGGAAGATTGAAATCACTCTCTCCTTACACACAAATGAACGATGATCCCCCAGACCAAAAATCCCGTTGTCCTTCCTTTACGCCAATAATGTCTGCGTGGGAATATCCTTGCCCCCAACCCCCCCTTCGCTCTCACGTGAGCTCAATTCATGACTAAGCATGTAGATTCCCGACACATTCCGCACAGATAACTTATCTTTTCATCTAGAATGAATTAGTATTCCATACTAGTTCAACACTGCCATTTGCATTTTCAACAGCACGCTTGTCCGAGCGGTCTAAGGAGCTGGTCTCAAGTTCCAGTCTCGAAAGAGGCGTGAGTTCGAATCTCACAGCGTGCACTTGCCGGCATCGTGAGAACTATTTTTACTTCTATTCCGTACATGTTGCAGGATGCTGAACATTCCTTTTGGCCGTTAGAGTTGATATTTCCATGGTAGATCTCATATCATTGTGTGACGAGAGGGAAACACTCGCATTACGGCAGTCCCCTGGCTTGCTTGCTAGTGCCTCTGGTGTGGTCAATTGAGATATCCTTCAATGTGCCAATGTCAAGTGCAGGTCCAGGTCGTATATTCACGGACATATATATATCAACGCTACAATGAACAAACGTTGACAAGTATATCACACATCGGCACACCCGGTTCCCAACCCCCGACCAAGTTTCAAAAACCGTTGCCGTGCATTCAAAGCCCCCAAACGCATTCCCACCGCCAAAAGTAAAAAAATCTAGGATCTTTTTACTTTTTTCCAGACTTTTTGGCCTCTGCCTGTTGCGCCTTGAGCACCCGCTTCACAATCTTTTGTTCCTCAATCAAAAAGGCACGGACAATGCTGCAATGAAGTTTGGCTTAGCTAGAATTCATGACATGACAAGAAAAAACAGTACACACCGAGAGCGGACGCAGATACCGCATCGGCTACCACCATAAGGCCGGGTGACGGACTTTTGACGGCGAGAAAGGCGGGAGTACTGGGTGGGGCGGAGAGCAGGGATCTAACAAAAATCATCAATACAAAAGGTCAGATTGTGGATTCCTCATGAGATGCACGCGACATGCTGTTCCCCGCTCCCCAAGAATTCCAATTTGTTGCATTGTCCTCCCGTTCGGTTTGTTTTTGTCATCCCCCATTTGCCCACCAGCTGTCCTATCCCAATCCAAACAACAAGTGTCGTCTCCGTCCATCGCCAATCCCATTTCAGACATTGGATGCTCACCCCTGAAAGGACGCTGCCGCAATCACCGCACTTGGGAGCCGACGCCTTCTTGACAATGTGAAGGACGGCCAACTTTCCACCTAAACGTTAAACCATGAGTTTACACATAGCCACTCCACACATTCGAAATGTTCACGACAAAACGCACCAGGCGTCTTGATGACCCGGGTCTTGTTGGACTTGGTGTTGTAGGACAACCGACGGCGGTACGTCACGCGCTGGACCATGTTGACTTTTACGAATGAAAGGATCAGAGGTTAGCTTCCAGGTCTGGCTTCCAATGTTTTTGCGACCCCTCCATCCATCCATCCATTCGTTTACATCCATCCATCCATCCTACATAAGTCTCATCTTCTCGCATCTCCAATCCTACGTTTGCATTTCGTTGATGCCCTTTCTCAAAAACCCACCTAAGTGTCGTTTAGGCCGTGGCAAGCTTTACTGGGAAAGGAAAAAGGAAGGAATCCTTCAAAAGACTGCAAGTGTGTGGGAATTCCCACGTTGGAATATCACGTGATAGTGGGAACGGAGTTATAAATTTATTATCGCACGTTCTCGGATTTACAATCCATCTTCCTCCTCCTCCTTCCTTGGCATTGTTCGTTGTGAGCGTCCCCCTCATCCCTTCCGATAAGGTTGCAGACTCCAATGAGATCCCCTCAACGCCGCTCGTCAGAGGCCCGTATCAATGGGGCAGTTCTGGTGGACTCTAGTTCGTCAGCATCCTTGGAAGGAGTCCCACCAGCAAGAGAACAAGACACAGTTCGTCAACGTGTACGGACAAGGTCCGGTGAGCAAGTTGAACTCTTAGAGCAGGTGGAACAGGCCAATGGAACAAAGACGTCTTCCTCCCGATTGACTCTCAAATATGAGGAACTGATGCCTTGGCAGATGGTGAGATAAGATAGCTTTAGGAGGCCTTCCAGGCACGTTTTCTTCTTGAAGCATCCTGAACTCTACTCCAACACTGTATTGTATAACAGTACCGTTAACCCTTTTCCTCATTCAAATTATCATAGGACAACTTTTACATCCGTAGTGGATACAGACGCCTTCAGAACTCGTACAAGGGCTGCATGAGATCTCTCTTCTACCTTCACAATGAAACCGGCAACATTTTCTCTCATTTTCTGGGAGCCCTAGGATTTGTCGCCTCCTTTTTTGTGACCTACGGATATGCAATCGAGGGAGTGGATACCGTTACATACGCGGATCAGACTGTGATAGCCGTATTTTTGTTCTCAGCGGTGGCGTGCCTTGGACTGTCAGCCTTCTTCCATACCTGCATATGTCATTCCCAGGATGTTTGCATTATGTGGAATAAAGCGGATTACGTAGGGATTGTCTTATTGATCTGGTATGGTCTGTCCGTTTGGGTCGGTCTTTTGCTGTTGTTCACCGTTTGTCTGGGATCACCATTAGCGGATCTACGGTACCCACGATATATTATGCGTTTTACTGTCATGATACCCTTAAAAGGATTTATCTCGCCATGACTACTCTCTTTGGAATCCTCACGGTGCGTTGTTGATTTGGAGTGGTATTCGCTTGGAAAGAAGTATTGTACTTTACCTGATGTTGATTGTTGCCGGTAGCTCTTTATGTGTTTATCGTCAAGATTCGCAACACCAGAATATCGATTCATTCGAACTGGAAACTTTGTTGCACTAGGGTTGTCTGGAGTGATACCCTTGCTGCATTCAATAAATCTGTATGGGGTAGGTACGCAATTACTTTCAACCATACACATTGTCTCTGATAACCTTGCCCCGATAGTTCAACTTTGTGTCCGGATCGCTGGCCTTTTGGAATCTTGTCATCATGGCCGCGCTCTATTTGGCGGGAGCCGTTATTTATGCGAGCAGAATACCAGAGCGATGGTACCCGGGCCGCTTTGACATTTGGGTAAGGGACCCAAGTCACTATCGTGCTGTTGTTATCAGTTGCTCATATTGTATACCTTATAGGGTCACTCACATCAAATATTCCATGTTCTGGTCGTATCGGCGGCTACGGTCCATTATTTTGGGGTCATGTCAGACTTTCGCTTCTGGCATGCGGAGAACCCGCACTGCTCCGTGCCAACAGATCAACTTGTTGCGCGGTTCAGCCATTAAAGTTTATTATATACGAGTATTATAGGTACAGAGATTTTGTGGAGCGAAAACAGCGGACCTTTTATTGGGTCGCTGTTTTGTGACAGAAAAGATCTTGTATTAATTTAGAGTAGAAAATACATTGGAAATGCGCGTTTAATCTCCAAGATGTCAGTGATTCCATAGTGCATTTCAACGACCGAACCAACGAACGATGCCCCATGCCTTCCTTGACATTCACATTGGAGACGCCGCGGCACACGCCGCCCTACAAAGCGCCTACGAGCGTACCATAGGCTTTATAGCCGCAAAAAGCAGCGAACTCGCCGTTGACCCACTTTGCAAGCCAGAAGATCTCGCAGATTGGCAACAGGAGATGGCTGTCGAAATGTACAATTCAGACCCAACCTGGCAGGAAAAGGTAAAATACGGCCTCTGAATAGGGCACACTTCACACCCAGTGTGAACGTGTGGGTTTTAGCGTTTTTGTATGAGGCAGGACACATTTGCTGAATTTTTCTTCCTGCATAAACAGGGGCCCATCAGACTGACCCCACCACCACCACCACGGGGAGGTCGAATCCTATTCACACTCTACGCCGACAAATGTCCCAAAACCGTTACAAATTTCCTCGCCCTTTGCACTGGATCAAAGGGCCTGTCTAAATCCACCAAAAAGCCATTACACTACAAATCCATTCCCATCCACCGCATCGTACGGGGTTTCGTCGCGCAAGGAGGAGATATCACCCGTTATGACGGATCAGGAGGAGACAGTATCTACGGCGGAACGTTCAACGATGAAAAAGAGGGGCTTAAACTCAAGTTTGAAAAAGGGGTGTTGGCTATGGCGAATTCCGGAAAGAATAGCAATACGAGTCAGTTTTTTGTTACGTTGGGTGAGGATCCAAAGAAATTGGCTAAAATGGATGGAAAGTATGTTGTCTTTGGGAAAGTTGTGGAGGGATGGGAGGTTTTGGACTTGTTGGATGCTGTTGGCACAGATGATGGGCGGCCTAGGGATCAAGTGCAAATTGTCGATTGTGGGGAACTACCTTAGAATCATTTTTCAGTAGATTGCTGCAATGGAAAAGAGTCTTTTTGATTCGTTTAATGTTGGATTTGGCAAGCACTACGATTACTCTGTAACGTCTCGCTGCTTTAACCGAGCACTGGAAGACCTTTGGACGCACTCTGCCATGTGTTTGCACAGTCTGCTGGACCATTATCTTCCATTTTCATCTCATCGTTTTTTGCATCATCTTGCCATGTTAAACCTTTTCCGTGCTCAGAGCGTCATCGTTTGAACACGGCCTGTGTTAAACTGGTGGGTTCATGATTCCAATCACATCATAACCATAGCAATGATTTCCAAATATGGTTATATAGAGAGCATTGGAGTGTGTTCCATCCACCTTCCGGAACCATCTGGCAATTTGTGTGTCATCTCGTACGGATGCTTCGTCATCATTTGGATAGTGTTATAAAAACGCAACCCTTTGGGCTTTCCCCCCCGTCGTTGTTTGAACTTATTGTTTACAAGAAGAAATGAATCCGGAAAACTTTACGGATAAAACGACTGCTATCCTAAACCGGGCACAGGAACTTGCCCGCGAGTTTGCGCACGTTCAACTAGCGCCCATTCATATCGCCTCGGCCCTCTTTGACGACGACGATGGCCTCGTTCGCTCCATAATAACAAAAGCGGGGGGTGACCCTGCTTTAGCGGAACGCAAATTAAAGTCCCTCCTCGTTCGACAGCCTACACAGGACCCGCCACCCGACCAGATATCGTTCCATCCAAACACAATGAAGGTCCTTCGCATGGCGGACGATATTCGGAAAAAGCAGAAAGACACACATCTCAGTATTGACCACTTGATCCTTGCGCTGATGGAGCAAAGTGAGATCATGGGCGCCCTTTCAGAGGCTGGTGTGACAAAGAAGGCTCTCGAAAACGCCATTCAACAAGTTAGAGGAAACCGACGGGTCGATTCCAAAAGCGCCGATTCAACATACGAGGCTCTATCTAAATACGCGGTCGATCTTGTCGCCATGGCCGAGGAAGGCAAGCTTGATCCGTGCATTGGACGTGATGATGAGATCCGCCGTGTGATACGCGTCCTTGCTCGCCGAACTAAAAATAATCCCGTACTGGTTGGTGAGCCCGGTGTCGGTAAGACGGCCATTGTGGAAGGACTAGCTCAGCGTATCGTGAGAAAAGATGTCCCGGCATCCTTGCAAGCGAGAATCTATTCACTTGACATGGGTGCCTTGATTGCGGGTGCGAAATACCGTGGAGAGTTTGAGGAACGTCTCAAGGCTGTTTTGAAGGAGGTCAAGGACGCCGAAGGTAATATTATCATGTTCATCGACGAGATACACACGGTCCTCGGCGCCGGCAAGACAGAAGGATCGATGGACGCCGCCAATCTTCTTAAACCTATGCTTGCTCGTGGCGAACTTCGGTTGATCGGCGCGACCACGCTCGGCGAATATCAAAAATACGTGGAAAAAGATGCAGCCTTTGAGCGCCGTTTCCAGATGGTGATGGTTGGTGAACCTTCGGTGGAAGCAACCATCTCGATTTTACGTGGTATTCGGGAGAAATGGGAGACCTTCCACGGTGTCCGCATTCTTGATGCTGCTCTTGTCACGGCTGCGACACTAGCCGATCGATACATTACGAACCGATTCCTCCCTGACAAGGCAATTGACCTGGTAGACGAAGCATGCGCGAACACACGTGTTCAACTTGACTCGCAACCCGAAATTATCGATACACTCGAACGAAAGCATCTGCAACTTGAAGTCGAAGCCACTGCCCTTGCGAAAGAGAATGACCCGGCCTCCCAGCAACGACTACAAAAGGTTCGCGAAGAAATGGCTCGCATTCGCGAACAATTGAGGCCTCTCAAGCTCCGGTATGAGCAAGAAAAGGGCCGAGTGGAGGAGATACGTGGCCTTAAGGCCAAGCTGGAGGAGCTTAAACACAAGATTTCGGAGGCTGAGCGACGCTACGATCTTGCATTGGCGGCCGACCTTCGATACTACGCTGTACCAGAGATTGAAAAGAAGATTGCAGAGCTCGAAGCAAAGCATAAAGAGGAAAAGGCACGAATGGCCGAAAATGCGACATCTGGAGCAGGTCAACTTGTTTCCGAAGTGGTCACCTCGGACCAGATCATGGAAGTCGTGGCTCGATGGACGGGAATTCCAGTGACAAAGCTCAACAAATCCCAAATTGATCGTCTACTCAATCTCGCCGATGTCTTGCATCAACGCGTCGTGGGACAAGACGAAGCTGTCAAAGCGGTTTCTGAAGCCATTCTGCGATCTCGCGCCGGCCTATCTAGTGGTGGTACGATTGGGTCCTTTTTGTTCCTAGGTCCGACGGGTGTGGGAAAAACAGAATTGGCCAAGACATTGGCAACGGAACTCTTTGACGATGACAAGAGAGGCCTTGTGCGCATTGATATGTCCGAGTATATGGAGCAACACACTGTCGCCCGTCTCATTGGTGCTCCGCCTGGTTACGTTGGATATGATGAAGGTGGCCAACTTACTGAAGCTGTGCGCCGGCATCCATACTGCGTTGTCTTGTTCGACGAGGTAGAAAAGGCCCACCCGCAAGTCCTGAATGTTCTTCTTCAAGTCTTGGACGATGGACGCCTCACGGATGGAAAAGGCCGCGTTGTAGATTTCCACAACACGGTGATCATCATGACATCCAATGTCGGATCCCACCTCCTCCAAACCCCCAAAGTTGACGAACCAGTCAAACAGGCTGTGATGATGGAAGTGCGACGAACCTTCAAGCCAGAACTCTTAAACCGGATCACAGATATTGTTATTTTCCACCCACTAGGCCATGACCATCTCCGCCAAATCGTCAAGATCCAACTCAAGGAAATTGCCAAGCGTCTCGAATCCAAGAACATTCAACTAAAGATCTCGGATGCTGCCGCTGATTTGGTCCTTGCTCGCGCTTATGACCCACTCTACGGTGCAAGGCCTTTACGCCGATACTTGGAACGTGTCCTTGTTACAAAATTGTCGAAAATGCTTATCAGTGGCGCCTTGACGGATCGCAGCGTTGCCTATGTTGAGACAGTCGAGGAGGCTGGTGACACGGTGCGTGCCAAACCCGAAGATTTGGAGGAAGGAATAGTGATTAGGGTAGAACGGGCGACTGAGAATGATATGGAGACGGATTGACTACGCTCGGACCTGAATGGTCGAATCAATGGAAGAAAACATGGGTGGGATGGACATGAAGATGGGATTGAGCAGCCGAAAAGGAAACGGCCATCGAGTAGGCTTTGAACTTTGGTTTTGTGTATATAATTTTCGGCTAGCTCTTCTTTGATTAGAGCTCTTCACTGTATACCTTTGATTTTTGCTTCTTGTATAAATATATCCATTTTCTAAAAACACAAATAACTTTGCCAACTTTATTAAACGACGGGACATGTCTGCAGGTCTTCAAATGCACATAACAAAATTAATATTCGTTCGAAAGAGTACATAATAAATACAAGGCAAAAAAGAACATACATCCAATTCACTCCCGCCCTCTTTCTTTTACCGGTTTCCTGTCAGGCATCTTCAGGATTGTCCCTGCACTAACGGTAGCACCGGCGCCGTAACAGAATTTTGTCCCGACTTTAAACTCAAGCTCAACCGAGACGTAAGCATCTTTTTCTTGTTATCCCGCTCTCGCATATTTAACAAAATATCCTTATTTCGTATGAGGGTGTCGATCATGGGCTGGAGTGGAGTTACCTTGTGAACAGTTTCAAGCACTGTAATAAAAAAAAAGAAAACATAATGTTTGAGCAAAAATCATAATCTGAACTAGAAATCCCAGAAAACGTTAACGTACTCGGTTGACAAAGGAATTCAATAAATCCAAGTTGACTTTGCGGGATATTCATATTATCTCTATCCATATAGGGACTCACAGGTAATCCCAACCGTTTCTCTTCATCCCCTTGACTAGCAAATTCCTTGATAAGACGATCTAGCCAGGCACAATAGACTGGCCATTCTCGGGTGAGGTTGGAGACGTCTGCGCATTTGATGAGCATTCGAAAGAGGAGGGCTCGGTCGTCGGGGTTCAGTTGGGGGTCAAAGGTTCCTGCAGCAGAGACCTGCCAAAACATAACAAACAAAATAATGTAGGGTTTAATCACACTTGTCTACTCCTTTGGTCTTTGCCCCATTTTTCGATTTTTTCCCTCCAACACACACCTTATTTTTAAACATGGCCAGTGTCGTAAAATGTCCAGCCATATCTGTTGCCATGACCATATCAATGACTTGTTCCCGTACTTTGCGGGCATCTTCCGTCGAAAATGCTGCAAGGATATTATTTTCTTCTTTGAGCATGATGCTAAAGCCTGTCGCCAAATGATGGTTCTCAAGAACAGAGCGGTCATTGTAGAGGATTGCTTTGGGGTTTTGAGTGACGATAAGGAAATTGTTGTTGACGCCGGGGTGATCCAGATCTGGTAGGGGTACGGGTAAGGACGAGTGCGTTAGATGGTGTTAATTTGACAAGGTATCTTGGTCACTCACCGTGGATGATCGCCGCTAGATAGGCTGCAAAACATTCGAGGTCTGTTGGGTTGAGTGTGGATGTTTTGATAAAACAGTGAATCGCTTGTAAAACATCTGCAGCGTGCGTTGCATTGTGATCTGCCAAAAACAAAAAGGTAAGTACCATAAAAGATAAAAAGTAAAATTCAAGAGGTCACTCGGGGGATGCAGGGAAATTCAAAATAGCACTCACAGGGTACTTCCGGTCGATAAACCGCTTCCACTTTTCTCAAAAATCTGGCCACACGGTCCATTGGGATTTTCAAGCGATCCCCTAATCCCCCTGCTTGCATTAAATGCATGCCCAAAACCGTTAATGGTCTCCCGCCCGTTAGAGCCTCAAACTCAAAAATCGACCACGACCAATGATCCACCGTCGATAACATATATCTCACTTTGATATTTTCCTTAAATGTATCTCCACGGTCAAGTGAAGCCCGTCGACGCAGTTCCCTTTCTTTGAGTGCCCCAACGGGCGTCAAAAGATGCGGCAAGTCAAGAAGCGGATAAGAATTAGGAAACCCAACCGACGGCCTGCCACCCGACTGAACCGACGACTGTGATCTTGACATTTCTCTATCAGGACCCGATAAACCTTCTTCAAGCGCCCCAAGTTGATCACTGGTAGTCATCGACGGGATCATGCCAGGTAAGCGTGGTATTGGAGGCTCAGATTTACTGGGACGGCCTCCTCCCTCGTCAACCATTTCGAGAACATTTTCCATCGGAGGGTGGACGTTGGAATCTCGACGGGAAACGTCCGATCGGGCGGATCGTGCTAGACGGCCTCTTCGGGAGGCTTTATTTTGACCTGGAAGTAGGTTTAACAGCCAAGCCTATAAAAGCCGTATTTTTGACGTAATGATCAGTGGAACCAGCGAAAATAGTCGAACGAAACATGACATGCAGCTACCTCTTGTTCTTGATCCAAGCCCATAAAGCCTCCACTAAGCTGTTTTCCCAGTTCCGGTGTGAAAAGTCTATCGCTATCACTGAGCCATCCCAACACCTTGCTAAGATGCTTAAACGTTGATGTATCCAGTGAAGGATTGGCCATGACACTTTTGACCGTTTGAATTGCCTTTTCTAGGGGGCTGTCCAGGTCTGCCGCTTGCAGACTGTACTGTTTCTGCAATCCTTTAAGCTTATTCTTGAGCCCTTCATTGACAGACTTTAATCCAGATGCGACAATAAACTGTCTCCGATCAGTCCGCTCCACTACCCGGGTGATCCACGTTGAAAACGCTGTCCCAACTACGAGATACCATAGAATGAATATATATGACAAGGAATTATGAGCGCTGAGGCGATCCCAGAAAATTCCGGCGTAGCATGCTACATCGATGATTCCAAATAGTAGGGTCATATGAGCTGGAAAGCAAGCCATGGATGGAATAGCAAAGACGCAAATTAAATTGAGAAGGCCGTAATTCCAAATGTCGCCTTCAGGATCAACGAATTTGGGTCTCAAGACTGATGTGAGCGCCAAAAGAGTTCCAGTTAGCTTACAAAAAAAGTCAAAGTCAAAACTTTTAAAAAATACGACTTTAGTGCACATACTGTAGTTTTGGACAACGCAGATGATCATGGCCGTACAGAAAAGCTGCTGGCATATGCGACTCATCACGTCCGCATGTGCGTATCGGTAAGCGACGAACAATATACCGAACGGAATGCCATTGCCGAGTACAAGAAAGAGTAGATCAGCTAGCCAGTTGTATCTGAAATGAAAGTATTGGACAATGGGATCAGAACGCCTTCGCCCTCTGGAATACGCTATTGCTTTTACTTACCGCTTGCCCGAGTTGCTCTCCAATGGACACCATCCGTGGGTCAACGCCGCACACCCTCGAGAATCAGAGACGAATGCAAGCACAATATATTGCGCATACACACAAACAACGGCCGATCCCATCAATAGTCCGACTCCAGCCCACCGTCGATGGTACGTTGCCCAAAACCATCGTTCATACTCCCTTTCCCGTTCCGTATCCTCAAACTTCATCATCAGCACCTTTCGCCATACATTCCAGGAAAAGTTCCAAAGCGGGCCTCGCGTCGTGGAATCCGTCAGATCTTCAGGAAAGACAACACCAGATGTGAAGCGACGAAAGAGACTGGATGGATGCGATTTTGTTACACTCGGCGTAATACTCCCCACCGCTGGACCAAACATTGGAAAATCCCATGATGCAGCCGTAGATGCAATGCCCGTCTCCGAATTCGGACCTACCCCGCTTACCCCGCTTCTGGTAGGTGCTTCTTCCTTGGACACGATCGATGTGCGACTTCCCCTACCCAGGGTCGCGTCCACCCCATATTTCAAACCATCCATTGCTACAGCTGTATCGTCCATACGTTTCCGCGATGATTCATGAAAATCCCGGCCTCTTTGTTCTTGTCGCTCCTCTGCGGGACTCAGATCCACTTGAAAAAAAGACATGAATACCCCCAGATTCTGTGCTTAGGTCATTTTGTGCGGGCGTCTAATGTGCCCTCAAGTTGTGTGTGTGTGTGTGTGTGTTTTGGGCGTCGATAGATTAAGTCATCGTCTTTAAACGCTTCCAATTGAATTATACTCCGATAAATGATCCTCAAGGGCTTCAGGCGTCGCGACACTGGGCCCAACGTGTTCTTGAATGAACGAACCCAGACTCCGACAAATGTAAATCCAGACCTATCAAACTATATCTCGTCCCAATTGCGCTAGTCAACTGGCGTATTGTTTTCATATAGTGTGAACCATCCGGTCCGGTCAAGTATCGGAACTCTGCCCACTCTATTTATTCGGAAGGCTAGACTTTTGAAAATCATAGGCTCCGCTATTGCAAAATCATATTCAAGTCTGGAGGACTTTTTTCCCAACGTGGGACTTATGTAAGGATCCTTCTACCAAGGCGTCGTTCCAACAACGGCGTGATGGGAGATCTTTTTCATTGAAAAGCCAAGGTCATATCGAAAATAGCCTTCTTGACTATGGAAATCAGAATCATGGAGCAACCAGTTAGGGTCTGAGATTAAGGGTATGATCAAAGGATCCGGAATTGGTACGGAGGTTCTCAATCCCGTCTTTGGTGTTGTAGGGCATTTAGACCTAGAGTAACTACAAATTGGGTGAGGTACCTGATACTTTGGCTAATTTGTATTATGCCGAATACGATAGACGAATGTGTCAAGCAGCTTTTGGCTTTCAACGACCAGTTGCGACAGCAGCAAGCTTCCCTCCGAAACTTGCAGGGCCAAATGAACTTGCTAATGTTGCAAGTGCAAGCGGTCGTCGACTCGGACAATCCAAATGACCCATGCTTAGCGGTACCGCCAAACATCCAATGCAGCCCTCAAATGGTCAGAGATGTCAGCACTACCTCACCTTATCCAACCTCACCGCTCATGGACGAAGAGGTAGAGCGAGCCATCAGCATGCAGTTTGATGCTGCCTCCGATATTGCCAGCGCCAGAACGCCCCCCTATGGACCTTCCGGTTTGCTCAAATCAATGTCCGGTGTTAGCGTGAGGGGACTTTTTGGCATGATTCGAAGTAAGACTGGCGACATATTTTTGGGTTCCGACGGCTCTTCAGGGCACAAAACGGCCTCACGCATTGGCTTGGCGACGATGAAAGCTATAAGCCGCGAGACGGTCAAATCTGAAAAACCCCATTGGCGTTCTATCAATAGCGTTCACACTGAAACAAGAGACATGCGGAAAAGAAGCATAACAGATCAACTTAAACCGCATTTTACTCTAGATACTTCAAGCAAGATTGACTTGAGTGAACGGAGTGAGAGCATGTCAAAATCCTTGGAGAGTCACGGTACGTAGTCTCTCCCATCTCTTCACCCAGCCCGTACTGTATGATAACTTTGTGGTATCGAACAGAATCCCTACATCAAGGATGCCCTCAAATTATCTTTTCACGAGGTAACACTACCAAAACCTGCATGAAGGCACAATTGTCTTTGCTGATCAAGGTGACTCTTGTACTGCAGAAAACGATGATTTGGAGGCTCAGGACGCAAATGATATTCGTAAGGAGGCCAGCAAAAGTGTCGTCCATCTTACGCCCCAACCAGAACCACCGGCGCCAATTCGAAAACCAGTTCCCGCAGCATCAGAGACAAAGTTGCAACGTCCCAGTCTGATTTCGAGTCTATATCTGATATATTGTGCCGTTCCTCGGTACAATGAATTCGGAGCTAAACTACTGGACACTGAGTTTGCCGTCCTGTTTAGCCAAGTGGATAATTACAACGCCTCGCACCTTTTACACCCACGGTCCGAATTCCGAACGTACTGGGATTTTTCAATGTCGTGTGCGTCATCTGGCTTTTTATTCCGTTGATGAATCAAACAAAACTGTTCTAACCTATGGAATATGTTTAGTTTTATATCTCATCATGCTGTTCGTCATTCCTATATCGGTCGGATTCCCAAAGGCGCAAGTGAATATGACGCCCTTCAGCATCAGCTTCACCTTCTTCTTCGCATGTGATAATTTAATTAATCTGTTTACTATTGCCTACCGCGAGGGTCTTCCATTAAGCACATGGGAGTCCTGCAAACGCTACCTATCTGGTCGATTCGCCCTAGATTTGTTCACAGCCCTCCCTTTGGATATCGTTTTCGCCGGATCCGATATACCCTACCCAGAGTGTTTCTTGCTTCTTCGCCTGTTCCGATTATGGAGCCTGTACACGATAGTTGTTTCCAATCCTTTGCATGGTCGCTTCAGCAACTGGTTCCAGCATGCCCTCGGTGTGGGTGGAAGTTTCATGAGTGTATGGCTCTTTGGTGCACTACTACTCATTTATTTGCATCTGTATGCGTGCGGGACCTTTTTGATGGGAAAATTGACCGGATACGTCAGTTGGGCGAATCTCCCGACCGTGCTAGAGAAATCTCCGAGTGAGCAATATACCTGGGCCTTTTTCGCGGCTATCGGAAACACCTTTCCCATCACTGGCTTCAGGTACGGGGGATAAAAAAGTTTCGATGACAAATTTCAACTGAGCGCCGCTCTCTTACTGAGGCCATCTACAGGCCAACTACCGCCTTGGAGCAATGGACTACGATCATATGTTGCCTAGTCGGTGCTCTGTTGTACGCTTCCCTCGTCGGTACAATTTCGTCCTTCAGCTTTGGTCTAGACTCTTCCGGTCGGATGTATAAACAGAAGATGGACGAAGTCAACGAGTACATGGCCTACAAAAATCTCGGCGATACCCTCAAACGCAAAGTACGATCATTCTTTCAACTCAAATACAGGGGAAAGTACTTTGATGAAGCGAGCATTCTGAAAGAATTGAATGATAGCTTGCGGCAGGTAACATTTCTCCAAAACCGGAGAAGGACCATCCTTCAATCCATCATTGATGAATTGTCCCGCGTCCAGGAAATCACTATTCACAATTGTAGAGACCTCATTGCCAAAGTAAACTTTTTATCCCGCAACGTTGGTGACGGTCGAGATCTCGATTTCCTTGGGCGTATCGCGAATGCACTCAAGGCTGTATACTACATCAAAGGAGATACGATATTTGAACAAGGAAAAGTAGGTTTACATGGATTGACCAGATGGTACACCTGACTTTAACTAACAACTACCTCTTTCAAAAAAGGTTGGAAACGAAATGTACTTTATTCTGTCAGGAATGGTCGAAATCATCGTTGCAAATAACCGCGTCGCAACATTATCAGATGGTGCCTTCTTTGGGGAAGTCGCCTTGCTAGGCCAAGTCCCTCGCACAGCGACAATTCGCGCCGCTGCCGATACTGTCGCTTATCGTCTCGACAGGTCTGACTTTGAAGCCATCTTGGCTGACTTTGACGATATGGCTATTAGAATTCGACTGGTGTATGAAGAGAGGATGGCCAAAGTTAGGAAGGAAAAGGAAATGGTGGCCAACCAGCAAGTAAATGAACCCAGTAAGAATGACAAGATTCCGGTTCCAGCAGAAAAGCCTGCTGGGATGAAGCCATCCGATGTGGGTGATCGCTTGCAGGTTTTTTATTTGCAGTCATATCGGCTTAAAAGAACATTTGATTCGACATTTAGGTTGACGAAGAGCAAGCATAGTTATATAGCATATATACCCCACTGGGAGGACAATCTCGCATGGCCAAATTAGGAAGGGGCAGGTTCTGACATGCGCTGGAAAAGCGGTTGTCGTATTCGCTCAGCATAATAATTATTGCACGGCCCAAATATTGGATACCCATTTGGTGATGGGCTACACTACAAAATGAAATCATCGCACCTTGCAATCGTGAGTGTTTCCCTCTCATCACGCACAATGATATGTGATCCAGACTCTAATGGCGAAAAGCTTGTCAAAAGGAATGTTGAGCATCCATTGGCAAGTGCACGCTGTGAGATTCGAACTCACGCCTCTTTCGAGACTGGAACTTGAGACCAGCTCCTTAGACCGCTCGGACAAGCGTGCTGTTGAAATTGCAAGTCGCTATGCTTTACAGGACGGGAATGAAAAGCACAGCAGGTAAACAGCAGGTAATGAAGGGCGATAAGAAATTTCGCTATGCCAATAACTGTCAGCAATTATGGAGTAATGGGGGGCCGCACGTTTTGCACCCAACTTTATATATCAAGTCGCTCATAAGAACAGCAAAAAATAAAAGAAATCCGGTTTGAACACAATGAGGAATACAAGCAGATTAAGCGGTAAACTCTTGAATGGAATAATCACAAACGGCACCAACGTCTGCGGCGCTTTAACGGCGAGCCGGGGGTCTCGGAGCAATATTTTATGGAACGGGTAACTCTAAGTTAAAACAAACATGCAATGGCTGGGGGGCTGAGGGGAGTGTGATCTTTTACAAGTTAGGGCTGAATCGGGGCGTTCAAAAAAACCAAGTTTCACACTCACCACTTGTCTCCAATTGCATTCAAACGCGTTTCATGTGGTTCCACAACCAGTGCATGAGAATGGAATTCAGAATGGAATCTATTGTCAAGTGGATGGAATGCACTTTATAACCTGATAAGATTTGTTGGAATGCCTCGATTTCAATTGTGTTGCATTTTAGTTATCGAGTCTTTTTGTTCTTGTTCTTTGCCCAAAACAAGCTCGATTGCTCAAGATTATATATGAATGCAAAAGGGACCCTCCCCCGCAAAACACACACACACACACTCACGAACGGACTTGCAGCGCATCTGACGACATTCATTCCCTGGGTGTGTCATATCGATACATAGCGCTTTGCTGAGTACAGTTGTAAAAAAGTTATTAAAAGTCGAGAAAGAACGTACGAAATCTCTCAAGTTGCTGAAAAGCAAGGTTGACCAACCTCATTCAACAACACAAGAAACAACTCTCAACACACACACACAAGAGATTGTTGAAGGCTCAGCATAAAATCGAATTGGAAAAAAGAAAAGGAGGTAAAAAGGCGGTTAAAATGCCACGTTTTGATGAGTTAATGGAATTTTCAATTAATTTCCTTCTCCTCGACAGGAGGTGAACAGTGTGGTTGGGCTTTTTCAACATTTTGAACAACTCCTTTACTATTTGGCACTGCCCATTACGTAGGTATTTTTGATGCGCTCGAGGGTGTCAAAAGCCTTCTTTTGCTCGCCGTGTTTTTTACGCGTTCTTCTTGGAACACTTTAACTGAAATCACACATGTTTATCCCTTTCCTTCCACACGCCAGTTCCCTCGCACGATTCGTAAAATACCCCGCACTGTCCCGATTGACGTGCGCTGCATTTGACAGTGGAAAAGCCCTGAAAGCCCAATATTTGACATCGCGTTCCCCCTCTTACAAGGTTGCAACTCTGGTTAAAGGTGCTTTGTCGTTTTTCTGCGCAGTATCGAAAACGGATCTGTCGGTATGTATGACGCTTGTCAATTGCTACTCTCGGTGAAAGCTCTATAAAGACGCCGCGTGTTCACTTGGTTCTCCATCATTGACCAATCTCTCCATTCTCCACTTTGAAGACAGTGCTCACCCAACATTGCTCTCGTGCAGCCAACCATCTCATGTTTCGCTTCTTCAAATCACGCAAGGCTCAGTCGAGCAAAGTAGAGTCGGCCCAATCAGGTTCGACCAAATCAGGGCCAGTGACGGTTATCGAAGCAGCTGTCAAATCCGCAAACCCAACACCCTCCATTCCAAGTTTGCAAAACATCACTGTCCAGCCTCCGGATTCAGCCGAATCACTAAAGAACTCATACAAGACCTCCTCGTTGCCATCCTTTACTACGGACAAGTCTGCATCCAATGGGCTCCAGCAGCAGCCCAATAGCGCCCGGCGCGAGTGGCGTCAGAGGAGGGCATCTCTCATGGTTGTTCCTCCTCCTACCCCAGCCCCCACGCCACCAACTCCGACCTCGAAGCCTGCTCCTGACATGAAACAAGCGAAAGCCCGACCTCTTTCCGCAATTGTGGAACCTTCCAGGACGAGAACTGGGACAGCTGGCGAAAATCCACATCACAGGCGCCGCAGATCATCTGTTATTGATCCTTCGACTTTGAAATTTCCGGAACTAAATAAGAGTACCGACATGACTCTCCGTGAGAAACCGACATACACCCGGGCCGATTCTGCTGTCTCCCTCGTATCATCCTCCCAAAGTTCCAACGACGACAACGAGAATATCGCATTGGGTCTGCTGTCAAAAGCATCACATTTCCTACCACCGGCGCTATCTGCTGACAAACAGAGACGACTGAGCCAAATTCCAGCCATTCCACCCGCTCCTATGCCACCCACCATGACTCCGTTTCCGCAGCTGGCGCTCGAAGACGACGATGAACTCCCGTTATTCATTGTTCAACAGGGTCTCACTGACAAAAGCGGCAAACGCGGACTACAATCTACTACTTTATCCACCAATACTGACAAGCCAAAGCATCGCCGCCATTCTCGAACTTCATCTTTTCACGCCGTCAATGTAGAGTCAGCAAACGCTTCAGTTAAACGTAGCAGAAGGTCGAGCATGTCGAGCATGAGTTCGGACTGCGTCAAAGTGACGGTTCCTCATCAGAATTATTATATGCCGATGCAATGTTCTCGAGCGTACGGTCAGCAGCGGACGACATTTGTAGATCTCAACGCAGATATTCAGGCATATGCACCTCTTCTTGCGCAGCAATATGGTTCTTGGATGGGTACTGTGGGGATGGTGAAGCAATGATTTTATAATTGTAATTATGCCAGCAGTGATTGAATTTAGGGATTGGCTTTTATCTTTCAGTATATATTGCATCCAAGTAATAGATCGCTATTAGGTTGTTCATAAACAAACCCCTTTATTGTTCTCCTTGTGCGGTAATCCGCCACCTTTCTCATTCAGAATAAAACCGTGACCTGAATATTCGATAGACCTGAAGGGCTTGCGGCTGCCTTGCCAGAATCCAGACTACTAGCTTGCGGGTTCTGTAACCCCCACACAAGTTGACAGGGACGGCCTGCAGGTTGGGAATGAGACAAGCATACATGGATATTCTCTCAATTCAGATGCCTTGCCATGATGTTTGCAAGCTTGTAAACCAAGTAAATCAGCGCTTTGAACACTTGTGTGGTTGGAGGTGTTCAAATCCGACAAGTCGGTTGCCAAGAGCGGTTGCTACCCTATCCGGTTAAAAATTTGCGAACCTGGTCATGCAAATTTATTCGGTGGCACAGCTGCTCATCCATTCCCCCCCTTGTTGACGAAAGTGGAACGAAACCTCTCCCGTCAACACCAACTTGTCGTTTTGTTGAAATCTCGTCGACATTTTGCAGTTTGTTCTTCCTCGCATTTCTCGTCCATTGAACTAGGGGAATTGCCTGTCGCTCGGAGCTTCCAAATATTCTCTGCAAATAACGTTCCGTCAGAGTTGCATTCACCTGCCGGTCGGTTGTTAATCCGAGTGAAATCGATTTGACATTGTTTCGCAATTGTTGGAGCAGTTTCCAATTACTAGGTAGGTTCAGACAGGGACGAATATTAGACATAGTTTGGACTTTCTGAAATATACTATAATGTCTGCGGGCATAGCGTTTGAACTGACATTTGTTCCTCTCCCCAGCATTACTGGTACCGGCGGAAAAGCGTACCACAAGCACCGCATACTCTTTTATTTGCTACAAAAATAGGCCTCAGTCAATCAAAGGAAGAAAAAGGATCATCATCTCATCCGCACATTTCCCGTCATCCCCTTGCCCCGAGCGGTTGTTCCCATGTATACCGAAGTGCGAACAGCAGCCACGTTTCTCGCCAAATTCCTGCAAAGCAAATCCTCATCTGCTTCCGCAACGGCAGAACGTCTACTGACGTTTGAGCAGGCCCTTGTGGATCGGCTGATGGAAAGATTCAAAGGACATTGGGATCCGCAGCGGCCTTGTAAAGGAAACGCGTTTAGAGCAGTCTGTGTATTGAATGGAGTGGTGGATCGTGTTGTGGTGGAAGCGCTGATGGCTGCGGGAATAAAAGCAGAAGGTAAGTTCTCTCCGCCCAAAGAGCGAAAAGAGGATAGCAGTCCTTTCATCATGGTTCCGCCATCTAAGGTTCAACACTAACCCTCTTTATCAGAACTCAACTTCCCAACAGAACTCGTGCTATGGATTGATCCACATTGCGTAAGTTATCGGATCGGCGATTTTGGCCAGGTCGTAACGGTATGGGAGAACAAGACTGCGTTAGATTCGGACGCTGTCGAGGTGCCCCATTTTTTCAAAACGAATAACCGGACGAGATCCCCGTCGTTCGGCCGCTCTCAAGCGCAGACGCCACCACCCATGTCGCAAGGACAACCCCAGACCCCCCCACCTTTATCTTCCATGCACCCCCACTCGCAATATCCTTATCAAAAAGCCGTGATGGCCAATTGATTTTTTTGTTATGAATTATCACTCTGTGTCTCTTATCTTGTGTAAGATGGATCTTCTGCTGTACAAAGTTTGTATTGTCATTAATTACATACAATCCGTTTTATGTCTGTGTTTTCTGTGGGCGATTGATGCTTGCGATGGATTACCATCTTGTTGATGATTACCCTTTGTGATGTCGTCACGTGATAGAATGAAATGGAAATCAGAACTGAATCGCTGCCTCCACTGGTGCCCAATCTATCCGAAAGGAAATCCATCTAGTTCCCACGTTCTGCATTACTTCTTTGTACAGCAAGAAACAGCCATTGCTGTGCAGTCATCGTTGCTTCTTGTCGTGATATAGGCAACACACTTCTCCAGGCGGATTACTTGTTCATATTCCCACGAGGTAAACTGCTTTTGTGTACGGGCGTTGTTTTCTCCGCTGGATGCGTTTTGATCGCTGAGCTGACATTTCCTTATGCCAATTGGCGTACAGAGTCTTTAATATACCCAAGGTAGTGGCGTTCTCACCCCAGTTCTTATGGTTGTGTTGTCGTTGTTCTCTGGTGCTGGGCACTTGAGGACGGTATATGAATGGGCAAGGACTTCGGGACTTGTGAGCTAATTGATATCGCACGGGCCAATTCCCGTTGCGGCGTGAGTAGAAGACATCTTTCTGACCCTGTGTATGCTTTTTCTGATCCTGTTGGGATAGCATTCGGATGTGGGACGCGGGCGCTTACGATGTAAATTCCGCTAACGGATATGATCCTTCGTATTATGGAGCCGAATGGAATGGATATCAGGATGTTGGCGACCCGGCGCCGCCGGGAGTTGATCCTGCGCCCCCTGGAGTAGATCAAGGTTGGTGATCGATGACATGTTTTTTTACGTTCATTGACGTGTAAGCTGACAAGTTGTTTGCCATGAATCTAGCTCAAGGTTGGTCAACAACAGGGCAACAATGGGCAGAACACACAGAGTCTGGGGCTCAGTCGGGTGTTCCCACCGCCAGCACAATAGAACCCGTAGTTGAGACCTCATCAGTGTCGACACTTCAAGCACCAGACTCTAATGGCAAAATTGATCCACCTAGCGCTGTAGCTGGTGCGGCAGCTGCTATACCGTCGGAAGGGGCTGAGGCAACGGCGTCTGCTGTGCAAGGAGATTGGTCACAGTACCAGGGGTATGACTATACGGCCTACAGTGGCTATGGATATTATGACCCTAACACCGCCTACTATGGAACCGCTGGATATCAGTATACGGGACAAGCTTATGGCCAATATTACGGTACTGCATATGCTGCTGCTGCGGGTATGGGTCCAGGCGATGGAAAGATCCTTTTGAGTGTCGAATATGGCTGCTAATCATCCGACATTCCTTGTAGCGGCCCCTAAAGAAATCCACAATCCTTTTGAAGAAATGAAAAAGAAGCAAGTTGAAGAAGCGAAACCAGTTGAGAAGAAGGTTGTAGAGAAAAGGAAAGTTGTTGTTATCCGACCAAAGCTTGGCCCAAAGGACAAACATGGCGTAAAATTGGAGAATGCTTCGGATCAGGAAAAGCTGGACAGCACAGAGAAAGAGCCTTCTGCAAGTAACGGCTGTGCTAATGGTCATAATCTGCAGAATGTAATACCTGTTGCTCGTCTTGATAAGCAACCTGAGCAGGGCGACGTGAGCGTTCAAGCTGCCCAGCTGGATATCAATGATCAGGTTGACAAACTGGTTAAAGAGGTACATGCGGCGAGAAGCTTGAAAGAAGATAATGGCCGGACTGCGAAGAAAGAGGTTAGTGCTAAACGGAATTCTCTTCCAAATTGATGGTCCAAGCGAGTACTTAGTAACCTGCTGTTATTAGCCTGCAGCGAGAGCCATGGCAGATGAGACTAGTAAGCCCACAGGTGCCGGCTCTTTGGAAGTCGCATTGCAAGAAAAGGAAAATATAACAGGGGGTGGCGACGGCAGTTTAAAATACGGCGACCGAGCAGGCTCGATTAAAGACAACGACGCTGAGGTGAGAGCGCCTAGAGTTAATGGCGAAAAGATATTGGAGGAGGCGGCAGGTACGTCCTCGTTGGGGGCCCTTCCTGTACCAAGTGCTCTTTGCTGATAATCTTATTTCCAAAGATATGGATGTTGATCCCTCTGATGACGATGAACTCGTTCTGACAGATTCGGATGAACCGAAAGCATTACGGTCGCGGGTTCTAGCTGATAAACGAGCCGCCGCAGCGAACAACCGAGTTGAATTACGTATTGGTCAAGGCCGAACATCGTCGTCAGCAGCTGTTCCTTTCTTCGTGGAAGGAACAGACGTAAATGGAGATACCAAAGGGAGCAGAGTGTCCATGACAAGCAAGCAAATCAGTAGCCGAAATGCAGCAGCTGAAGCTTTAGCTGCTGCTCGGGCAGCAGCAGCTAACATAAATAAAAGGGAGGGGTATCGTGATGATCACCGTCCACGGCGGGGACGAGGACGTGACAGGTACACTTCGAGACGGTATGGAAGGTACCGAAGGTCGTCACGATCCCCGTCCATGTCTCGATCGCGGTCGCGTTCAAGGTCTCGTCCCCGGTCTCGTTCCATGTCCAAATCGCGTTCTCCTGACCGCCGCCGGCACAGCAATGGACGCACATTATCGCCGTCAAACTTATCTGCAGGCGACCGGTCATATCATTCAAAGCGCGATGTGCCGAGGCGCCGTTCGCCATCAGCTGAGTATCGTCCTTCGCAGACTAATCGTGACGCTAAGGGAAGGCGCGCCGACGTGCATGAGTTCCCGGCTTATTCCCACCACACTAGCGACATACGACGTGGAACCAATGCGTTAGGACGTGACGGGGAAGAGCGTCCAATTCGTCGACGTTCCAGATCGCCATTGAAGCATTCTTTGGCTGAGCCGGGTTTAAGTTCGGATAGTGCGTCTGAGAGTGAGGCTGCAATTGGCATCGATGCTGCTAAGTTGTCCCGGAAGGAAGGCGATAAGTCTGGAGAACGCCATCACAGAGATAGTAGCAAACGCAGCAAGCACCGTCGTCACAAATCCAGCCGCAGTTCCCGTACGGAGAAACAGGACAGCGACACGGAATCCCTTCAACCAGAAGGAAAACTTTTAGACGATGCCTCTTTGGAAGCGGATGTCCGTCGTGAACATAAGACAAGTCCTAGCAGTGGCAGAAAAGAGCACAGAAGCAGCAAGCACAAGCACAGCCGTCACAAAAGCAGTCGGCATAAATCCAGTTCATCTAGCAAGCGCGAAGAAAACGAAGAGGGACGACACCGATCACGCCGTAAGCGTGAGGATGAGGAAACTCACGACGAACGAGCAAAGAGGAGACGAGAGTTGGACGAGAAGGCAGACAGTGGGATCACCGTACATTAACTAACCATGCATGGATATGTGTAGGATTTCCATCTTGTGAACACGGTGGCCAGTGGTTTGCAACGGAAAGGGCCAGACATTGTATTCTAATTCTTTGAAATATCATCATGTGCCTTTCTTCTCTTGGATGTGCCATTTCATGAAATGTGTTCTGTTTATCATATCCATGTGCCTATGTAGTTATTTCATATTCAGTTCATTCTTCCTCCTCTTCTGTCGCGTGGCTTGGGTCCTCTTCGGACGATCACAGTCTTCGGACAACCTAGAGTGGCACAGCACTTGTCGGGGCGATCGACGTTGGCTTCTGGTGCGCATCGACGACTTGTCCATATCACAACGTAGTTCAAGTAAGGGACTAGACTTTTAAAACATGGTGGAGAAAGGGGACCGTCCTGACCTGAATCTAGGTATGTTCTACCTGACCAATTTCATTTACACGCCCTCATTTAACTAAAGTGTTTATCTTACGATTGTCATTTGCGTAGACCGTCCAAGCGAGCAAGGCTTCATAACGTTTTTCAAAGGGCTACCAGAGGTCTGGATGCTTATTCTACTGCTGGGGAATGGAGTGGTGGTTGATGAAAAGGCTCAAGCAACTTTACCTTCTTGTAGAAACCCGAGACTACCATTCGGTTATTTGAGCGAAATGTAGGCATACTTTCCATATAACGACAATGCGGGTGGACATAAATGGAAACTGGAAACTAATAATACGTCTATCATATTCAGGACTATTACAGTGTCCATGGCGATGATGCAATCTTTGTTGCTCAAACCGTATACAAGACATCAACAGTCATTAAATACCTTGGAGGTATGTATCCTTTATCGGTGTCGCTCTACGTTGCCAAAGATGATGACTGAATGTGACGATACGTAGGAGAAGGACCCAAAGCCCTTCCCAGTTGCACATTATCCAAACTGAATACCAATGCGCTTCTCCGTGACTTGCTATTGGTGAATTTGTATCGCGTGGAAATTTGGTCTATGGAAGGACGGCAGTGGCGGATTTCCAAGCGAGTAGGGTCTTGAGATACGTTTGTTGGGGTGTGAAACGTCCTGATTGCTTTTTTAGGCATCTCCGGGGAATTTGGTGGATGTCGAGGATATGTTGTTCACGAATAATGAAGTTGCGTCTTCACCTGTTGTCCTTGCCTTGCGAGTCGGGACAAAGAACGACCAAAAGGTAGCGGAAATGTAGGGGCTGGATTTTACTCGAAGGACACCACTAATTCAGCTTCTTTTTGATTTTGCTTGGCGCTAGTTGGTGGGTGTGGCATATACGGATGCCACCACAATGCGAGTTATCGGTGTGTCCGAGTTTGTAGATAATGACACGTTTTCCAATGTTGAGGTACTTGCTCCATAAATGTTGAAGCCTTTGCTGTACATGGGCTTATGGCACAACCTTTAGTCACTGCTTATCCAACTCAGCGTAAAGGAATGCGTGATCGCCGAAGATACACAAAGCTATGAGCTTAAGAAGATTGAAGCCATCCTTGATCGATGCGGTATTGTTGTTACCCCCAGGAAGAAAGGTGATTGACCTTGTTACGGGCATGATATCGCCTGATTGGAGCAGTTGGTTTATTGAATTGATTTTGGCAGGTGACTTTCAGTGCAAGGATATTGAGCAAGATCTTAATAGACTACTCGATGATGATGTCTCCCCATCTGCTTTACGTCAGTTTTTGATTTCTTTTTAGAATCGACCGTCTGAGTGTGTTCCTAATTTCTCATTGTCATTTTAGCCGAATTCGAACTTAAACTGGCGATGGGTTGTGTGGCTTGCTTGATCAAGTACCTTGCAGTATGTTTTCAATCTTGATGCGGAGATTTGCTACGTTAATGTGTCACTGTTGACTTTTGTGCGACTGACAGCTCCTAACCGATGAGTCCAATTTTCATCAATATACCCTACAACATTACGATTTCTCGCAGTACATGCGCCTAGACGCCGCCGCTGTCCGTGCTTTAAACCTCATGCCTGGACCTCAGGATGGTAAGCCCGCAATGACAGCTCACTGAATTCTCGCACTACCATGGTGATACTTTATGTGGTGTAGGATCAAATAAAAGCATGAGCTTATATGGACTGCTGAATAAATGTAAAACGGCGCAGGGATCAAGGCTCATGGCTCAGTGGTTGAAACAGCCTTTGATGAGCTTACCTGAAATTCGTGAGTTGATCATTCTACACCTAGCGGCCTTGGAAGAATGTTATTAATGCGTTGTTCTTGCTTTTGTGTGAATGTAGAGATGAGGCACGATATTGTTGAGGCTTTGGTGAATGATACAGAATTGAGGCAAGGGCTCCAGGTATGGCGGTAACAACGTTCTTGTCAGTTTGCAAGTTTTTCTTATTGGTCTTACCGGGGTTTGCAGGAAGAGCATCTGAGAAATTTCCCGGATCTCCATCGTCTTGCGAAGCGGTTTCAACGGGGAAATGCTCATCTCCAAGTATGCTCATGACCACCTTTCTGCAACATTTATTGGCTCAGAACCTTACATTTCACCGGATGGCGTTTTTAACAGGACGTTGTGCGCGTATACCAAGTCGTTATTCGCCTTCCAACATTGAAAGGAGCGCTAGAAGCTTATGGTGATCAACATGCACCCCTACTGAAAGAAACATACGTCGAGAAGCTGGATGTTAGTCCATGTATGCACTACTTGAACGCGGGGACTTACGAGCTAAACGAATGTTTCTTGTAAAGGAATACATGGAGCATCTATCCAAATTGCAAGAGCTGGTGGAAACCACGATTGATCTGGAAGCGGTTGAAAATCATGATTTCCGGATAAAGGCAGATTATGATCAGGAGCTGCAAGGTTCGAGCTTTTTCATGTGCCCTTGTGTGTGGTGTCGTTCTTTATGACCGACACTCGTTATGATCCAGATATGCGGGACAAGATGGTCGAGATATTTGAGCAGTTAGAGCCTGAAGCTATACGGGTTTGTGTCATTTTCTTACTTTATGATTCTCCATATCACTCATATATGACAATGTAGGTTGCGGATGAGTTGGGATTGGAGTTTGAAAAAAAGTTGAAGTTTGAAAAAAATTCACAATATGGTTATATCATGCGGCTGACGCGCAAGGTACCCTTCATCAACGACCACCTATCCCTTGGCGTTATCTTGGTCTTGACGATGTTCGATAGGATGCCTCCGTACTTCGTGGTCAGCGGGAATACATTGAACTTGCAACGCGAAAGGATGGGGTGTATTTTACCACCTCAACGTTGAGAAGGTTGAGCAACGATTACTCTGATTTGTCGGCACAATATGAAAAAGTTCAGTCGAATTTGGTGAAGGATGTTATAGAAATCACTGGTTAGTTTCCCTTGCGCTTTGTTGGCTGCTTAAACAAGGTCCCGAAGGTGATCAGTAGCTGATTTATTGATAATATAGCATCATACTTTCCGGTACTGGAGCTGTTGAATCAGTTGATTGCCCATTTGGATGTTCTTGTTAGGTAGTGTTTCGTTCAACTCTTTGATAGCTGAGAGGAACATATCGAAACTAAAACTATCTATTTGGGCAGCTTTGCGCACGCATCCATTCATGCACCTACGCCGTACGTGCGTCCAAAGCTGACAAACCGAGGTAAGAAAAGGGACAACTTTTTGGCGCGCAATGAGTCGCTATTGAGTATTTTGACTGCAGGGGAAAGGCGATGTCGTGGTTTGAAGCAGCGCGACATCCCATGTTTTAGAGGATGCAGGATGGGGTCATTCATTTGATAATGACGTTTGAAAATGCTGGCGTGGTATGTACCGATGGGCTATGGGTGGGTGATGGGAACTCCCTATCTGATTAGCCATGACGGATCACAAGATTCGAGTTCGTTCCAGATCATCACTGGGCCGAACATGGGTGGAAAAAGTACTTACATCCGGCAGGTGAGTCCGCTTAGATCTCTCTGTCGACAGCGCATGAAGCGCTTAGTTACGTTTACGGACTTTTAGATCGGGATGGTTGCGCTGATGGCACAAATTGGATGCTTTGTACCATGCCGAGAAGCCCGGTTGTGTGTTTTTGATTCCATTTTGGCAAGAGTGGGAGCTGGCGATAGTACCTTGAAAGGCGTGTCGACGTTTATGGCCGAGATGCTGGAGACGGCAGCCATTTTACGGGTGAGTAGATGGGAATAGCAACGTTGCGCCATTATGTGTTAAATAAATCTTATGTTTGTAGTCTGCAACCAAAAATTCTCTGATTATCATTGATGAACTGGGGCGCGGAACAAGTACATATGACGGATTCGGGCTCGCCTGGGCTATATCAGAGTAGGTCATGTCGTGGTCTTGATAGGAACCTTCATTAACAAAACCCATGGCTACTCAACATGTAGATACATAACGACCAAGATTGGCTGTTTCACGCTCTTTGCAACCCACTTTCACGAACTTACAGTTTTGGCGGACCGTGTCCCAACTGTTCGAAACTTGCATGTGGCTGCGTTACGTGAGGAGAGAGGAATTACATTGCTGTATAAAGTCAGACCAGGTCAGTATGCTAAAACGTGTAGCCATTCGTCAAGACATTGAGTGACGTGTGGATGTTTGGTTCTGGGTTCTGGTAGGTGCTTGTGATCAAAGTTTTGGAATTCATGTCGCAGAGCTTGCAAATTTCCCTGAGAAGGTGGTTAAGGTTAGTGCTAGAGTAATTACGCAAGCGTGTTGCTTATAATGTTTACTCATTGGGTTTGTGAATGGGATGCAGATGGCCAAGCGGAAGGCAGCTGAATTGGAAGACTTTTCCGGAGTATGCCCAGCGTGACAATTTCCCAATATCGTTAAGTAACTGACATGGCAGTGATAGATAAGGAACATGAGCGACCATGGAAATGTTCTAAACAAGAAATTGAAGTAAGTTGACTTTCTCGAAATTGTTGACTCTGTCATGTCAATTCACCCCCATGTAACCAGATGGGGAACGCCTTGATCGAACGATTTCTCAATGAAATAGCGGCGTGCCCTGAACAAGATCTGATGGATTCTGAGCGGGCTGCTAAAACGGTTAAGGTTATTAAGGATAAGTATACAGCAGAATTTGATAAGAGCCCATTTGTGAGAGAGATTTTGGCAGATTTGTGAGAATACGAGATATTGGGGATGGTGATTGTATATAATTTGCATAAAGAAAAGCAGCAAGTGTCGCATGCATAAGCTTGGGTTTTGTAAAAATGTCTACGGGTTCACAAAGGAAGGAGGAAAGTCCCCTGACGTTAGACTCTCACTGCCAGATAACAAAATAACGAACGCTATAAAGAAATTGGCATCACATTAACGCCGTAAGCGCTTTTGTCAAATCAAAATAATAATAAAAAAAAAATCTAGTGTCAAATCAAATACCCTCATCCAATCCAACACACCGCAACAAGAGCCTCTTGTAATCCCCAGAAGTAACATCCTCTACACGCCTATACAAACTCTTTCCAAACACCGCTTCATAGGCGTTCCTCACCAGCCGCATGACTCTTGGGTCGCGGTGTCGCACGGTCAGGCGAATAAGGGTGCTATCGTGAATCCCAAAAAGACCGTGGAGGGAAGATTCAAAGAGAGTCGCTACATGGGCTGGCCGATTTTGAATTGAGTGAACTAAAAGTTGGGAAGGGTCATGTTGGGATGGTCAGTCCTTTGCCCTCTGCTACTAGTTGTCAAGCAAATTACTCACCTAATGCAATTAATCCCTTCTCCAAGTCCCCGCCGGAATGTTTCCTAATGAGCGACTCTATTGGCATTCCATGTTTCCGCTGGTAGGTTTCAAACAGCGCCAGCAAGTGAGCGTCAGACCGTCCACACAATGTGGCGATAAACACACTTTGATCAGTACTCCATCGCGATTTTCTGGATTCTTGGAACAAGGCCTCGACATCAGCTTCGACATCGTACATTTGTTCCGTTTCGTCTCGTGATGCTTGTAAAACGGCTATCAATAGCTTCTTGAGATGGCTGGACGTCTCGTTTGATATTACATCTTCGAGCTTTTTCATGTAAAGGTCGAAATACGCTTCTTTGATGGCGGCTAGTTCGGCATTGGAGCGCCCAATCAAGATCTGCAGTGAAAGTGTGATCCAACAACATCAATGATGGTGAATGGGGACATTGCGAATTTAGGCAGGTCATACCTCAATGAGTACGTCCTCATTGGTACCCACACCAGACTGTAACCACCAAAAATATCAGCAAAAAGGACGTCTCTCCTCCTTTGCCAACATGGGAACTTCAACATACCACAGCATCTCGTAGGCATTCTGCATCATATTCAGGAAGGGGTGTTGCCAAACCGACGCATAGCTTTCCAAAATTACCAGAGAGGTGACTCTTCAAATCGTCCGCCAGGGATTTACCGTATGAAGCTTTGTACGCTTGAGCGATTTGGGTGCACTGGTCTGGTGTGCGCGTGCCAAGGATGTTGATGATGGTTTTTGTATCTACATAATACTCTTATTTAATATATCTCTGTGAATAGGTTAACAATTTTGAGTTCTTACCAACACCATGTCCGTCGACACCTTTGAGTGCATTTCGCAAAGCCTGAACATTCTCTGCAGCGTCTGCATTGGAAAGCGGTGCAAACGGGTCTGCGAGAAGTAGCTGAGCGGAAGCTTCTGGACCTACCGCCAGCTGAAGACCTGAAGGGCCTCCTCTCACGCTTGCAGCTAGAACTGTTTCGTTGTCAACGTCATTTGCACCCCACTGCTGCTGTGAATAAATCGAGGCTGCTTCCGCACTTCGTGGAGCATCAATGCCGTGATTTGGCAATTGCACTGATACTGTGGCAGGAAAAGAAACCGGTGACTGCTGAACAGTGGGCGAAGTTGACCATTTGGATGTTAATAGTGCAGGTGAAACAGGGGACTGGGGTACTTGAATCGTCACTGTAGCTGGGAGAGAAACGGACTCGGCTGGCTCCGGCGAGGTAGGTATTTGTATGCGAAGATTTGAATCATGCACAGAAGCCATTGATGACCGGCGAGACCCAAATGCGGCTTGTGGAGTTTCGAGGAGGAGAGATGGTGATCGGGATCGGGAGCGGGATCTTAATTCATTTCTTGACCCACTGGGACTAGGAGATCGAGGGCGACTGGGTGGGTAGCTGCGCTGTGGTGAAGGTAAGAGTGTCGCTGCTGTCGGAATGAGTTGAGATGATTGACCTGATTGCGGGACGAGTGTCGGTGCAAGGTATGCGCTGGTAACTAGCGGACCTTGTGTGGGGGACTGTTGATTATATGAATTTTGGTAAAGCATGTTTAATGAATGGCTATGAGATAACAGTCGATGCACTTGCGCAAGAAATGGACAGACTTGTCTCCTGCACACATTTATATAAATTTCAACCAAAGGTTCCTATTTTCCAAACATTGCCAGTCAGTTCACGTTTATTTTGCGTCATATTGCCCTCATATGCCCAGGAATTTGCCCCGCCGACGTCAGTGAGGGTAGGCCAAACCCATTGTCCGTTGGAAATGACCTTTGGATATCTTTGACAGACCTGGACACGTCGCTAAGCCACGGGTAACATAATCCACAGCAAACAGCCATAGTAGTTGCTTTGTCGGCAAGATGCTTGATTTTTTGCCAAGATTGTCCCATACAGGTATTTTCCGGGTGGACATGGTCCTAGTCCCCAAAAGGACTTGTGGAGTGATTGGTGGCAGATGTCTCAGGATGGCCGGGAGGGGAGAGACCGGGCTTTTTCCTCCTCACACCATGAGAATGGCAAATACGACATATTGGGACGCCGAATCAGCGACACATGCAACAATTCTGTATATTTATTTCGACATGCTTATATAGATCTATACATTATACACAATTTTGTTCACAACGAGCAGTCTTAAGAAGTGTGTATCAATTTGAGGTCGTCCGCACTGACACCAGGGATATCAGTCGCAGCAGTAGCCGCATCCTACATACCGCAATTACCGTTAGTTTAGAGAAAATGCGTAAAAACATTTTCACAATAACAATACTGACCTCGGCTGCAGCCTTGGCTTTGCCAGCGGCACCTCGAAGAATATCACCAAGACCACCAGCTTTTCCACCGCCAGCTCCGCCGAGAACACCTCCCAAGATATCACCAAGACCACCAGCTTTTGCACCGCCAGCTCCGCCGAGAACACCTCCCAAGATATCACCAAGACCGCCGGCTCCCTTGCCAGCTTTTGCACCATCAAGAATACCTCCCAAAGCACCAGCAGCACCAGCAGCACCACCAGCTCCTTTGGCACCCTTTTTGCCGCCAGCAGGCTTGTCAACGAACGCACCGATACCACCAGCGGCCGCACCTCTCAATCCCTGTCCGACGGGCTTTCCTCCCTGATTCTCGAACGTCATGATCATATTATTGGTTGCCCCTTGCTTGATCTCAACAGGAGCGCACGAGCCAAAGGTAATCGGGTTGCGAACCATCATAACGCAGGATCCAGCGGGGCATTCCATATTGGGGACCTGGATTTTGACTTGAGCGTCAGATCCGCCTCTGAGGTTAGCCAGATTAAGCCCTCCTCTGCCAGGGGCATTCTGGAGGACCTGGGCTTGGGTCCATGTTTGGCCAGCTGGGAAGATGTAAACTGTAAGAAAAACGTTGCATGACTCTACGGTATATTAGTAAAGCTACTCACCATCAGCAGAAAAGGAAACTGACACAGGACCGGCACCGTCCTGATTCACGATAAAGTATCCGAGATCGACCTCACTTCCAGGGGCAAACGTGGCGCGCGGTTGCGCTATGGCGTCTTGTAACTGTGGTGCGCCTTTTCCGAGCACTCTTCCACAGGGATTTCTTGCAGTCACTCCGAGAGCCACGTCCGCCTGAGATCCAAGATCTACAGCGGGATCAACATTCAAACCCAGCGGCGCGGTCAACTTTGAATGTGCAGAAACGGCTGCCACCAGAGTCGCGATTTGAGCAAAGATGAGCGATGCCTTCATCGGGATTGTTTTTTGCAGGAGAAGAGTAGAATGATTGTGTGTATATTCAAAATGCAGCAGACGAGAGGAAAACTATCTAGGGTTTCCTTTTTTATAACCATCTCGTTCATCCATGTCTTGGCACCACCATCTTGGATAGACCCTTTTTGTTTCAATATTTAAGTGGCTGCAGATAGAAATGCTCGCCACCAGGAAAGCTGCCTGCCATAATAGCCACCAGGCATGTCTTTTCTTCTCTGATGGATAGATGAACGGAGGTAAAAGAAAAACGAAAAGAAATTCCACCCCAAGATAAATACCTTTATATTTAAAACTTAAATTTCTGCTTATATAGCAGATCACGTGGATATCCTTATTTTTATTCCCAAAAGCGGATAATTACAACCATTTATGGGTTACAAAGGCCATTAGAGATATTAGCATTTTACTATTTCACATTTGCTCGCATATGGCATGTCGCACATCAATCGATGAGTAGGACGGTGGAGGTGATGTCGAGATATGGTCCATCTGTACCTGTCTCGGCGTATATATCGGTAAGGGAGACGATACTTGATAGACGGGTAACCTCTCCCTCACATGGTGATCACTAAAGTCAACTCGAGTATCTCGTTCACCGATGATTTCATATCGGGATTCTGGCCCGGCAATAAAATGACGCCGTATCCACAACATCCCTCTCCATAGACAACGCATACAACCTTCGGCAGCTACCAGGCACAGCATCATCGCGGCCATCGCTAGGAGGACCCAGACCGGCCACCATTCCGCAAGTATGGTTATCGAAGGGCGAGTTTGGTATGTGATGATCACCGCATCCTGGCCATCTTTACCATGAATTGGCGGAATCGAGAAAAGCAAGTAGGCAGAGGGATACAAGTATTTAGAGAAAGTAAAGATGACTTGTTTGCTGTTATTAGACAACAGGATCGAGCGCTGGATGGGATTATCCGGACGCCGATATGTTCGTGACTGTACAGTTACAATTGCGTGTCCACCGTTTTCGTCGATTGACGGATGCGGAACAGGCAAAGGAGAAACTTCTGTCTCGGTTTGCCTGTTCGCAGTAGGTTGATTTGATGAAAAGATAAAGTAATATCTGGATACATGAGTGGTTGTGAATTCCATTGATCCCTCTGGGCCGCATTCGCCCGTGAACACCACCATGTTTTTGAGAATTCTGCCCTCCGCTCTCCATAGTAGGTAGGCATCTCTCGTACGAATGATCATAAGAAACACTGGGGCATCTTCGCGAAACGACCACTCAACTCGTACATGTGAATCAGATCGTAGAGAAAACGTTGCAACCTTTGGGACAATTTCCGTTTTATGTTCTTTTTTGAACAAAGGGAAGTGGATGTCTCGCCTGAGTGGCACAACGTCGTCCAGAGGCGGTGCGTCGCCATCTTCCACCAAGATCGCTTCAGCCTCTATCTGTAAATCACTGTCGGCACCTTCCTCCACTAACCAGGGATTCTTCACCCGCAATTCTACAGCACTGACGTCCCAAGCATCAATCTTTATCACTCGCCGCTCTCCAAATTCCATTACAATACTCTTAGATTCCGGACATAGGGGAGCGAGCGGCCAGAGAGATATCATGAAAAGCAGCAGACATGTAGCGAGGATCATGAGGAATATGATATATGCCGGTGAGGGGCCGGGTTCTTGGTCGTGGTGACCGGCGGTGGACCATGACATGGAGCGGTGGGCATTTCTAGATGATCGGTAGAATAGAGAGGTATTATACATGGATGGGAGCTCAAGAGTGCCGTATGAAAGAGAAGATAAAGGTCGCGGATTGAAAGGATTCATATCTGGAATAGCCAAAAGATAGACTTGCAATGTGCTTTACTTGACGGGTCAGCCTCACACCCCCCTCCCCCGTTCACCCGTGCGCACACAAACGCAACGCGTGGGTTACGCAACGTGAGGCTTTCGGCTTGTCCAAGTTCAAGGCACGGATTTTGACTTTTCAATGACTTTTCAACTTGACTGTCGTGATGCATCAACCGGGACTCATTTTGCTATATCATGGGATGTAGGATGTAAAAGATAGTCTTCCTACTCGAACTTTTCTGAATTGCGACGTTCTGGTGAGCCTCAGCTGGACAAATGCACTCCAGTGTTCGTTGCCAGTCAGATGTCCTTCTATTTCCCAAACAGCACATGTAGGTCGTGCTTACATTGATTATTCGAACCTACTTGTAAAAATCCGTCCTGTATGCTGTCGTCTGGCTAGGCCACGTGCAAAAGGATATCGCAGAGAACATGCAGCATTTCACGAATTCAATCATCGTCCTCTATCATATTGTTGATCCTGTAACTGAAATCCTCGAAAGTAGATTTACGCCCGTAAATTCACAATGTGACATCCCATTGAATACGACAGCGCGATTCCCTTGCTGTTACTTCATACACATTAGCTGATGAACGTGTAGGATTCGCTAGTACTGTCGAATAATCCCAAGTTTCCATGACGCCGTCCATCTTGGACGTCTTGTTCTTTTCTGGAACATGGCACAGGCTGGTATCCTCAAAGCAACTCAGTGCTTCCCAGAATGAAACTACATTGTCTCACTGCCATAACAGTTTTAACATGTCAACCTATTCTTAGCAATACGTGTCGTACCCACCGTTTTTATTGTGTTAACCCAAGGGAGGCAGCGCCCCATCTATTCACCATTTCTAAATAAAGATACATACATGATACCGGCATCTTCCCATCCACCCGGAGACGCTCAACGTCATCAAAGGTTGCCAGGTCCAAGTGAACCAAATCAATGTGGATGTGCTACGGTGGTTGCTCAAACATTCATCTTCTGGAAGCTTTCGAGGATGCCCTAAATTGAGATGGGTGGACCGTCCTCGTGCTCTGGACCTTCTAGTTGCAGTGAGTGTAGTGCTAGCTCTTAAAGGGTGGGCTATTCTATCGAACCTCTTCACCTGCTCATTTCGGCAGGCGTCCTCTCAACCACATTCCTCGATAATCTGTTGGATACCCTAATTCGCTACGCCCTCGTCTTCGGTTTCTTATTGCGCTCAAGTCTTTCAGGCATCCTCATTTGGTCGTCAACAGAAAAGAAAATGTTGGACTTACAAACCCTTTCCACCACCGAGTCAGTTGGCAAAACAAACTCTTTGTCCCGCAAGAATTCCTTGCAGGAGAAATTCGGTGCACTCCGGGGAGCATTGGGCAGGAAAAGATCACTGAACAATTTACTACCAGCACAAACCGGCTCATCATCTGGGGCACCCTTTTTTGATGAACCCTCAAATGGAGCACTGACGATGGACTCTGGAATTAGTATGCGCGGATCCAGCAATGGTAAATTGGCCTCGTCGACAAGTGGGTCGACAACGTTACCACCACTTGCAGGCATCAGGAAGTCAAGGAGCGATGCCAGAATGTCCGGTTCTGGTGAGCTGGAGGGAACTCCTAATGCCTCACCGCAGCAGCAGACACATCAATCAAGCGGACAAACCACTTTGACCAGGGCACATTCGGCTGGGAAGAATCAAATGAAAGTGCAGAAGGCCGTCTCCATTGATGTATCTGGTGGAGATATTAGCAAGCAGGTGCTTTCTGCGAATTCTCCTGGAGACCGGATGTCCCTCAAGTCACTTTCCCTTGGCCGTCCCAAATCTGGACTATCAAAGAGCAAGGGAACCCATGTGTCCATGCCTACTGGTCTTCAGCAACCGAACGAATTACGAACCGCAAAGTCCGCTGCTCAGATATCACAACCAATCTACGAGGACTCTGCATCGCAGGAAGCCCTGGATCAAGTCTCAGAACTTAACGTTAATAATTCATCTTCAGCCTTCACATCGCCCGTGAGCGGTAGTGTTGATTCGCTTGGCTTGACGGCGTCGAACACCAACGTAGGCGTAGTTACTTCTATACAGCTCGGCACCAAACACGCCAAATCTCTTCCCAAGATCAGTACACTATTCACCAAACTTCCCAAGAAATCCCGTGCTTCCAGCGCAACACCAGGCTGCGACGCCAACCTCACTTCCCCTGTTTCTCCTCTTGCCAGCATTGGCCAGCTCACAACTAATCAACGCAAGGGTACCCTCTCTGCATACGAAATCTCACCTTCCACCACTGCGCCGGGTCTGCACCGTGATTACCATCTTGATGACTTTCACATCGTGCGTCGAGTCGGTAAAGGCGGTTTTGCGAATGTATTCTTGGTGCGCCTCAAGCACTCTACCGGACGATATTACGCCTTGAAGGCCATTAAAAAGCACGATGTCGTCAAACTAAAGCAAGAGAAGCAGATTCTAAACGAGAAGAACATTCTGAGAAGCATCAATCATCCGTTCATTGTGGAATTGTATCATACTTTCCAGAATGTCACATACTTGTTCATGACAATGGAGTATGTGGCGGGTGGAGATTTGTTCTCTTATTTGAGGAAGGTTCAGGTAAGCCTTTCATTCCACTTTCCGTCATTCCATGAACATTCTCATTGAGACTCGTGTTCATATATCTAGCGTTTCGCAGAAGATGACGCCCGGTTTTACGTCTCTGAAGTTTTGATTGCCCTCGAATACCTCCACTCGTACAATATTGTATATCGAGATCTCAAGCCAGAAAACATCCTCCTCGACACAACAGGTCACACCAAGCTCGCCGATTTTGGGTTTGCTAAAATCGTCAACAAAACTACACAATCGTTTTGCGGCACACCAGACTACATTGCGGCTGAGATCGTAGCTAACAAACCTTATAATAAAGCGGTTGACTGGTGGTCTCTCGGTGTCCTAGTGTTTGAGCTAATTTCGGGAAAGACTCCTTTCGGGGACGAATCCTCAGACCGTATATACGAAAACATTCAAGTGGGAAAAATCAAATGGCAACCACTTGTCAAGGGCCCCGCCAAAGACCTCGTTAAGCGCCTGCTGGACCTGGATGTAGACAGGCGACTGGGGTCTAGTGGTGATGGCGCGGAAATTCGACAACATCCGTGGTTCAAAACATTACAGTGGAAGAAGGCGGAAGCACGTCAGACAACGCCCCCGTTTGTTCCTGCATGCGACGCTCCTGATGTGATTGAACGAGAGCGGGCTGCCCGAGGAGCAAGGGTGGACGATTATATGGAAGTCTTGAAAAGTGGATCTACCTCTAATGGGTTCTTAACTACGGATCCGTTTGTTGAACTTTTCAAGGACTTTTAGGATGATAGGACTGTAGTGCATGTTCCCGTAACTATGGCCGCTATTACACATCATTTAGTCTAGCATAGTCCGTAGAAGTTTTCCGTCTCAGGGTCATAGTTTTTTTTGTAGTATACCCTTGGGCTAATAGAAAGACGGTGGTTTATATTTTGGGCTTCTTTGCGCGGTATTTCGAATAGCTATGTGAAGAGGTTTTACGAACAAACTGCGCGAGCAGTCTTTTTCGCCATTTGGGATAGGTTAAGAGATAAACCTCAGCAGAATTACAGGTATTACAGGATGAACAGACAACCAAAGAATCTTTCTATTGACGGGAGAGTGGCAACATACGTCTGCCATGCCATCAAATGGAGCTCGCTGAACTTATTGCTTTCAATTGAATTCTGTTGTAAGAACAAAGATTCGTCGCAATTCTTGCCAAAGAATGGGAGTGAAACTTACTTGCTGAACATGGTACGTTCAAAATCCAGGATTCTGTAATAACCTGTATAACCTCCTTGAGTGTCTGCTTATCCGCTTCAGGGGCTCTGAGGACCAATTGCACTTCCTTCCGCATACCGGGAGCAACCTGCAGAGCGCATTTAGGCAAGAGCGTCGGGGTATTCATAATGAACCATGGAAGTTTTGCTACTAACCGGCCCTTGCTTGTAGCTTGAAGTAATGCAGCTACCGGGTTGATGCTTTATTTTGAATCTGGCCGAATCGTTGCCCACGTTAATGATTGTCAATGTTGCTTCTGAAGATTCGCCAGCCTTCACGGTTCCAAATTTAATTTGCGAAGGCAGGACATCAAAGGTCCCTAAACTCGGCAATTCTGCAACAATGGAGTCAGCAACATTCGCATACAACTGGTCTCTCCGATAACGTGCCTTCATTCTTGGTCAGTCGGGCTGTTGACGCTGTGTTAATTTGGCGCCGGGCATGTGCCTCGACCGCTATGTAATGGGCATTGGGAACCATTCCTGGCTTACTGCTCCTCAGAACCGCTGGTAAAGGAACCTTGGATCTCCGGGGTCTACCGAGAACGTCGACGTTGCGGGGGTTGGTAGGCAAGTCGTTAGGATTTGGTTGAATCACGGAATGAGGCGTATGCTCTTTCTCGCTACTGACAGTGGGCACATCTTGCATTGCCAGTGAAGATTCCTTCCAACGCGACGTGGTTTTAGTTAGAGTTTCCACCTGAATATTGTTGTTAATGTTATACCTGAGAAGGGTTCTCTTCGCTTGAAGGCACCTCATTTGTTTTTCCAATGTCAACCGGGGCTGGTTTGCTGCAGACTATGTCTGATGCATAACTATCAGCGGCTGGTGCTGTATCCACCTGTCGTTGAAATCAGTCGGGACGCGATTTTCAATATATTCCTATGTATACGTGAAAATACCTTTCGGGGGATCGGATCCAACTGGGTGGACTGAAGGTCAGAAACATCACTTTACAGTGAGAGCAACAAGGCTGGTTCCTACCTTATCCGGTGAGATTTGTCCCTCCGGACTGCTAAAGTAGCCAGGTATGACATCTCCATCGCGAAGCAACCGCTGCAGGGATCTTCTTTTTCTACTGGGCACGCGGCTATTTTCATCCGGATACAAGGCCACGGGCTTCGAAGTTGTTGGCGTAGAAGCTTGCAACTGTTTTGAATGATCGTAAATCTACAAGGATCCAGTATCATTAAGACAACCTGGTAGCAGGGAGAAACAATGATGGTGCGCCACCTCTTGTCCCGCTGCTCGCTTCTGAATTAGATCACTCTCCTTCAGTAAATACTTTTGTCGTATAGCCTGTTCCGTAGTGTTACGATCTCGCCCGTATACTAGTTTGTCATCTTCGATAGTTGACTGACGTGTTGTCAGCTCCTCCGCTACATTCTCTGCATCGGGGTTAAGCTTCTCGTACATGGCGTATCCATTTGAGCTTTGTTCTTTGCCCACTTTCCAGTTCTCGAGAGCTTTCATGTCGCTCATTACGAGTTTACGCAGATGTTGTGTTACACGAGGATGGCAGATCAGCTGGCAAATCGACGTGTTGAGTGGACATTCCATCAATTTGGAAGAAAATGAAAGTTCATTTACCTGTCTGTATTTCACAATCGCTCCTTGTTGACTCTTTGCTATATAAGAGTCTTCAGTATCGTCGTCCGATACTAATATTGTGAGACATAATGACGACGGGCTCTGTTGCAAGGGTTCGTCTATAATCTTCACACTGGGCTTGTCCTTGTACTCAATTAGATAATTGAGTGTATCCAGATCCCTAAGTAACTCCAAGCCCGATCCATCTTCCCTGAGCAGAAATAGTCTGGGTGCATTTCCCGGTCGATAAGAGATATTGCTGAGAGAGCTGCAGAGTGCGCGTTGCCCCAGGAGACTCGTAATACTCTCTGGGGAGGGCGCTGATGTCGCCTTCCCGTCGGTCTGCATGAGATTGACCTGAAAGGAACATAGATGTGTCAGCGAGGCGCACTGCTGGTCCACAAAAACTGAGTGACAACGTACCCTAGATTGCCCACTTTTGTCTATCTCGAACCTGTTACCAGCCCAGTCATGCATGACGAGAGAACCGTCTAACCAATTGATGTAGTGACTTCCCGCCTCCTCATGGACATGCTGTTGATAGGAGGCAGGTTTAAAGAGTGCTTTGCCGGTGCAGTCAATCTCGAGGAGCAGGTCTCCCTGCAGATTCCTATTAGGTGTCGTAGAGCAGGATCGCAGTTGCAGATGTCTGATATACCTTTAAAATGCGATAACTGGCCTCTGATTCTCCAGACTTGAACCATCTCTCTACTACGATCTTATTTGGGAATTCTAGACGAGTCACTCCACTGTCCCGATTAAACATCAGTGATGCATATCCTCGGCATTTGATATTGATTTCTACAGGCTTCTTGCATGCTTCGTCCGTCTCTAGTTCGGACGTGCCCGCCACTAGTTTTGTCGCAATGGAAGTACCATCTGCGTGCTCGCAGGTGGTTTGGCCCGCCTCATCGGTCTTAACAATGACCATGTCTTCTCTGGTCACGTTCACATGTTTGCTCGCCAGATCCTTTTCGCAGATAATTTTGACACTTTCCACCGTTGGTGGTCGGTCCTTAGCTGTAGTTAGCTTTGTTCCTTCCGCATTAGTACTTGTGCATACACCGGATTGACGCTGCGTGGTGACATTCCCGTTCGCAAAGAGAACTTGCACCTCGTTGTTGTGAAGATATTTAACCACAGTTCCCTAACATTTACAGCGCTTAAAAGTTGCATCATCATATACCATTGACGGACGTTGTACTCACCTCTGGCGTTATGAGTCGGCCCATTTCCTCGCCATTTGCTACGTCTGAAAAACTAGGACTAGAATTAAGGGAAAGGTTTTTTTGAAACACTGTGCCCGATGCGCTCCATTCTATGGTTAAGCCGTCCGCTGTAGATGCCTGTACTAGCTTCTCTCCTGCGGAGTTGATTGAAACACCGAAAACGGTCCCGTCCTCGAATGAGGCAGTAAAATACGGCAATCCTCGGAGGGTTTGAGGACCTCTCCAGCTCATAATGAAGTTACGGGAGTACAAACTTGTGCAGGAGTCTTTCAACGAGATGACATTGAGCAGACGGTCTTACTCGGAGATGACGATATCCCATACCAATTTCCTTATCCATTTGCTTCACTTTCCGGTGCCGAATGTGGACTCCTGTGTTTGGGTACATAAAAGTACAATCCTCATGGTAATGGATTATCTGATTCCCGGTAGAGTATACGTAGGTTCTCTCCGGTTGCACCGGATTAAGATACTGAGACTTGTTGTCATACAGCTCGGAAAATAGTCCGAAGCCAACCTTTGTCTTTGCCTATTCTTCGCAAATATTAGCGGGCAGCCGTAGTAGCTGAGCACTGATTCAACTTTGACGAACCTGGCAATCAAATTCTACACCAGCCTGCGTAGCCCCAGCTGGTCCAGGACCCATCACAGCCAACAACACGGCAGCCTCACGCTCGGAAACTTTCACTCGAACCTCCGGATTCAAAACTTGAGCGCCTTGCAGGATCTAATAAAGATGTTCAATTACCGCATGAGCAGTCATTAACTGCAGATTGATTACATACTTGCATAAATGCATGGCTGTTGTGATGCTCTAACCAGTGCCAGTCACTTAGAGGACCATCCTGATCAGATTCCCATTGGTTAGGCTCGAGAAGTTCTTCGAATTCGAGCTGCCGTAATATGCGCTGTGTCTCCTCAAGATCCACTTGATTTGAGAATTTCTGTATTTCAATATTTTCAAGATGATGTGTTCGCGATGAAGCGGGGGCCTCCATTTGACCGCTGCGGACGAGCTCGTGTATGTTCTCGATGTAGCGCCGCGTACGATAAAGTTTACTAATGTGATCCATCAGAGGCTCTGTGTCCACTCCCAGTGATGCAACTCTGCTCATCTTGCGAGCAATGTAGGAATGCACATCAGCCATTGGAACTGTGCGACTTCAGGAATCCAATTTCCCAGTTATTACAGGTATCATAGCGGATTCCTGCAATCAAGACTCGTACTTACATGTCACCTTTTGCGTGGTTGAAGTCATCGTCCTGCGGTCGATTTGACGTAATTTTGCTAGACCTTGGGGTATGAAAAACAAGCTTTGTTGCAGCGGTCTCAATGTAATGTTTCAAAGCCGCAATTTCCTCAGCTCGCCCAGCGAATTCAACCATTGAGGTATCTGCGGGCGGTTCGGTAATCACAGCTCGGCCAACTTGTTCTAAAAGAATAGCCAGCAATAGATCTACGTTGAGAAGGCTCTCATTGGGTACAGCCCGGATCAGACTTCTAAATGAACGCAAAGTCTCGCGCAGCCGCCCCCGATCAATATCTGGAATGTTGATGACTGAGTCGGTCGAATAAAATGTCTGATAGATCTTACGCTTCTCAAGAAGAGAATAGATGCTTTTTGCGATCAAGTCAAATAATTCCTTGTAATCTTTGGCTTCCGTTGCCTGGACATCCAGTATCGCCAAGCTTTTCCAAAGTGAGGGATCTGGGACATTCTGTACCATTTGGCGGATTATTTTGAAATCCTCTGCTGTTTGCCAGTTCGAAGGGGGGAAATCCTTGTCATCACCCCCAAGTTTTTCGGTGGGCAGTGTCCGGCTTTCTGCCGGTGAACCACTGAGCCGGATAATCAGATTCATTTGGACTAATGTCTCCTCCATCAAAGCAGAATAGAAGCTCGGTTCAAAATCCTTGAGGGCGTAATACATATCGGGTCCATCCTGAGGCTCATCGCCTATGGGAAGTTTAGTAGGAGCCCCGCGACAATGTCCGACAAGACCCACTCACCAATTGTTGTTGGTTTCGCATCTAGTTTTACGGTCCCTCGATCCCGAAGTTTATTCTTTCGTTTGGAGACCTCACTAGGAACTGTTGCAGATTCTGGCCGTGACGCAGGCTCTGGCTGCTTTGCGGCAGGTCCAGCTGTCACCGATCTGATCAGATTATGCTCTCGGCTACAATGGCAATGCACTTACCTTTAGCATTTTTTTTTGGCGACGACTTGGCACGTTCTTTGTCTTTATCCTTCTCTTTTTCTTTTTCCTTGTCCTTATCTTCCTTCTTTGGCGTCTTCGCTTTCGAGACTTCTACTGCATCAGGAGGAGTGATGGCAGGTTCAGGGGTATCCTGCATAATAATACAATACCGTATGAGACAAGTCTTTGGTTCGGTCAATGCATCGTATAAGCACACCTTCACTGCTTTGGCTGCGTTTCGCATCTCGATTCCCTCTTGCTTCAACATGACAAGCCGAACTTTCATGATCCGAGCTAGTAATGAATCAGAAATATCGCTCTCGGAAGTCCCGCCATCTAGCATGGACTTCAACTCTTTGCATGCATCATGACTTTTGACGTTTTCAGCTGCCTTAGAGGCATGTGGTGGTGAATATGTAATATGAAGCTCTGAATGCACAGGCAGCGGCCTACCCAGGACAGTAAAGAAGCTTTTGAGATAACTGAGAACCGTTGTCGAGTACCACAAGCGATAGTATCATATAAGGCTTGGTGACCACTTGGTCCTATCTCTTTTGAGTCCTGCGTGTCGGAATGAATTGCAAACAGAAATGCGTCCCACGTATCCTGATCTTCTGTTTAGATCAATGCTTTCACAGAACGCCAAGATACGGAACCAAGGTCCAAAACAAAAACACTCACATCATTTACTGGCAAATTTTGAAGCGGAAAGGAGAGAGATGCTGAAGCTATCTTATCGTTCCTTCCCATGTTTGCGCTCCTCAACCGGTTACAGGTATACCAGGTTTGTTGCTTGGGGGATGTCTGCAGCGGGGAGTGATTAGTAATGCATTTCATAATCAATTTCGGACGCGAACGTCAGAACGCGAAGTGTGCTGTGAACGCCAAAGGTGTTCTAACCGATCAAAAAATGATCAGAGACTGGGACGAACTGTCAGAAGAATGGCAGGAAACTACCGACGCTTTGCAGACAGAATCATATCCGACTGGCCCATTCTCGGGGAGTCAAAGCGCCGAAGATGCGTCGGACGACGGAAATGCAGACTCATCTACCGTGCGAGTCATCGGAGATCAGCAGAGGCACAGTGGCATATCGGCTAACTCACGCCCTTGGGAAAGGAGCCAGCTGAAGGATATGTTTAGCCCCCTTTCTTTGGAGAGACTTTTTAAAGCCCCGGTTGGGTCAAGGCCTGATTCAACTCCTCCCAAAGGAATGGCATCGCGATATAATGCAGTTTCAGAGCGGTGGGCGGACCAAGCACTTTCAGATACAGCACACTCTGTCGCGATGATGCATGAAGAGGCGAATGCGCTGCACAGACCGGAGGAGAAAGGATATCCATCGGAAGAACCTCTTGTACACTGGGACCATCAAATACCTGCCCACGCGTTCGCCGAACTGTCATTATTTGTGGACCCAGATGTCCATCCGAAAACGCAATTAGCTGATCTAACAGGCCTGGACGTCTCCGCTTCGCGCATTGAGGGTAATCAAGATATATCTTTATCACTAGGTGAACGATCATATCGGGATCGTGGTGGGGGTCCGAGCTCAGAAGGGACTCCCAAGAAACATCGCCAGCACGCCCAGTATTGGGGAAACGGATCCATAGGAGTTCCACGGGGACCGCAGGTTCCAAAGAGAACAGAATGGCCAGAGGCGCATAAGAAGTTAATGCTGCCAAGAAACAATCTTGGAGCCGACAATGATGATCCCCCTCGCCGCCCATCGACTGGCAGAGATACGACTCTCAGCAATACTTCGTGGCCCGATGGTGCCGACCTGTTTCAAGTTGACTACGACACAAAAACGCGCAGCTACCTTGAGGCACTTGTGGATGAGCTGCGAAGTAGCAAGCAGCAGCCTCAGAATCAAGGGAGAAACGACGGAGGCGATACTGGCATAGACCTAACCCAGAATACAAGCGCGAACATTGAACTTAGACCCATAGCCTCTACGACCCACGACCTAATTCCATCACACGACTCGCAATTGGAGCCATCGATTACACACCTCAATCACAAGGTAGGTGACACCACATGTGTGCGCACAAGCTTGGGTGCTCTATTACTTACGCTACCCAAGTCATACACTGTAAATAATGCACCGTACTACTCAGACGAGGATGAGGCTAATGAACCAATCGACATACCTCCGAGCGCAGAACCCGCCTCTGCGGATGATTGTCCAAGAAATGTTAGCATGCCCGCAGACCTTCAGAGCTACCCTTCAGATATTGATTTTTTGGAGGACGTGTTCGAAAACTCTATCCGAGCTTCTCGCTCTCGGGGTCCAGCACAAGCCTTCGCTGGGTCTGTGGAAATACATGGACAAAGGGGGAATCATTCCGGTAGCCCGAACAAGTCGTCAACCAAGTCGGAATCGGGAAGGAGTAGTCAGTCCAAGATTCTAACAATTCGAAACCTTAGCAGCGCGAAAAATAAATGTAAGAGCTTGGAATTCGCTTTCATTTGCGTGCTTCTGCTTAGAGTCATTTCTTCTTATAGCATCAGTCATACTTTCGCATCTTGGTGCTAGCTCACAAATGCGATTCAATGAGGACAAACAGCGCTGGGAAGAAAATGATGATTTGATGGAAGAAATACCACACTCCGTCGCTGAAGGCACTGCTCAGGCTTCAGCTGCGCGGCAAGAGCCCGCTGAACAGTGCATTACAGGAACTGGCCCAGTACCTGCGAACCTTGAGCAAGAGGCACAATACATGTACGGAAGTCCTGACTCCGGTATGCTTTTTGCAGTATTATTACTTCGAGTACCAGTGCCAACCGCTGTTCAAATCTAGGCGACATCCGCAGCGTGGCCGGTTGCAGTGACGCAACAGTTCAAGGTAAGGCCATAACGTGATTATCGTAGATGCTGGCAACTGCTAAACTTTATTTAAGCAGGGACAGAAACGCAGCCAGAGATTGCCACAACATTAAGCAGACAGCCGGGAGATCAGCTTCAAAGGGAGCTTCACGGTAGGTAGGATGGCGTTTTGCTGTTTCTGCGCAGTGGTGGTGATCCATGTCGCAATTTCAAGAAGAGTTACCACAGATTCGCAGCCCCACCTCAGTTCGGTCACAGCGAATGGTCTTGGAAGACCTCCATACTCCTGCTGTAACCCGAACAGGTTTGTAAGACCAAACTTGGAACTCAGCACAAGAAGGTGTGCACCAGGGATCTGCCGGCTTGGACCGGTTGTTCTATGGATGCGCCAACCCAAGCTATTTACTGACGTGGGCGTTTTCCTTGAAGGAAGCCGATTCCAAAGTAACCCTGAGCGGAAGGAAGAGCCGGGGGAGCCAGGCACTTCTGGCGGAATGCTACCGAATCTTGCGAAAGCCCTAAAACTCCAGGCGGACTGGATGACCATGACTCACCTGGATCTAAGTCGATACGGGATTGGCTCTGTTCACAGTCTGAAGAGACATGCCCCTCAAGTGCGGACTCTGAAAGTGTGAGCCCGAAGCAGTCCATGTCCGCAGCTCAAAGTATATTAACCCTTCTGTGCGATGATGGCATTAGGAACGACAATAAGCTTCCGTACCTCAATGGGGTTCCAGAAACTGTCGCGGTTTTGCATGCTCAGAACAACCTGTATGTCGTCATGGTCATCTGTGCCCTGTGGTGTATCAAAGTACTCACATAAACTTCACATTTTGTGGCAGCCTCTCCAACATCACGACATTTGCCCATCTTCCAGCCCTGCAATTTCTCGATATATCCGGTAATATGGTTGAAGATCTCTCCGGTAGGGTTGTCCTTGTGAGTACAGAATATCGCATGCTTGCTCAGTATACCTAATGGTCCACCAGGGTTGACGTGTTTACCAAATCTACGTGAACTCCATGCGGCAAATAATAGAATCCGCCATTGTGCCCACCTGATATATATGCCTCGCCTAGTACGAGCGAATCTTCGTGGGAACAATATCGCTCGAATTGAACTAAAATTCCATGGGCCGTAAGTTTCAGCATGTTATCCGACTACAAGGTCTCCCGTGTTTAACAGGCCTTGATCTCACATGACACCAGTTACCGTTTGGAATATTTGGATTTATCTTGCAACGACATTGACAATGTTACTGGAATTGAGCGCCTCGTGTGCCTCCGAGAACTGATACTAGGTACGTAACAGGATTCCAGGTGTCCCTTCCCACGATACTGACCGTCTACTAGACCAGAACCGTCTGGGTAGTCTAAATCTCCGAGGAGAGCTGTCGAACATGGAAGTTTTGAGCCTTAATGACAATGAATTGCAAACATTTGACGGCCGGCACTGGCCGAACCTGCGACGATTGTCACTGGACCGAAACCGAATACAGCATTTCAGCCACGAAAAATATTTGTCACATTTGCAGAATCTGTCAATAGAGCGTCAGAGTGTGCCAGTACTGTAAGTCAACATATAAGTACTGTCCGTGTCAATGATGTTGACGGATACTGCATTCAACCCAGGATGATAAAGTTTTCGCACCTACGGCGACTCACTGATTTGCGTATTTCAGGTAGTGTCGCGCTATCCCAACATCAGAGCTTCGGTCGTTCACTTAACGGTCTCACCAATCCATTATAGGCAATTCGTTTCGAGACTTGCGTGCTCTGCGACACAACATCCGGCTGCAGTTTTTGGAGGCACAGGCGACTGGCATATCGCATATTCCTGAAGACTTTGCAAGAAACCTACGGGAGTTGGCACATCTGAATCTCAGCGATAATGAAATAACAGAAATTCAGACCGTGCGACATCTGAAATCCTTGCGGTCGCTGATCATGACAGGAAACGCGATTGAGGACTTTGCGATGATTAGTGAGGCTTTGAAAGGGCTAACGCGGGTGGAAGTACTGGATTTCAGGTGTGAAGATGATCTGGGCGCTGAATACTTTGCTGTATTGCTAACGCGTCTTTTAGGCACAATCCGGTCACTGCACGCTTTTATGCACAGCGGACAACTCCGCTGGATGAATCGCAGTGGTTGACTTCAGATGAGCTTTTCCGCAAGCAGCTGAACGACGCGGATTTTGTCCGACGGACATGCTACCGCAGCAGCTTGATAAGCATACTACGGGGTTCACTTCGATCCTTGGACAACATTGCAACAGGAGAGCCGGACAAAAAGGTGGCTAAATATCAAATGAGCCGTCTCAAAAGCTCGTTGCGCAGATCAATGAGCAGTGTCACGATGGGAGACTAGGAACGGTATTATAATTGATGAAGGTTTCAACAGCGGCCTATACAACTTTTGGTGCCATCGATATGATCTTTGTCCATCGCTTCTGTCTGCACTCGTTTGCAACTGCCCCTAGCACTCTATTCCCCAATGGCTGCCCCTGCTTGTTCAGCATGACGACCGCATTGTCATCAAAGCGCACATATGACCCATCTAATCGGCGGACTTCTTTTCGAGTTCGTACCACCAGCGCTCTGGCCACGTCTCCCTTTTTCAGCTTGCTCACGGCCGCTTGAGCGGTGCTCGGTCCCGTCTCGACATTCAATGGCCGCGCCTTCTTTACGACGCAAACAATCTCATCCCCCAAAGAAGCGTGCCTTGCACCTCCAAGTACGTTAATGCATTCAACCAACAGGGCGCCCGAGTTATCGATAACCTGTTTTCAGTCCGTTAGACTTGTTGCAGTTGAGAAAAGAATTAAAACGAACTTACTTTCAGTAAGCTCTTTAGCTGAATCATCTCCAGACACTCTACAGACTAGTTGTTGTTCGTCGAATTCGTCGACCCGTTTCACTATGGCAAATGTGAAGATCACCGCTCTGCAGTTTGTCTTCCAATATGATGGTTGCTATGAGGGTCACGTGATATTGACAGAAGGCTCAAAGACTCAAGTTTCATATTCAATCGTCGAAGATATCTTCCAAGCTGATATTGGCAGATGAATGCAGCGTTTGACGTAGCGCAGTTCCGTTATTTCGCTCTTGCCCGTCCTGGTTGCTTCTTTGGTTTTGACGTTTTTGTCAAATGTTGAATTCCAGCAAGATTCAAAACGCGCGACGGTTGGGCTTAGTACGCTTAGTTGACTGCTGGCAAGATGCGACTGGGGCAAAAGTGTGGCATCCCAACTCACAAACGATTGGAACAAAACAGATACTCCCAATTAGGAGCTTCTTGTCGAGCGTACCATTAGCAGATTTGTGAACCAGGGTACGTGGAGCAATTCTGTTGGCTGCTCAACCCTATCGGTTTTTGCCGCGCGCGCCTTGGAAGCTGCAAGTGCTAAAGTTCCCCTCCATAGTGCCAAATCTTTCTCGCGCATAGCGCTACTGCGGACAGCCAGCCACCCCATCCCTCCCCCAACTATTTATCAAGGTGTTCTGCTGTATCCATGTCTGTTAAAGACCGAACAGCCGAATTTCACGCGGCTGTAGAGTCAATACTTTCCCGGTCGGGTCCTGGAAGTGTGGTGCCTGCCGAACGACATAGGCTTATTAGTCCCAACGGAAGCCATGCAGGTCCCCAAACAAAGTCAGATTTTGCCAAAGCGGCGGCATCTATAGGAAGGGAAATAAATGCTACTGTAGCAAAGTTGCAAAAGCTCGCGCGGCTAGCGAAGCGGAAGACCTTGTTTGACGACCGACCTGTCGAGATTAACGAGTTGATTTATATCATCAAACAAGATATCGCAAAAATAAATCAGCAGATAGCACAACTTTCGGCATGGATGCGAAAGAACGGGCCAAACGGGGCGGTGGCTGCAAGCGGACGAGCACCAAGTGGCGGGTCGACCAACAGCAATCGGCAAATGCAGGAGCACTCGTCGAATGTGATTACAAGCTTACAAAGCAAGCTTGCGACAACGTCGAATGAATTCAAAAGCATCTTGGAGATACGGACGGAAAACATGAAAGAGCAAAAAACCAGGAGAGATCAGTACTCATCATTTTCCGGAGTACCGACTACACCATCAGGAGGAATAATGGGTACTATGGGGACTGCCGGTGCCGCATCCGATTCGCCATTGTATAACCCAGAGAGAAGAGCAACGCCAGTACCTTATAATTTGGAGAATCAAAAGGCAGCCGTCCCTCCTGGTGATGGCGCGGTAGTGATCGACTTCGGTTCTGCGGGGATGCCGTCCTCGGGAAACGGAGGCTTATTGCAGCAGCAACAGCTTGTTCCAACCAGCTCAACCGTAAATATGGAAATCATTGAGTCGCGATCTCAAGCAATCGAGTCGATTGAAGCAACGATTGCGGAGCTTGGGCAAATATATCAGAACTTTGCCTCCATGGTAGCGAGTCAACGGGAGCAGGTTCAACGAATCGACGAGAACGTGCTTGATATTGAAATGAACGTTGAAGGGGCACATTCACAGCTGATAACATTTTATCAAAACATCAGCAGCAATCGATGGTTGATGATCAAGGTGTTTGCGGTCTTACTCGTCTTTTTCCTGATCTTCGTGTTGATGACGTAAATACTGATTGGGGAGGAGGAAGCAGGGAGGGGAAGGCGGCGACGATCTTTGTCGCGCCTGATCATTTAGATTATACTACTTTTACACGTTATTTGCTGCTTGGGATTTGAAACTATTAATATACCTCATGAGACGGCAAAGAGCCGCTTGATTCTGAATTCTTTTCCTCCGGTTCTCTACAAGATGATTCATCGTGTGCTCTATTCGCATTCTACTGTGAGTCAATTGTGAAGTTTTGAAGCCACACAAGCCACCATCGCGCGCATTACATAATCAAGCAAAGTACTGGGTATCTCAACCTTCTGCCCTTCCAGTCTACAGATCCACACATCATTCCGTAGATCCTAGTGCCTTCTTCTCTGATTCAAAATGATGACTGTACGTAATTCCAAGCACTCGCACGATTATGTCCTGAAAACTCAGAGTGCGCCAACGTCTGCCTCCAACGACCGACTGTGCCATATTTGTGGATCGACATTTGCCAAAGCATTCCTCCCGGCCCATCAGAGAACGTACGTAGCTACCCTTTTATGGAGGAGGATTCTCATCTCAAGATATTTCCTTTCAGATGCGTGAAAAGGAGTGTCAAAACGAGTGCTCGGACATCGAGGGTTGGATTGGCCTTCTCAGCAGCTGCAAATGTCCGAACATCGTTCTATCCATGCACAAATTGTACGTTCTCAATGACATTACCGTGGGAGAACGAGAAGCTGACCCTCTGATGATGGATTCGCTTCCTTCCAGGCATGGAAAACATTCCGCACCACAAACTTTCCGAGCATCTTCGAACCTGTCGAGGAGCCCACACCCGCTCCTCAACGGCATCCGTTCTGAGACGGGGAGCAGATGCGCACCGCCAGCAACCATCTACACGGATGACTGCGACCACTCTTACCCGGGAAGCAGTGTTAATGAGAGCGAATCAAGCTCTGCAGAGGAACTCGAAGAATAGTCCTGGCCGCATGAACGGCTTTGATGGGGATTGGGATCTAGACCGGCAGGCATTTCATGGGCCGTACGAGTTTGAAACACATAAAAGCACTTCCAGAGCTGCGGCTGCAGCGGAACGGCAGATGGAACCCCCAAACCGCTTTGTGCCTAAACGAACAGTGACAAGTGCAGCAAATCTTACTAATAGGTCAGGACAAAGCAGTAAGAATACTTTTTCACAACACCATGACTATCATGATGCGGAGCACTGGGAATCGGATCGTATGCATCATTCACTTTATGATTATGAGAAAGAGGATACGGGTCGTATAACCCATCCAGAGTATAACCATTCCTCACAGGAGGGGCGACGTCTGTCCAGCACATCCGCCGCATATCAACAATCCTCATCGTTCGGGCAACACGAATCGAGTAGTTCTCTGGAAGAAAGTTATGTAGACGGACCAAGGATACCGTGTCCTTCTTGTGGACGAAAGTTCATGGAGCAGGAACGGCTGGTAAGTAGCGCAACTGAGCAGTGCAACAGTTGTCGAGGAAACATTTTAAGAAATTGGGTGCAATAGGATAAACACATGGCAGCTTGCGCCAAATCCCAAAAACCACGAAAGATCTTTGACGCCAGCAAAGCTCGTGTCCGAGGAACCGAGTTGGAACAGTATGCTAATCGCCGATCTGATACTGGCCAATTAGGGAGCCTCAAACAGAAGGTATTTGGTTTCTTTGATATTGCATTGATGAACAGGACTTTAATGCGCACCATCTTACCACCAGGGCCTGCCACATGACGAAATTTTACTGAAACCGCGCAAAGCAAACTGGCGTGCGAAGCATGAGAAATTCATTCAAATGGTCCGAGCAGCGCGGCAACCCCATCCGTCTAGCAATTCCACAGAAAAGAAAACAGGGACAGTAACTCGCACACCGGTTGGCCCGTCCGAACCTGATCCAGACCTTGTGCCATGCGACTATTGTGGCAGACGATTCAACCACGACACAGCTGTACGACACATACCCTTCTGTCGCGACTCCAAGCAAAAATCACAACATCGCTCCAGTGCTAGGCCACACAATGCCTCAAATGCGTCGAGCCCGTCAAAGGAAGATATGCTCAAGAAACGGACGGCCTATCGACCTCCCTTGCCAAAAGTTAAGGGCAAGTCTCCCATAAAAATGCAATAATCCTTCCATGTTCTGGCAACGCAGTGCTCCAAAAGGGCCCGACTGATCAATTTTAATGATAAATCGAAATAATATGCCGTTACAGGGACTGTCTAAAATTTCATACTCATTTCTTTCCCTTCTTCTTTTTCTTATTGGACGTTGCTTGTTGCGCTGGTGGTGCAGGTTTCTGTGTCACAGGGGCAAGTTGCGGGCTGTCTGGGGGCGTTTCCTTTTTTGCTCCAACACTACAATATCCAATCGTTAGTTATGATGATTACAAGTACAATGTAACGACTACACCGCACCTCTTTCTTCCCTCAATGTTAGCGCTCCCGGTTCCGCCTGAATATAACCGTAGATGTTATCCATCATCTGTTCTGCTCGGCATCAAAAGAAAATAAACTTACCCAGTCCTCCACCAGCTAGTGCGGCTCCTTGCGGGCCTTTGCCGATATCCCGCTTTCCCTTACCCTTCTTTGCATAGGTAGAACGATCTCTTTTAGGTAACCACCTCTCTAAATTCGTTGAGTTCATAATTAATAAAAGTCGGGGATGCTATCAGCATATTCGAATAGATACCTGGATCTGGTGCAACATTGGGATCAATGTTTTTAGGAAGTTTTGGCTTTCGCTTTCGTTTTTTGGGCTTTGATGACCCTTCAGCGCCGGTTTCACGCATGCGCTTGTTGTTACCCGTACTACCGAAAGCCGACTCAATGGCGTCAACATCAATGAAGCTCTTGGGTACTTGGGCGTCTGATGGAAGGTATTGCTGATACTGCTCCGCCAGTGAGGGATCGAACTCGGAATATGCTATTATGAGTCCAGCGACCGACTCCACGTCGGTAGGATCAGCCTTAACAAGACGTTCATAGTCTTGAGCAGCATCCTGTGGCCGCTGACATTTGAGCTTATAGGAGGCTAACTGTTTGAGGATGGGCCGCTCGTTCTATACATGCCATAAATGAGCACAACGTGTAACTTAAATTCCAATCAAGGACTTACATTTGACCCCTTCCAGAACCGTGTTGCCTCTTCCAGCAGAGAGACAGCTGTGTCCACTTCGTTTACTTGTCCGTACAACCAAACCAGCAAGGAAACCACTGCGGGTTGATACCGCTTATCCTCACTGGCACTGTCAGCAAAAGTCTTCATTAGATTGAGCGCTCCGCGAAGGTTTGACTGCTCAATCAGCAACTGAGCCAGGGCAAGATGGATGGAAAGAGAGTGTGGAAGCTTTTGCACGTATTGCTGATTTTTTTGCATACTTAAGTTAGCCAGTTTAGCTCACATTTTACAAAAAATACAGAGACCCACCTGCAACTCTTCCAAAGCTTTGGATGGCAGCTTCTTTTCCTGCAGAGATATACCCGCTAAAATTAGATAGGGGGTATCGTCACCCGGGTATTGATCACAAAGAGCTTTCGCTTTTTGTCGCGCATCACCAAACTGGCAAGTCACATCTATGAGATTTGCAGCAAAGAGCAGAACGCTATTTGAAGAACATTACCTTGCTCATGGAGAGAGACAACAAGGCGCCGTTAACAGCAATAATCCTCCTTTGCACACTAGTGAGTTTGTGCTCCAAACCGCTGGATGTTGCCAAGCGATACAATTTTGCGGCGTCCGGTAGATCCCGATTCTTTTTAACAGTCATTAAGTTGTTGGACGCAATGGCCGAGATAGCCGTGTCTGTGCCCCTACGAATAGTCAAGGTTCGTCAATGACGGACTTGCGTGTGAATATGATGAAATTAAGCCTACTTCAATTTTAAAACCGTTTCGTAAAGCTCAATGGCCTCTGCGGATCTTCCTTGTAGTTGGTGCACATACGCGAGTTGTACGGCGATCACTGCAAGTTCCTGCTGAATCTCCTCCTCTGAGTACTGTTCCGCTGCCAAAGACTCCCGACAAAGTCCTATATTCAAGATTTAGGATCACTATCTTTTGCAGTACCCGATAATAAGGCTGTGCAGTACCTTTCGCCTTCTCTAATAAACTGGCAGCTTGATCGAGTTCCCTTTTTGCCAGATGCATACAAGCCACATTATATGCAACTTCGTAGGAATCAGATGATACATCTATCTCCATCTTTTCGCGGCCTATTAATTCTTCATCGCCTAGCGATTACTGTCATACAGCGCGTACCTCGTCGACGAGTTTTTCGCCATTCGCCACGGCGGCCGCTTTGACAGCCAGAATGTTCGCTCGCAACTCTCCTTGCTCATACTAAGAAATGCGTCAGTCTTGGCCCCAATCTGTGAGCATAGGCAACTCAATCTACCTCTTCTGCGCTAGTACTCAATTCCTTATATATCTGATCGCAATTATCATACTTCTCGAATCGATATAGCTTCAAAGAGGCGAATCATTCAGAATCGATTTGACTTCAGTTTCCAAGCATCTGCGGGCATCGATATCTTACGACTTGCGCTTCCAGATGTCTTAAGCTTCTCTCGACATCAGAACCAAAGTTTTTGGCTGCATCTTCGCGCTGCTTGCGGACGAGATCCAAGCAATCTTGCAGTCGGTTAGCCCGATAGAGGCAGTATGCTCGCTCAAACACAAGTTCCTCTCGCAAAAATGTCGGGATTGTCGGTGAGTCGATTAGTTTGAGAGCATTGGTATACTGCTCCAGCCGAATCAGCGCGACGATCTTTGGGGATCCTTATTAGACGAGATGCATCTGCGTAGCTCGTAAGCTGACGAGCCCAAGGGACATACCTTGGTGTGAATGGCATCTGGGTCACTAGGCTCCGATCGAAGAACTGCATGTACAAAGTGGTTAAACACACAATGTCCTTTTTGGCTTCATTCCGCTGTTCCGGCTCATACTTTTGTCACAAGTCTCGACAATTTTATCGTAGTTACTGCCGAGACACATCGAATTCAGCTCCACAAAGAGTCCTTGTGTCGTCTCCGCCATGGCCTCACAATGGCTCCCGAGAAGTACTTCTGGATATCACAGGTCCATGAAAGCCGAGTGTTCCGTTGTCCTGCTGTCCTCTTGTCGCTGTGCCGTCGACCTTGCACGTGACCTGCCCTTCATGGAGCCGATCAAATGAGGCTTATTACGAGATCGGTTGTGGGAAGCTGCCTGGATCTCCTCAACATGTTCCGAGCATTTCGCCATAGCGCCAGAACAATTGGGCGATATACTTGCTCTAGACTAGAATCCGGAGCGTACACGACACGATCAATGCCATCTGTGCTACAGGCAGTAGAATGTCCGCAAACACAAAGTGCTAATAGGTCTGGGTCGCAAAGACTCGGCGACCAGCATTCAAATGCGTTCGCAAACGCATTTCAATGTGCCCTTAGTGGGAAAGCTGGGGTTAGTCGTCCTGTGTCTGAAGCCGGTGTACGAGCGGAAACATATACTCATTGAGATAACTTTAGACCACGCGAGTTCCTGCCAGTCTGGCGGCAACGTTCCTTGTTAAGGCGTCGCTGGAGACAGCATTGTTTTCTTCCTCGCTTATAGATGGTAAGGTCTATTGATCGTATTCACACGCAGTGCAGCTGGACATAGACGTAGCCTTGCATGATCTATGCAACGTTTTATACCTCTCACTGATGCTTTTCGCTGTTTTCGTAGATGTCTAGAATGCCTTAGTGATGGCTCCAGGCAGCCGCGACATGATTTACTCTATATTTATACACCTCACCATTTCCGACATGTTGAATTTATATTTATTACAAGATGACAATTCAGGGTTGTTCGACATTGTCTTCCAAGTCGGGCTCATCATCTTCCCACAAAAGGGGATCATTGTCATCGTCTGGACTAAGGGGCGGATTCCCTACTGGGGTGTACCGCGCCCCTCCAAATGCGCTTCGAACTTTGCTGAACAGACCTCCTCTTGATGATGCCGCCCCTCCTGTCGAGGGACTAAGGCGAGTCAGACCAGCACAGCAAGCGCAGACTTTGCAACACTACTCACAGCTCATTGGCGTTCGTTGGGAGCGCGACCCCACCTGGAGCCTCATGGTAATTACTTCTCGCTGTCAATGCAGAGAAAATTCGTGCGCTTTGCAGTGCAGCGATGAACCTTGATGGCAACAAAAGAAAATCGAGCAGGTGGTATGCATCTGGGCTTCGATGAGTTTGGTGTCCCTCCCGTTCACATTCATCCTTCGAACTCACATAGCATTCCTCCCAAAATTCCTGATAGATGGCCAATAAATGAAGCCCATGGAGTAATGATGGCCGCTATGCCAAAGATGATCCAAGGGTACGCAACTCCTGCAATTTCCCTTCCAAATATCCTAAGGGCAAATTGAAAGTCAGGAGCAGGTTGACCCACGCTCTTGAGGGAACTTTATCGCACCTCCGGGGAGTAAAGATACCTCTCTCCAATACAGCTTCAACCGTCAAAGCGGAAAATATGAGCCCCGAAAGACCCGCGGAACACGCTGTTCCCCAGCCCGTCAATGTGATCAGCCCCAGGATTGAGCCAAGTAATACGTAGAGGAAACTATTGATGAAGCTCCACAGGAAAATGACGTGAAGGAATTGGAAAGTTCCAATGTCACGTTCGATAGGTGCAGCAAAGGAAGGAAATGCAAGGATGTTGAGGACCAGGTGAAAGATACCCACGTGCAGGAATTGATTCGCAAACAGTCGGTGGACTAGGCGACCAAGAAATACCGCGATCTTCAGTTGAGCTCGTAAAGCCTGGACACTTGAACAAACTTACAGTTTGCGACGGGGGCCTTTAAATAAGCCCATGCCGCTAGACAGCCTTTACTTGTCCAAGCCAAATCCTTTGTAAATATGTTTAGGAAATGGATTACGACGCAAGCACTGACTATAATGGCTGTTCCAAGAGGCAGGTCCGTGTACGCGGATGTGAGAAACTGTCCAACTCTTACAACGCCCTCCCGTAGCGCGTGTCGTCGGGATGTCGAGGGTGCCTGATCGGACATCTTTTGGAACTGGAAAGCGGCAGATAAAGGTACCAGCACCTGCCAGCCTGCTGTGCGAAACTGGTGAAGCTTTGATCTCCGTGTGGAGTGGCACTCGCGCATCATACACGTGACACTGTGGGAAGAAGCCCAAGATGACGCGTCGCCAACAACAAAGTGCAGCAAATCCATCTGACAATCATCCTCGAACGAGAACGATAGCTTTTCGTTCATAACCACCGTTAAGAACCAACATGGACTACTTTCCGGGAAACTGGGGAAACCCTCGCACTGGCGGGGAGACGTACGGACCTGTCTCCCACAAGGCAATGCCTGCTAACCACGCTACTCCCACCACTCGCACACAGTAGGTGGTCAACGCAAATTAACCCTTGAGAAGCTTGAAACTAAAACGTGCGAATTTTTCCTTCACACTAGGCAGCCCATTGTCACGGGTACTTCTGTACTGGGTATCAAATACAAGGATGGAGTAATGTTGGCTGCAGACACTCTCGGTACATAATTGGCTTCATTGGAGCTTTCCTCCCTCTGATAACGCTAACAATGGACTTGTAACTGTAACAGCGTCATACGGTTCCCTTGCCCGGTTCAGGGATGTGGAGCGGCTAATAAAGGCTGGGGACTCAACAGTGGTTGGCGCGTCGGGGGATATTTCCGATTTTCAACACATCTCCCACATGCTAGAGAAAATTCTGTAAGGAGATCTTTTGATGAAGCGATACGCATAGCAAATAGTCATTGATGGCAAATCTCTTTCAATAGCATCAAAGAATATAATACTGAGGATGGACACAAACTTTACGCGCGCCACATTCACGAATACCTTTCCCGTGTGATGTATAACAGGAGAAGCAATTTCAACCCTCTCTGGAACTCGCTAATCGTAGCTGGGGTTCGGGATCGCGATGGTGGCAAGTGAGTTTTCCGACACGAGTTTCAATCAAAGGTCAGCCGTCTCATGCGCTCGGTGAAAAGATTCTTGGGTTTTGTAGACCTTCAAGGGACCACCTATGAAGCATCTACCGTTGCGACAGGCTATGGTAGCTACATTGCTCAACCGCTCCTGCGAAAAGCTGTAGAAGGCCGTGAAGACACGCTGACAGAGGAAGAGGCTATCAAAATACTAGACGATTGCATGCGTGTATTGTATTACCGCGATGCGCGCTCCTTGAACAAGGTTTGTCATGTTGCAGATGATTGTCTATCGCGCATCAACACATTTACCACTGTAATGTAGATACAACGTGCGACAGTAAATGCATCTGGCGTAACAATTACCGAGCCGTACGAGTTGGAATCAGAATGGGCATTTGCGGAGGGCATCCGTGGTTATGGCGCAACAGAATGAGTTGACGCTATTTTGTTATCTAAAATTCCTGAAAAACTGTGCTTTTTGCATTGCACGCTTTGGTTGCTTTTTGCATTTTGTTGCAGAGCGTGTTCATTTGCGCAAACGCGTGGCGGATCGTTGACTATCAAAATTTGACTTTTTGACTTACGCATACAACAGAGGGGTTGATTTTTATTCATGGACATTATTGGGTTGTACAAACGGCCGACCGTTCGAACGGCGGCGGCTTTTTGAGATGGTTTTTTTAAAAGGGGAGGTCCTCCGTCGTTCTCCTCGCTCATTGTTCAAACGATCAGAATCGAGATTTCAAGGCTTTCTCCAGCAGGATAAAACGAAGAAATCATGTTCATCTTTGACGCTTGGTCACGGCACCGCGAACTCAAACGCCTATCTAAATACGCAAACCGACGACAAACAGCGTCCAGTCCCAAGAGTTCCACCGTAGGAACCATCACTCTTCCCAGAATTCCCAAAGCCAGCTACGACTGGGACTCACCCGATACCAAAGCCCGTCATGCGGCAGAATACCACTTTGAGGTTGAAAAAACGATACGAGAACAGCGACAGCGTGCGCAAATCATGCAGGAAAACTACAAGAGACCGAAAGAAGGTGTCTTGGTGGTTCTTGCGACCGACGAAGGTCAGCAAGGTACGACTGGTAGAATTTGCGCTGAGCCAGAACAATATGCCACGACGGGGCGACGTCCAGTGAGCCAGTACCCGGCAAGATATGCTTCCATGGATGCAAAGAGGCCGAACCTGCAGCAGCAGATCACACGGTCGAAAACCATACAGGAAACCAAGAGAAAGTCATCTTGGTGGGGCAAGCGAAAAATGGTGGATCCCCGTACTGTAAGATCTAGCGAGGAATACAACAGTCTTGAGCATGTTCCAACCACTAGGTGAGTTTGGTCAATCCAGTCTATCGTTGTCGGCTCTCCTTTAACATTTATTTTGCTCTCAAGAATGACTGTCTAGATAAACCCCCCCCCCCCCCCCCCACAGCTTCTGCATGTCCCTACCACTCTTGTTCATGACTCTTGCGGCTGGACCCGCCACCCTGCGCCTCATACTTGTTACTTGTACCATACAAAGATAGATTAGATGCCTATGAATATATAGATTGACTTCCAACATTCCCTTCCTGGGCTTCCTCCTCATCCATGGTGCTATCGTCAATTGTAGATTCGCCTCGTGCTGGTTTTTCTAGTGCCTCCTCCAATAGCTCTGCGGATCTCTTAACTGCTGGAAACTGTTGCAAGGCCATAGGGGACTGCTCTAGATATGTCAAGGCATCTTCAACTCTAATTCGCCAGTCAATGTGCTAGGACGGGTCGCAAAGAATGACATTTAAGAGCCCACCAACCATAAGAACATTTGAGGCACAACCAACCTCGGCATTATATTGCTGCTCCAACTGCGTAAGATTGGCCTTGTAATCCGTACTCCCAGATTCTTTCATAATCTCCTGCCACTTTTCTTGTTGAGCATTCAACTTTTGGTTTATTGCACTGAGGTCTTCAACCCGCTTGTTGCATCGCTCGAGTAAGGATTTCAACTCATTAATCTCGGCTTCGTGCCGGGTACTGTCCATCTGATAGTCAAAGTCATCAAGGTTAGAGTACATTCCAATCTCGTTCAGAGCTGTAGCAGCCAGGAAACTGCTCACTACCTGGATATCATGTGCTAGTTTAGCATTAGTTCCCCTCAATTCCTCAACTAGTGAGTGCAAGCCCGCATTTTCCTGGGCAAGCACATTAATTCTCTGCGTATCTAATTGACTGTTCGAGCTAGCTGTGGCCTCGTCCAATAGTCTCTTGATGTCGTTCAGCTGCTTTCTCAAATGTGTTATTTGTTTGCGCTGCCCTGCATTCTCTTGAGCCAGAATTTCTTTCTCGTTCACCCATCTCTGTTTTTCTTTCATATAATCTTCTTTTGAACTGAGTTGCTCAGCCAAGCCGCGCATATAGTGATTTCGCTCGCTTCGTAGTCTATCCACATTAGTCGTCGCTTCCGCTAACTGTTCGCGAAGGGCCTCGATTTGATCGTTCAATGTGGCGCAAACAAACTCTGTCTCCTGCCGTTCCTTTGCTAGTGAATCTTGTGCAGCTTCTAACTGTGTACGAAGTGTGTTGCCTGCTTCGACTTGCTGACGTATTCGTGCCAATTCCGCATTCAATTCTGACTTTTCCTGCACCAAAGAGGCTTCTGCCGCGCGTCTTCCCTGCTCCGAACTGTCATACAGCGACTGAAGACTTGCGAGGTCGGTTTCAAGTTGTGATTTGCAATCTTCGGCCGCTCTTACTTCAGCCTGCAGTGCAGAGTTTTCCTCAGATAATCGAGCCATGCAATCCTTGTTCTCTTGCGAGAGCTGTTCGTACTCGGTCTGCCACTTCAACAGGCTTGTTTCCAAGTCAGAAATTTGTAACTTGGCGGTTTCCAAATCGGATTTGAGCGCTGCCTTGTCAGCAGAAAGATGGTCATGTTCTTTCTCCGATTTCAGCTTGGATTTGTAGTCGGCAATGCTGGATTCTAGCTTTGCTATCCGTTTCTTCGCCGTCTCTTTTTCGGCCCTCAGCTCTGCATTCTCTAGCGCTAAGCGAGATTCTGATTCTTCACGCTCGTGCTCCAGTGTCAATCGTTCCTCTTTCAGTCTCGCGACCTCTTCTCCAAGCTCGGCAATCTGCTTTCGCGCATTGTCCATATCAGATGTTGACTGTTCTGCGTTGAGCTTTGCAACTTCCTCTTCAAGCTCGGTAACCTGCTTTTGTGCATTATCTATGACGGGAGAGTCCAAGGATTTCGCGCCTCCTTGGCTCTGAAGAATTTCCTTCTCAGCCCTCAATGTACGGATTTCCTCCGTGAGCATCTTCTCTTTATCCTAAAAGATCATTAGTGCTTGTCTTCAAAGCGATGGTTGTAGATGGCGGAACTCACCAGCAATCGACGAATGACTGTTTCTGCACAATCAAGTTCAAGCGCGTGAAACTTTTCCATCGAAGCCTATTCTCCACGGTCCGTGAGTACGGTACGACGCAGCCACTGTTCTCGATGACCTGGGTATTGTACCTGCTCCTTCTCCATCTTTGTCCTGTACCATGTGAGAATTTGATCCCGCTGATCGGCATTGTACTCCGCCTGCTCCAACTCTTCTTCTAATCTTGCAATCTCGTCCAGAAGCTGCATGGGAAAAAGGTTTCGCTTAGTATATATGAAAGCACATTACTTGGATACAAAGCACGCGCAGACCTCTCTGGTACTAGGGATTCCGGCCTCGTCCAGTCTCAAGGAGGGAATATTATTCTCATCTGAAGCATTGACCTCAGCATCCGGAATCTGATCTAGTCTGGTATTCGGGAGTCTGTTCACAATCCGCCGAAGACGATCTATCTAAGAACAAAATACCATTAAGTTCCTGAGTTGGTAAAGGTCAAATGCCAACTTGTAATACATTACCTCCAGCGTACTCTGAATGCCCTCTTGTTCTGCCTGTTGTTTAAGATCCTGCAATTGGCGCTCGTAATTGTGGATCTGGGCAAGGAGAGCCTGCTCACGGTCAAACCTGTGCGAGGTGAATCAGTGACAGATAATACACGGTCTTACATTGCCCAGAGCTTACCAGCCTAGCGTCTGGCTTTGTTGAGGAGACTTCCCATGGAGATGAAGGGTTGTGTCTGCCAGTACGCTGCTATTTTCAACCTGCTCCGATCTTTCCTCCATCCAGATCTCACCCGATCGCACAACGTTGGCGACAACGGATGAAATATGCTCTTCCTCTGCAAGAGCGTCGTGAAAACGGGAACATGTCGTCAGACCACCCATGTGAAAGCGATCATCGTCTATCATTCGTGTCGATGATTGGGCCCTGCCTTCGGACGTTCTCTGTAGGTGCGCTGTCACGGGAGACTGGGGTTCCGATAGCGATTCTGGGGCAAGGACGAAATTGGTATCTATATCCGAGTAAGAATTCATGAGTGTCGCTATATGGTACTGTCTCCAGAGTATGCTCCTAACCTGGTGTTGCCCGAGCGTTGAAGAGCTGTCGAGGAGGAGTGATCTCTAATTGCTCCCAGTCTACAACATTTTTGACGGCCTCCCCCTCCCCCTCCTTTATAATTGATATCCCAGATTCCCAATCCTGAGAGTCTTTGAAAGGGATATCGTCCCCTTTCCGGACCGACACGGTCATAGTATATGGGGCTACGTCGAGAGCTTCCGTACTCCGTGGCGACCGTTCCAGCGCCGGCGCTGCGAATGAGCCGTTGCTCTTTGCATTCGCGCGCGGGCTTAAGGTCCCGGTTCGCTCGGACATTCTTCTTCTACAAGTAGGCGAGAAAGAATGCGTTGCTTACTGGCGATCCTCATTGGGTGATTTACCAGCCATCTTCACAGCCGGGGTGGACGAGCACCTTCGTAACGCGTAGAGACATGTCCGAAATCAGCAGAGGGTTCGATCCTCGCTGAGAACAATTTCCTGTGATTTTTTCGGTGCTTAGGTTGATTGGCTCAATTTTTTTGAAGACTGCTCCACTTTAGCTGAAACCCGACGGTGCCAACTAAATTCCAAGATCGGAGGTCAAACTCACCACAAACAGCCCTCCCCAGACCTATATTTGCCCTTATCATGACCGAAGACAAGCCTGCAACCGGCGATGTTAACCTGCTTCTGGACGACGTGACGGGGGAAATGGTCTCCAAGTCGTGAGTATAGTAATATATAGGCAGTCAGCACATGAACCAACGTGCAACCTGTTTTGCATAACCACATTCATGATTATAACTTTTCTTTTTCTCTACCCATAGTGAGTTGAAGAGACGAAAGAAGCAGAGAGAGAAGGAGGCGGCGAAGGCAGCAAAGGAGGCCGCTGCTCCCAAGCCCGCTGCCAAAAAGGAGAAGGAAGTGGAGGAAGAGGAGCTAGACCCCCGCAAGTACTTTGAGAATCGGTCCAAGCTTGTCCAAAAGCTTCGCGAATCGAAGGAGGCATATCCACACAAATTCGAGGTTTCGATCTCTCTTCCCCATTATATCGAGAAATACTCGAAGCTGGAGGACGGTGCTCGACTTGACAAGGAAATTGTGACAGTGGCCGGACGTCTTCACAACTGCCGTGCTTCAGGAAAGAATCTCATCTTCTACGATTTGCATGCCGAAGGAGAAAAGATCCAGATCTTGGCATCATCCCAGGACTCTGAACGAGACTTCCATGAAGTGCACAAGAACTTGCAGCGGGGTGACATCGTCGGTGTCAAGGGGTTCCCGGGTAAATCTAAGAAGGGGGAACTGTCAATCATCCCGAAGGACATTATTCTCCTTACCCCGTGCTTGCGCATGTTGCCTAAGGCTCACTACGGTTTCAAGGATCAAGAGCTCCGATACCGGATGCGCTACCTCGATTTGATCATGAACAACAACGTGAGAAACAAGTTCACAACAAGAGCCAAAGTCATCAACTATCTTCGACGATTCCTCGACAATCTGGGATTCCTTGAAGTTGAAACCCCCATGATGAACATGATTGCTGGCGGAGCAACTGCCAAGCCGTTTATCACTCACCACAACGACCTAAAGCTAGATTTGTTCATGCGGATTGCTCCTGAACTCTACCTCAAACAATTGGTGGTGGGCGGTCTAGACCGAGTCTACGAAGTCGGAAAGCAGTTCCGTAATGAAGGAATTGATCTCACACACAATCCCGAATTCACAACTTGTGAATTCTATATGGCGTACGCTGATATGTACGATCTGATGGACATCACTGAAAGCTTGCTCTCTGGTATGGTCAAGACTCTGACGGGTGGCTACAAGGTCAAGTACCACCCTAATGGACCCGAAGGGGAAGAATGGGTCCTCGATTTTACTCCCCCTTTCCGTCGTGTCCAGATGATTCCCGAGTTGGAGCGATTGTTAAAGGTCAAGTTCCCCCCAGCTGAAACCCTAGGAAATGAAGAAGGACGTCAGTTCCTAGACGATCTCTGCAAGAAGAACAATGTTGACTGCTCAGCTCCACGTACCAGCGCCCGTTTGTTGGATAAACTGGTTGGAGATTTCATTGAAGTGCAATGTATCAGCCCCACGTTCATTACCGAGCACCCACAAATGATGTCGCCGCTCGCCAAGGCGCATCGCTCCACTCCCGGTCTTTGCGAGCGTTTCGAGTGTTTCGTCGCCACCAAAGAGATCTGCAATGCATACACCGAGTTGAACGATCCTTTCGATCAACGCGATCGATTCGAACAGCAAGCCGCAGACAAGGCTGCTGGTGATGAAGAAGCTCAACTGATCGATGAGACATTCTGTAATGCGTTGGAGTACGGCTTGCCGCCTACTGGTGGTTGGGGATTGGGTCTTGACCGTCTCACGATGTTCTTGACTGATTCAAACAACATCAAAGAAGTTTTACTTTTCGTAAGTGTCATTTGGTCAGTGAGCACCATTACCGGTTCTAAGTATAACTCTTCTACCCAATAGCCTGCCATGAAGCCTGAAACCCAAGAACAGGAAAAGCAACGAGAGCATTTCATAGCAGAACAAATTAATCCACACGCGGTGAACACTGAGATCGGCGTTCGCTCTACCTAGAGTTTACAGTGGATAGAGGAAGCTAAAATGTCATTGATCATGTTAATCAGACTAAATACAATCTGTATCAGGGTGATTTTCCACTATTACATCCTTGATTCCCATAATTTCACTTTCTCTTGCTTTTCGTTCCACCTCCCCCAGTACCGCCTCCGGAAGCACCGCTCTTCTCGGAGCTTGAAGCTGGTTTACCTGCCGTTCTCCTATTTCCACCTTGGGTGGCAGGCGGTTCATAAAGGCTTGTAGTGCTGGAAAAGCCCGATCCCGCTTTTGCTCCCTTACTGGTGGCAGGGCCACCGGTACCAGTAGATGTAGGTTCACCTCTCGTACCGGCTTTGGGCTTGGTGCGTTGTCGAGATGCTATTGGCAGGGTTAATGCATGAACACGGTGGGATCCAAGTTAAAAGGATTTCTTTGGCTGACCTGAAAACTTCAGCTTTTCGCCGCCTTGTTGCTCAAGTAAACTCACATATGTTGGAGCAGATTCGTCTGTTTCATCTATTATGCATGTAGACCAGTTCGCAAATTAAATCAGCAGATAGTCACAACTTCTGCCTAACCTACCCCCAATAACTTTTACCAAAATATATGTCGCCCTTCCGTCCAGATACTTTTTTGCATATTCCTTAGATTTGCTTTGTAAATCGATCACTTCCCCTGTCTCTGATGCTAAATCGACATTTTCCAGAAGGTGTGAAAAGCCGCAACTAGTTTTTAGATGGTGCAACAGGACAGACGCTAAGGTGTTGGGATTTACAAGGCGCTCTTCATTGGCTATAAGAGAAAAATGGATCAAATCAAAGTTTAAAGAAACTGACGAGGCATGACGGACACCGACCTCCGTATTTTACAACGATGAAGGACATTGTCGATGAAGGTGTAAGAACTGAACGCTTTCCCGTTGCTTACATCTTGATTAGTAAGCAGTTGCTATAGCACTAAGCTTGACCTTCATGCAGATCTCGGGATAGCATTGCTTTAAGGAATTTGGGGTTGGGTTCTTGCTGAGGAACTCTTTCCAATCATGTCCCACGCACAAACACGAATTTGCCGGTCCATTCTAGCCGAGCACTTTGGTCCTCTTGTCGAGGTAATCGCTGCTGCTACCATTCACGAGAATGCCCATGCTGACCCTCATATGTAGAAAGTATGCACTGTACTCCTTCAAAGAGGTCGTAGCAACATGTCGGTCCTTGTTCGAGCCACTGACATGCCGCCCCGGCAAATACGAGAAAGCTTGTTTGTCCTCATTCAACACAACATTGTGACATACGCGGAAGTTCCAGAAGGCACCCGCATGGTTGTTTATTATCAAGCGGACGTCCGCAACATCATACTGAGAGACCGGTTTCCTTTGTATATCCGGACTGTTCAGGCAAGATTTGGGGAGGAGGTAAGTGCACAAGTTCCGCTATCATTGGGACGAAATGATCTCTAACCGCGGTGTAGAGCGAGAGAATTCTTCGCGAAGTCTTGCGACACGGACGTATCAGTTACCTCTTCCTTTCTCAATCCAAAGCTACGAAACTCTCACGAGAACAGCTGATAAATTGGTTTGTTCGGTTGGTGGACGAAAAGGTTTTAGTGGAATGCACGCACGACGACAGCCTTTCGATCGATGACAAGAGGATGCAGGAGGAAGCGACAGAGGTCGCCAAGCGAGGTGGTCTTCCCTTAACTGCCACGGAAATGACAAAATTACGTCGAGACCTGGCGCAGAAGCGAGAGGTCTTGTATGATGATACCCAAGACACTGGAACCAAAAGGAAGATTGTACGCGATCTCGAAGAAGTTGCACATACGAAGTTTCAAAAGTTTGCGAACGATGATGGGGAGGAGCCCATCGATGGTACTAAATATTACCGAACAAATTATGATCGGCTGCATGTATATTTACGGAATGAGGAAGTTGCTAAAGTTGCTGAGCAGCGAATAAACAAAGGAGCGGGAGAAGTAGTTCGCAAGCTGCTGGCTTCCTGCGAACACAAAATGCGTAGATGCAAAGGAGAATGGAAGTCGGACGCCGTCAGTCAGATAATGTTGGCTTCGACATTGGATCCCCAAATTCCCCTGGCAGTCGACGACAGCAGCGCCAATCCAGTGGTAGACTACTTGGAAGCCTTGGCGCAGGACGATACTCGTCTCGTCTCTAAGGAGTCGGAGGGAGGGGGAGGACAGTATGCTGTTAACTTGAAAAGAGCAGGAGAGGAATTGAAAGCCAGGTTGATGGAGTCAATCGTCCAGGAAAAGTTTGGGGACGCGGCCCGACGGATATGGAGAATTCTCCTAATGATGAATAAATTAAATGAGATGCAGGTTGGTTGTCCGTTGGAGAGACGATTAAACTGTCATTAAATTGATTCTCTTTTGACTCTTGTACACGTATAGATTGCGAAGTTTGCCCTTATACCCGTTAAAGAAGCGCGACATTATTTATATGCTATGCTCAACTCTGGTTTGGCGTTTATTCAGGTCCGCGCCTTTTTGTTCCTTGTAAAGAACCACAACATCATTAACGCTCCCCAACAAAACAGGACGTTCCCAAGACGTTGGACCATTCCGCCGCCCGAACATTCTTCCTTTGGTACGTTTCCGTACCACGGAGCACCACCATAATGATTGAATCCGCCTACCGAACGCTTGGCAATCTTAAACAACGAAGAACGAAGGAAGTCGCTGCACGTGCTCGCTTAATTGACAAGATGCAGCGGCTAGACGTAATCTCTGGAGAGGCTAGATTGAGTGAAGGGGAGTTGAAAGCAGTGGCCCAGCTGAATCAAGTTGTAGGGCAGTTGATATGCACTGAAGTTAGAATGTCCCAATTCCTCATGATTTTGCAGGAATTTTGAGATTCTGAACGGACTTTAATAGAAGGGATAAGCCACGTCTGTGCCACTGACGCGTATTCGATCAACTTAAACGCCCAACCAAAAACTAGCCTGCATGCGAATTCCGCACAAATGGACCTCGCTTGGAAGGTGATTGTGCTAGTCGGGGCACACATACTTGCCATCTTGCTTGCTCTCTCATGGATTAGGTTGCGTGCAGCTCCGGGCAAGAAGGAGCGGGTTGTCGTCCTCGTTCTCGGCGATATAGGTCGCTCTCCTAGGATGCAGTATCACTGCCTGTCGTTAGACAAGCATGGCTTTGATATTCACTTAGTGGGCTATAAAGGAAAGGAGCCGTTGCACAGCATACAAAATTCCAAAGGCATCAGCATTCACTATATTGACGCTCCACGGAAACTTTCGGCCAGCTCGTCACCATTCCTCTACATTGGACAAGCCGCTGTACGCATTCTAAGTCAACTATGGCAATTGATAGACGTTTTATTGTTTCGCATAAAGACACCAGGCCATATACTGGTTCAGGTAGGAGTGGAATGCTCAATCGGCATTTTAATATTGGCTCATTCATATGGCCTTTGCAGAATCCTCCTGCCATTCCCACCCTCATTATCGTGCAATTTATTCGTGCAGCTCTAGGGTCCAACCTTATAATCGATTGGCACAACTTTGGATACTCCATAATGGCACTGACACTAGGCCAAAAGGCCAGTGTAGTAAGACTAGCTAGATGGTAGGGTCACTCATGATGGGTTCTACGTTGTCGCGCAAAAGATGACATGAAATTGTTTGACAAAGGTACGAGCGGACGCTCGGGGCCTTTGCCACTGCTCATCTATGTGTGAGCAAAGCAATGGCGTCGGAAATTCGGGATGGTCTCCATGCACGGTATGTTATCCATTCCGCCAATTTACTACTGCTTCTTGGGGACCCAGCTCATGTCAAGGTATTGTTTTAGCGGAAAAATAGCAATACTGTACGATAGACCCCCCGAGGATTTTCGACGTCTGTCTTTAGAGGAGATCCACGAGGTTGGTGGACAAACTATGTGAATCCGTCCGATCTTCCTTTATATTTGAAACCAGTTTACCTCCCAATACGATTGGCGTGGAGACGAATTAAAGCATGGAGTAGAAGATAGGGCTGCAAGTTCTCCTTTTACCTCTTTAACAACGTCGGGATGTCAGTTTCGTGCAAATCGACCAAAGCTGGTTGTGAGCAGCACGAGCTGGACAGAAGATGAGGATTTTGGAATCTTATTAGACGCCGTCAGTCGATACGATGAAGAGGCAAGACGATTGGAGAAATCAGCATCGGAGCGCCTGTCAAGCATCGTCATCGTCATTACCGGCCGCGGCCCTCTTCTCCATTTCTATAAAGAAAAGATCCGCAATTTAAAGCTGCAGTACGTGGAAATCAAAACTGCTTGGCTGTCAGCGGAACACTATCCGCTTCTCCTTGGTAGGACGCATAGATAATTTCCATCCATTAGTGGCATCCCGTTGAGTCCCTTTGGTTGTCAACCATCCATAGGCAGTGCTGATCTGGGAATTTCGTTACATACATCTTCGTCTGGTGTGGACTTGCCGATGAAGATTGTGGACATGTTCGGGTGTGGTTTACCAGCTTGTGCGATTGGATATCAATGGTAAGTAGTGAGGGTCTATCAGCACATGTGAGCCGTAATTTTTGATGCTGCTTCATGTGCAGTTTAGATGAGCTAGTTGTAGACGGGCAAAATGGTCGCATCTTTTGGAGTGCCGAAGAGTTATGTGAACAAATCAAGGTGTGGTTCGTTAGTACTTTAAGATTTTCACATGGCATGACCCTTGAATCCAATGCAGGATTTACTGCACTCTCCTGAATCTCTGGAGCGTCTGCGGGCAGGGACAATTGAATTCCAGAAAAGACGGTGGCACACCGAATGGACACAGCACGCGAAATGTCTATTCGATTTGTAAATGAAATAAATAAGTTATTCAGTCTCGCCTAGGTGCAAAGAAATCGACAGCTAAGAGGTGGTAGCAGAGGTGGATTGTCGCATAACGACTGCGTGGTCCGGCGTTTCGGGAATATATGGACATTCTGATCCGAGTTCCCCAGTCTCTTGCGTTACTATAGGGTTCGATTGCCGAAGGATTGCAGTCTGCTTTTCTCGCTTTCGGATAGTATCATCGTAGAATTCTGCCAGACCGAGGTGGTGGCTAAAATGAACATACATACGTGAATAGTCGTTGGTAGTGTAAGAGCGGCTTATACATACCACAAATCTTTATAGGTTTTAGTTTTCGCTAATGTTTCTCTATATTGCTTCCCCATCGATGATGGCCACATTAGTAATAGACAATATTTTGCATTATGAAAGGGCTGCAAGAACAACGTCAACATCTGCTGGAAACTGGTAACAGATATGATAACATGTCTCACCATATCATATTGAATAGCGGTTCGCGCGTACTCTTCCATTATAGTGCGAATGGGAAGTAGGCCCTCTCGCCTGAAAACGGATACATTGTATTGGGGTGCACGAGCGAGCATGAATGAGTGGATCGCTGGAGAATGTGGTTTTGATTATTACTCTAGCTTCTTAGTATGAAAATACACGCAAGTTGGCTATACCTGATGATGCTTGTAATTTTCGCACGTCGGACAAACTGAAGATGTCGCCATTCGCAATGACGGGTACTTGTACAGCGTTCGCGATGGGTTCAAATATCTCCCAATGGCCTGGATCCTGCGGCCGCTCGTCCTTGAATCTGCAACGGATATGTTAGTGGGCCTATATCAAGCGGTCGGCCTGAGGTTACGCACCGACAATGAACACCAATTGCCTTTACACCGGTTTTCTCGATTCTTTTCATGAGGTCGATCGTCCTCTCTATAGCTGTCTGCGACTCGCTTGCTGGCAACATGCGAATTTTACATGTGATTGGCAGTGAAATCTCTGCGACAAGCTTTGACAAGATCTGTAGGCAGAGTGGATGCAAAAGTAAATAAATTGAGCCATGGCATAAAGACCTTGTAAAACGCACCGCAATCAGGCGATCTGGGTCACTGAGAAGCGCCGCTCCCATGCTCGACACTGATCGATGTTATTATTGGGTAATGAGATATAAAATTCCATCAAAGAATTCTCAGTTATCTCGTACCTAATGAAAACCGTTTGGGACATCCGCAATTAACGTCAATTCCAGCGACATCTTTTTCCCTGTAAGCATTACCGAGACAAAGTATGACATCAGCAATTATGTCAGGTACAAGATAAGAGCATGCGTTCATGAGGAGCCTACACAAGTCTCGCTGCTTGCACCGCCAAGTCGGGATCCCCAGTTCCCAGCTGTACAACCAACCGATCCATCTCTGACGGATGAATCCGTAGCGTCAGCGTTCCACTATCAGTACTAACAAAGTCGACTGTGCCTAGAATATCTGTTAAGGGCAAAGCGAAAGAGAGATCAGATCATTTGAAATACACAAGGTAAATTCCGGTGGGAAACTGACCGTTTACGACACGTTTGGATTTTATCAGCCGCTTGTCCACGGTCTCCGGACTGTAAACCATATCTGTTGAGAACAGGCCATGTCAATATATGGAAGTCAAACAAGTGGTCTCTACAGTTGAAGAGCCGTCGGGGCTTGTCGGTCGTCACCGGAAGCTTTAAAGCTTTTCCAGAAAGTACCTCTCGATCACTTCCCCATACCGCCTGTCGCAAACTCAACCCGCTTTCTTCATATCCGCACACTTTGCACTATTAACTAACCTGCACCATACTGAAGCGCCAATAGTCGCATGGGAAGAGTGCCAACTCGAACCTAAAGGTGTGGATCAGCGATACGCTGAATATACCAGACAATATACTGATGGACCGGACCATTGGGGCTAGCACCAGCTTTCCTCGATAATCAAGCTGGGTCATGATGTCCGTTCCAGCTCCTTGGACCATGCGTCGGCGTATCTGCTAAATTTGTTGAGCGTCTTCAAACATACAATACAAACTCGACCATTACATACCAATTTCGTTGAGATCGTACGAAAGTGGATTTTAAAGTATGATGGCCACCATACGCCCTTCACTAGCATCGAAGGTTCATTGAAATGCGATCCATCAAGTTTGCCAGATCAAACAACTTGCACAAAAAAAAATAATGGAAATGAATTCCATTTGGGTGCGTGCCCAGAGTTTCGAACTGATGACATGAATCACCGGGATTTACCCGGTGGACCGTATTGTCGGATCGTTCGGGTCACCTGGGACGCTCCGCCCTGTTGAGGTCATTTGCGTAAACGAGACTTTAATGGTGCTGTTGGCCAAAGGTCTCCTTCGCCAGGCGCTATGCTGAGTTCCGGTTGTTCCTCGTATCAATGCAGGATTATTTGTGCTCACGTTCGACATCTACGTGACAAGGTGCTGGGAGGCAGACAAGGCCTCTCTCCACAAAATCCTTCTTCGGCGTGAGAGATTTCTCTCCCAGCGATATAAAACTCAAAGGATGATAAAGCTGGATCCTAGCAAGCCACTCATGCCCCTGGACATATTTCTCCTCATATGTTTCTATGCAGATTCTTGTACCATATGTAAGTGTCTGCGTGGATGTAAAGAATGGAACGATGTCTTGAATGACCACGACGAACATCTTTGGAGGATGAAGGTGCTATGCTTCACGTCGTTGACCGTGCATTTCGCGTATCTAACGTCTTATGGCCCAGGTCAAGCCATTTTCCCCAGATTGTTGCCTTCCAACTCGAATGCACGGGGAGAAATGGAAGGACATCTATGCTATCTACAACATTTGGTCGCGACCCCTAGTAATAAAGTCAGTCGCCTACTTCGAAGTACCTACCATAGGCCCTCAATCAGAATTACCCTCTTCTCTGGGGCACGTGTTGGACAATCATGTTCTCACCTATCGTCTCGTTGCTGGGTTCATTGCAGCCAAAGAAGATGGCAAGGATATACTGTTGTCTAGGAAATGCGTGACCGCTAAAGATCGTGTTGTCTACATACTAAAGGGGGAACTATGGTCGACAACTTTGCACGGTCGCAAGTTTGGTCCCGACGTGCAGATTGCCTGCCCCAGACTTGGTCCCGAAACGCGCTTAGATCCAGCGATACGATCTGACACCTATCCCGTCGCTGGCTCAGACATGGTAAAATTTCGACGACTGGACGATGATGCTATCGAAGCAGTGGTAAATGAGCGCTTGTCAGAAGAGGGCCACCTTTGCGGAACAATCTATGCAATGAACTCGTACGATGAGAATCTAATGCGAGCGTCGCTCAGTTTGATACGAGTCCCCGAGAACTTCCCGCTTGATACCTTCAAGACCTCTGGAGAATCTGATGGAGAACCAGGAACTGCCATCCCCCATGGAGAACAGATAAGCCGAATTGACCATATAGACGACTCTCTGAATGCTGTGGCATTAAATGAAAATCTTCTCGCCTATCGAACTTGTGAGTATGATTTTTTGGCTCTTCTTATAATAATCGAGCACCGCCTCATAGTCTTTGTTATTCCATAGGGAGTGGGGATAGTGTTCATCCAATTGTTTTCTTGCGAATACACGATCAATCTGAATATGCAACTCTATTACTGAACGACATGGAGGATAATTTAGTTCTGCACCTACTCATGACGCGATTTCATGTAATCGTAGTCTGCGGAGCAGGTCGAGCCGTGTATGTGCACGAACTTGCATCCATGAAGAGGTTGCATACATTCAGCTTGTCCAAATTGCTTGATAAACCAAGCAACGTTGACTGGGTGGACGTTACCATGGATGAAAACGGTTTGCTTTTTGGCATGGAAGATGGCCGGCTTGTGTTCTTGGACCTACATCATCAGAAGGCAAATATATATTGTCGGATGGTTCCTTGTCAGCAGGAGGCATTATGGCTGATGTATCGCGAGAGCCAAATAAAAGGGGGAAGAACAGTCTCGTTGGAAGATAGAGTAGTGTGCAAAGTGCTAAGAGAGCCGCTTGTAACTATTTAAAATTGCAAATCTAAGCAACGGCTATGGAACATAATCATCATCGGAGCTCAAAGCTATTCTAGCTGTAGATGCACGACTATGTAGTGTGGCGCTTGGCTTGAGGGCCACATCTGTGTCGTCAGAACCATCACTCACAATGTCAATTGGAAGGGACTTTGTTGTGCGACGTCGAGGCTTTCCAGACGGATTAGTTGTGTCTCTAGTCTGGTCGATGCCGTCGAATCTGCTGACGTCTTCCTTCTTCTCTGGTGACCTCAGCACCCTTCCTGTTCGATCCATTCCGACTTGGCTTGTCTTTCTCGGTTTGGTGACAAATGAGTTTTCCTCTAAATCGCTCTCGTCTAAGTCAATAAACTTTCGAATTTTAGCTGATTTCTGCGACACGCTTGTCGCAATGGCGGTCGCTGTTGGGCAGGATTCACTTTTTCGCTTGACCCTGGTAGTTCCAATGCGCGTTGGTTTGTTCTCTGCGATCTAAGGTTGGATGTGTGAAGTAAGCAGAAGGTCACATCATAGATCACTGCGGCCCAGGAAAAATCGATCTTGCCTGATTGTCCGATTCTAACGGTCCTAAGTACGGTAAACCATCAGGTCATAAAAAATCCTTACGACACCGCGGTGAGAACATGGTCGCACCTTTAACGTTGGATTGAACAGGAACGCCAAATAGTTCTGTTATCTTTCTCTGCTTGCCTGGTACCGGCGGAGACCTCGGTATTATCTTTCGGCCTAGTTTACAATGTTCGACAGTCAAACCCTGTGCAAACGTAATGCGACATTCCGTACACGTACCGGAGAAATCCTCAAATGCAAACGGGTCGAGAGCTTCTTCCAGCTTCAACTTTGCACTGGTGACGGGCTGCTTAGTGTCCTTGATGCTGTGTTCGTCTTTTTCGGTTGAAATACTTCTATTTTCGGCCCCAGTCTTCCATTTGGTGCCGTTGCTAGGAGCCAATGCGGCGGTGAGCACTTTCTCTTGACCTTTTCCTCCAGGCGCGTCAAGGCTGGAGTTGGGCTCCTTCTTCGAAGTGATTTGAGTGGTCTCCTTGTCCCGCAGTGCTCGCATGTGAGGAGTGGTGTGGGGAGTGGCCGGTTTTGCCGTTTTCGGTACTACGGGTATGATGAATAAGACTGGCAGCATGCAGGCATTGCTTTATATCAAATGTACCTTTCCGATCCATGTAATCCAGATCACGCTCATCGTCCACGTCAACATTTCCTGGTGTCGAAAAGAACAGCCTTCTTTTTTTCGACTTGCGAGCAGTATCGACACTGATGTCCTTTCGTTGAGCTTTTCTTACAGCGGACGCGCTTTTTGCAGCACCTTCTGCAATCGCCACTTCGACGCGCTGGAGGGCAGTGATTCAGCAGAACGGACGAGTAATAGTATTGATATTGTGCACTCACATTCCATTCCTCGATGAATGCCGATAGATCCATTTTCCAGAGATCGCTAGGGGAGGTTGCGAGCAGGGTAGTAAGCTCTTTTTGCTTGTTGTCCCGATCATCAGTCATTTTTTGGACCTATGAAATATCTTAGCAAGCCATAATCTAGCGGTTTGCACAGCGGAAATCTACACAGTACCTTTTCTAGCGTCAAATTCCAAATTGGCATGGAGAGCAGGTAATTATAACCATGTCGTTCTGAATCTTCTGCCTCTTTGTCTTCAGTATCTTCTTCGTCATCGTGCTCCACCAGACTTCCCTCGTTCGTTTTGGATATAGGTGCATATTGATGCGCCTTGAGCAGTTTTATCACATTCGTCCGCCTTTTGTTCTGAATGACAAGGTTGCCACTGATCACTTCTAGCACGAAACGAACTTGATTTTCCAATTTCGTCAGCTCTCGCCGAATGCGGCCCACTAACCAATGCTACAGGAGATGCATGGTAAGTGTGATGCCTTACAACCGAACTATCCAAAATTCTAGTATCTGCTGCAACCTTCCGCCTTTGGTAGAACTCCAAGCGTAGCTCGTAAAATTCATTCATGATTTCCTCGATGGTATTATATTTCTTAAGTCGTCCTCCCTTGTCGAACAAAACCATGTTACTGATTGATTTCATCGTCGCCATTTTGAATTTCTTTTCCAGGCCTTCCTCTTCGGCTTTTGCCATTTGAGTTTCGGTTAGGCTGATTACAAAATGTACCGAAGTATCCGTGTGATACTCCTTGTAATCCTATACCAACAGGCATTTAGCTTCATTTGGGGACACAGAGGAACGTTCATAACAGACCTTGATGGAGGGTTGTATCTTCTCCGTGCCAGATAGAAGGCCCTCCAGAAACTCCTTGTATGATTGCGTCCAAGAGCCCAATGGCAGCTCGGTGATCTCCAAGGTAGTGCTGTCAAGTTTTTTTATAGTTCCAGAAATTTTGTATTTATCTCCCTGCCGTTCTATTGCGCCCTTTTGAAGGCATTAGCGAGGCAAGTAGGTTTGGGCGAAGTATTAGGGTAATACCTTAAAACCCCTATACCATGGATGCATCGGAGAGAAATCTTCGCCATCCAGTCGACGCCGCAGGTTCTCCACAATGTCGCGGGGATTGTAGTTGGGAATTGACGTGCTCCAGCCAGTTCCAATCCCCTCGGCTCCATTGACTAGTACCATAGGCAAAATAGGAACATACCTGCAGGTAGACAGATCAATGACAACTCAACATCGCCCCTCGCCCCATAGTCATACCATTCAGGTTCAATGCGCATGTTTTCCTCGTTCTGATATCTCAACAAATTGTCGTCGTATGAGTGATAAATCAGACGGGCGACACTAGACAGTTTAGTAAAAATATAACGCGCATGGGCATGGTCTTTCCCACCCTAAACCATACAGGGTCAGCCTAATCCACGATCTAACCATCCCAGTCCTAAATACCTGCAGCCGGGTACCAAATTGACCCCGTGGCTCTAGCAAATTCACGTTGTTACTTCCCACAAAATCTTGAGCCAGGCCAATTATAGTTGATTGTAGTGAAGCTTCGCCATGATGATACGCTGAATGCTCCGAAACATAACCTGCAAGTTGAGCCACCTTTTCTCATGGTTAGCCCTCCATATCAATTGCCAACCGTCAGTGACAGACGTACCTTGATTTCATGTTTGGTAAGGTTACGTTTGAAGCAGGAGTAGATGATTTTCCTCTGACCAGGTTTAAAACCGTCTACGAGCGAGGGGATTGATCGTACATTGTCCGCCATGGAGAACAAAATAAGCTCTTTGTTGACGAAATCTGATATTGGTATTTCATCCACTGTGTGATCCATAAACGTTCCCGACTGTGGAATTTTAGCATACTCATGCGACACAGTAGAACAGTTCAACGTACAGTCAAGTTGCTCAACCAATCCTTACGGTCATCCGCCCGTTTTTTGCTGAACGCAAGTTCTATTTGTTGCCGATCATCATCGTTTGCCTGGGCAAACGGTTTCAAATGGTCATCCATTTTCCCAAAGTACTTCTTAGCATCGGCCGACGTGCTTGTTCCCAAACCCTATTACTCAATGACGGTTAGCGGCATATGCGAGCCATTCGTATCCCCAGCAGATTTCACCTTGTAGTACTTTATTGTCCACCCTCTTCCATCATTATTTGCTTCCTTCCATTGCTCATATTCCGGAATGTTGTAGAAGTTAATTTCGCGACTTCCCTTCGTAACCTAGCAGTGACACATTAGAGCCAACGGCATATCACCCACCCAGCAAAGTGCTGCTGACATTACCCTCACGATTGGCGTAATAAATTGCAGCAGGAAGCCGGGAGCTTTCAGCAGACTTGGCCAGAAATGGTCGAATAAGTTGATAATCAGACCTTTAATATGTGAACCGTCATGATCCTAAATAATCTTGGTTAACGAACAAGGTCCATTATTGTCCATCCTACGCAGTGTTAACCTGGTCCGTCATAATCATGACATGCCCATAACGGAGACTCTCGGTGGATGTATAGCTCTTATCTGACTTCAGCCCAAGAATCTGTTTTATGTGGTTGATCTCAGCGTTCTCCATGATCTGTTTGTGCGTAGCTTCCCGCACGTTCAATAGCTTTCCACGTAAAGGAAATACTCCGAAGTTGTCTCGTCCTACGACACTTAGTCCGCTGATTGCCAATGCTTTCGCGGAGTCTCCTTCAGTAAGAATCAGAGTGCACTTCTGTCCAAACTTTGTGCCCGCGTTATTCGCGTCATCCAATTTCGCAATTCCTGAGAGTCGCGCTCGTTTGGTACCATCCGTTTGCTTCAATTGAACCGCCTGCTTTGCTTTGGCGAAGGCCATTATATTGTCTACTACTCCCGATTTGGACACTGATAGCGGATACACATATCAGTGGTGCGTCCATCAACGGTCAAAGCGAACGCGGACCTTTTTTGATGAAGTCTTCGCTCAGCGTACATCGCGAACCGAATTTCGTTGATTTCAAAGTCATATTTTCTTTGGTTTGGGAGTCAAAGCTAGGATTTTCGATTAAACAATTGATGAAAAGCCACATATGACTTTTGATCTGATGCGGTTTCAGCGGCAGTCCTTTATTTTTCTTTTTGATTATCTCATTCAACTTCTGAGCAATTTGATCCGCCACTGCGTTCACATGGGTGCCACCTTTGGATGTGCAGATGCTATTGACAAAGCTAACCTATCCCAGATGAATTTTAAGGACATGTATATGACGGGCAAAGCATGATAGAACTAGAATACCTGTTGGAATTGCCCGTCGCTCACAGCAAAGCAGACCTCCCAGCGTTCATCGGCTTTCTCGTAAACAACCGTCGGCTTGTTCCCACACTCCCCGTAAACGCTGTCAAGGTAGAGCTTTACGTACTCTTTAAAATTCTTGATCTTTATGCGCTCATCATTCAGGAACACTTTTGCATTTCGAACCACGCCTGCTAGATCGTACACACGTCTTTTCAAGACCGCAATCAAATCATCATCCATCTCCGTCATCCCAAATTTGGAAAGATCTGGCTTGAAAGTTATCCTGGTAAAATCTACATTCGCCGCTTTTGTGATTTTGGGCGTTGTTTTCCGGCTCATATTGTTACTAAAAACCTTGATTCACGGACAGGATGAGATATCATTATACAGTACATGGCTGTTCCAACAAAGCCAGGAAAGACAGACCTGTTTGAATTTTTTTCCAGATTCCTTGTCCGAGGTCTCAACGATGAATTCTGTACTAAATATGTTGCATAACTTAGCACCATAACCGTTTCGTCCACCCGTTACTTTCTTTTCGTCATCGTCGTAATTGGATGAAGTGAGCAGATGCCCAAAAATAAGCTCGGGAACATACACCTGCTCCTTCGCATGCATGACAACAGGAATCCCTCGTCCATTGTTCATTACGCTAATAAGGCCCTCTTCCTTGTTTATAGTCACTTTTATAGTGTCCATTGAGGGATCTCGTATCTATTAAAAAGGCGCGTGAGTGGAAACATGGGTGAATGCGCAGCCATCGTTGGTAAAATTTCATACCTTATTGTCAGCTAGAGGGTAATACTGTAAGTGATTTGTCCCGCGTGTTCATACAGCAAACATTGTACTAACCTGCATTGACTAAGATCTCGTCGAAGATCTTATATAATCCAGGGACAAATGATACTGTTCGATTGACCATTCTTCCGTCTTCTATAACCCACATGGGTGTTGCTGTAGATTCCACAGATCCGATGTAGGTATCAGGGCGCAAGAGAATGTGCTCAAGCTGGGATTTTCGCTGGTAAATATCCTTGGAGCACGCAAATAAGATAGGGAAGAAACAATAAATTCTCCTATTTTATTGCAACCGAAAGCCCATACCTCTACAGCCTTCCCCTTTCCTGTCTGGCTTGTCATTTTTGACCCGATGTTGTAGTGCAATGGTTCCTCTACAGTGAAGGGAAGCGTATCTTGCTTGGATTTAGCAGCACTGCTAACTTTACTGGAAGCTGGCCGACGGGGTGTCGTAGCCTTTTGAAAAGCAACTTAAAATCCTCGAACATTGAAGAAAAGCTTGAAAAATAACTTTACTTTGGGCACGGCTACATAGTCATCACCGGATGATCCATCGTCAAGTGAGTAGTCTTCGTCGTCATCTGACATAATAAGTGCCGTTGGACGGGAAGTGGGGGAAGCTGCGTTCTTGGGCAGAAAAGTGGTGGAAGCTCCCTGCACTTCACCTCGTGGGAGTCGTCGAAGTCCGACAAGTCCAACGGGTGAGTCATTCATTTAGTCCATTTTGGACATAATGTCGCTTACGCAATTCTAAAATTTTTTTGGAGGCACGGACAGGCACAGTCATAGAATCTTTCTAAAGCTCAAAAACCAGGCAGGCTCGATTGGAATTTGCAGAGATCTCCGTTGGACTCCTTCACCATGTCGGACTATCGAAAGGTTCCCATTAAGAAATTCTCTAAGCCGGCTGGGCGGAAGACAGCAGAAGCCACTTATTGGCGAAAGTTCAAGGTAAAGTACCCTTGTGAACAGCCTGTCAAGTGTGAACATCTGCTAAAAGACTTTCGTTGGCAGTCGCCTGTGCTGTTGAAAGAATATGCCGCCGTCAGCTCCATCCACTTCTCCCCAGTTGCCCCTTACGACTTTGCTGTGACGAGTTCGACCCGCATACAAATATATAGTACTAGCACACAGTCTGTCAAGAAGACAATATCCCGTTTCCAGGACACTGCGTACAGTGGACATATAAGAGGAGATGGGAAGCTTTTGGTTGCTGGTGATGCTTCAGGGTTGGTTCAGGTTGGTTGGACCTTTTTGATATTCTTGAGCAGGAAATAGAGCTAATGGAGCCATACGCAGTTGTTTGACCTTAACAGTCGGGCCATTCTGCGGACCATGCGAGGTCATGACGGGTAAACATTTGCTTTCTTTATGACTAATTAAGTGTGAGGATTTGAAGTTGATTTTCGTTGCCAATATATCGCAGCCCAGTGCACATGACACGGTTTTCGCCTGATCATCAACAAATCCTTTCGGGCTCGGATGATAATACTGTCCGAGTGTGGGACGTAGCAACTGAAACACCTTTGGCTGTTTTTGAAGACCACGAGGTGCGTTCGAAACATTATGATTATCAAAGGTCCTTGTACTGACCTCTCAGCTCAGGATTACGTTAGGACCGGTCTCGTCAGTACCGAGAATCCGCACCTTGTGCTATCCGGTTCTTACGACCACACCGTGAAATTGTGGGATTTGCGCTCGAAAGTGTGTACAATGACGATGAGACACGGATTTCCAGTAGAGTCTCTTTTATTATTCCCAGGAAGCGGCCTAGTGGCCTCGGCAGGTATGACATTTGTAGTTTGTTTGTATATGTTCCTGGCTTAACAACGTTGGGTGCAGGTGGCAATCAGATTAGGATCTGGGACATATTAGGTGGCGGCCGGCATCTCCAGACGCTTGCAAATCATCAGAAAACGATAACATGCATGACTTTTGACGGGTCGGGGACGAGGATTCTGACAGGATCGCTGGATCACCATGTCAAAGTCTACAGCGCGAGAGATTACAAAGTCGTGCACAACATCAAATACCCAGCACCGATTCAAAGTATAGGGGTCTCGGTATGTTTACAGTGGTGAATTATCCTACCAGGAATTGTTGTCTAACGCATCATGTTTGCAGCCGAATGATACCCACCTGGTCGTGGGAATGAATAATGGTCTACTCTCCATACGACAACGTATGGTAAAGACTGCCGATTTAGTCAACCCGGCAAAAGATGACTTTAGGAGAGGTAGCCAGAAGTACTGGAATCGTGGTGGGGATTATGTTCCTGAAGGGGTAAGATTTAAAGATCTTGGTGACCCAGTGTTTGGTCTCGGCTGATGCTTGTATGCTGTGTGCATTTTCTCTTACTTAGCACGACATCCAAGTTGAGGCGCATAAGGGGAAGCAGCTCAAGAGCTACGACAAGCTGATGAGAAGATTTCGCTACGCTGATGCACTGGACGCGTCACTGTCTGGGGTATATTGTCCAGTTACTTCGCAATCTCAAAATTGTTGAGCGCCTAATCTATTCCGTTTCACGTTACACAGAACCATCGATCGGTTATTGTAATAAGTGTGCTTGAGGAATTACGACACCGAGGAGGGCTTCGGGCCGCATTGGGCGGGAGAGACGATAAATCTTTGGAGCCGGTGCTACGCTTTATAATGAAGCATATCTCGAATCCTCGATACTCAAATTTTTTGATAGATATTGCAAACATTATTTTAGGTAAGAACATGATCACGTCGATCAAAGTTCTCTCATGTTCGTGGGATAACTTTACCCACCTTCTCTAGATATGTACGAAGGAGTATTGGGACAAGCTCCGTTGATTGATGAGCTGATCGCGCGAATCCGGAAAAAAGTCGCACAAGAGATCCAGCTACAGGAACGACTGAACGAGGTCATGGGGTTCATGATGACACTGCTCTCAGCAGCAACATAATGTAAATTATCATTGCATATAGTACAATTCGCACCCTTATAAAACTTAGTCAGAACGTATACGCCACGGTCGCCGGTCCATAGGACATTGTTCTTTGGAGTGTTCTTTGGCTATCCACTTTTCTATACAGTGCATGTGAAACACATGCTTACATTCGCCCCATACTTGGGAGTGAAACCATTGAGTACGTGATCCAAGTGCATAAGCGTGGGTAAGCAGCAGGTACCTAGTGGACAATCGTCACCTGGAACCTTGCAGTCTGGACAACAACCGTCAAAGGGATTATAGCAGATTCCACATGTTTCATCGTCCCCGACTTCACCAACATCCCACTTCCACACAGCAGCAGCTTTCCAGCTGTGAAGCAAAGCAGAAAGAATTTGTCAAGCCGTCGTGTGCTGAGAACCAAAAGCTTCACTGTACCCTGACGAAATATATCCATTCAAAAAGAATATAGAAGTCCTCATTAGATTGGACAGGTCTGCATGCCTTGGAAATATACGTACTTTTAATGACCACTTTCATTGGTCAACTCCCAGGTCGCTGGAAGCGACTTCGTGTGAACTGCTAGCAGTTCAAGATGCCATGTCTAAGCCCCTTCCAAAGGCGCAGCGTCGCGTCGCGTTCAACGTCCGAAACTTGTCGTCCAAGGTGTTCCAAGTGTTTGCATCGTTCGTTTTTTGCCCACTCGCGCCACTGGAAAGAAGCTGGAAACCTTTGTTACTGCTCAACGCGGTGACAAGGTAGTGGCTTGTGTGCAGTATGCTTTCTTCAACTATTCAGACATCCCCGGCTCCACCCGTTAGCGCGGAAAGAGGCAGCGTTGGTGTCCACCAGCCAGTACATCATGCGGACGTTCCGCCTAATATGAAAAGAATATTAACTCCTTCGAAGGTAGAGGCTGGTGAGTAAGCTGAAGGTCTTCTACAGTGTTTCAAGATCCACAAGTACTTAGAAGCATGTTACCCGATCGCAAGTGATTTCCAAAATCACCCCTACACGTCTCCGCCAACCTCCTGTCCGCACGCCAGTCTCTGGCAAGAGGAGCGGACCTTCGCCTGTTCTCCATAGTCCTCCTTGTAATGGTAAACCCAGCCCTCTGGAGGATCGCCCACCGTGGGATCCTGACTTCCACGTGAACCGTCCCGACCTCCGAAAACCAAAGCCAGGTCGTCCAATATCTGCCACCTCCCCAGGCATAGCCCGTCCTGTGAGTCATTCAGAAGATGGGAAGTCACCGAGCTTTCGCGTCTCCCCGTACTCGAAGCTACCAAGAGCAACGAATGACATGTAAATGTACAGAGGCTTTCGGTGCAGTAAGAGGACAGTGCTAACAAGCGTCCACAGATCGGGGAAAGATTTCTCGGAGCAGTCGAGTCATAGCCTCCTACGCTCGAGATCAGTGGACTTTAGAACAGCCACCGGACAAGGTATATCTAAATCTTTCATGGACTTGGGCGCCGTTCCTTGATTTATAACAAATCTTTTTCTGCAGTCAGTGTCATGGCTGAACTAGAGGAGCTGCAGAAAACGTGCGATATTCAAAAGCAGCGCATTGCGCTTCTAGAAGGGGAACTTGAAGTGAAAACTGGACAAATCAACGATCTTGGTATGGCAGTATGGAAGCATTCTATGAGATTTCGGGTGACATTCCATATAAACATTGATACGTATCTTGCTAGAGAGGAAGGTACTCTCGGAGCGCAAGAATCGGGAAAATATGGAAGCCGACTTTGCTCATCGGGAGGCGGAAATTCTTCAGGTTTGGGAAAAGGAATTCGAGCAAGGGTTAGTCCAAACTGCTGGCTACAATTATTTTACCAATCTAACTGAATTCACACCATTAGACGAAGTATGGCACGAGAACTTGCGATGTACAAGGAGTTTCACACAGAAGCGCGGGAGGAGCTTACTGGGGAGGTTGCGGGATTGAAAGGGGAGCTAGACCGATTGAAGGGCATAATGAATGAGAGGCATGACGAGACATGGGGACAGAAGCAGGGTCGTATAGGAAAGGAAAACGAGATGGAAGAGAGGACGAACTCCCTTCGCCAGCGTATCTTGGAAATTGAAAGGAAGCTTGCAACGCAGAAACTAGGCCAGTCCTCGGTCGTGGCTGAAAAGAGCTGAGCAGCGCAGAATACTTTAGGGTTTGATAGGTAGTATAAGGTACAGGGATATCTTGTGGAGTCTTTAACTCTCACAAGTAATAAAAGAGCGGGATGTCACCAAAATGTGAGACCACAATGCTTTGTAACGTGACCAGCGAAGATCGAACTCGGCAAAAGGTTCAAGAGAAGCATCCCATTTGCTCATGACTAGTTCAGACTACTGTCTCTGCAAATGGTTGTTCCACCTGATAAAGCTTCCGCTGACTTTGACTTGCTGCACCGCAACGAATATACGTTCTGTCTTGTTTCGACCACTTACACATGTCCTTTCAGTCCTGGAGATGTTGTTTACGTGAAGCTGCGATCTCAGAAGGATACAGGTCGAGCAACAATCCTTGCCGACGCGGACCCATCTGGGAGAATTCTTGTCCAGTATCATGCCGACAAAAGCATGCTGTATCATGTCAATCCCCAGCGGCTTGTTAATGTGTATCCCACTGACACGCCCCTTATTCTCTTGTGCGAGAATACAACCGATTATCGTACACTAGCACGTTCGCAAATCGACCGAAACGACGTTGTTGCGGAGATAGGATCCTCTTACGGAGTGTGCACAAATATTTTATCACAGCACGCCAAGCAAGTCTTTGGGATTGAAGTATCCCAGCAGCTTGTTGACGAGGCCCGAAAACGATATCCGCACTTGGTATTTCACAACATCAACATTCTGGAGCATAAATCTAGGGCTGCAACTATTATGCAGGATGTGAACAAGGTGTTTGTGGACATTGGCGGTAACAGGGAGATTGGCGTCGTCGTTAGAGCATTAGCCTTTCTGATCGACAGAATTAAACCTAGCCTAATTGTCGTGAAGAGCGAGGAGCTATTTGAGAGTGCCCAGCGACATCTTGACAAATCCTCGTCAAATAACGAGAGTGGGAGGATACCAGACGGTCCGTGCTGGTTTGAAACCTTGTGCAAAGATCATGCCATTTGCGATGGTCAAACAAGTTCAGCTGAGAGTTGGTTTCTCCGAGCCAGACGGGATGGGTTCACCAAGAACCCGTTGCGGTATCCGATACGAATGACTTCCGATGGCGTGGCAATCTGCAAGTTGCAAAACTACCGAGAGGAAGGCTGCCAGAAACTCAGTCTTTGTCGATTTGATCATATTCATTGTCACCATTGTGGTCATGCAGGCCATAAAGCACTTCACTGCCCGCTTGTCAATACATGAGTACCAGCGAGAGCCAACCCTTTCATGCTGATGGAATCATTGGCACCCTATGTATTTATGATCGCGCGGTATCTGAAGTCATTCACCTGTGGCCGCTACCTCCCCGGCCGAGTACCATAGAAGAGCATTGGTATCCAATGAGTATAAATTCAAGATTTCTACAATAATTAAGCTGATGGTGCACCCTTTTCCTCCTCGCGCTTCTTGATTTCCGCCCATCTCTCAGCAAAAGGATCCCGCTTTGGCCATTGGAAGAAACCTTCGTCCCGTTTCTGTTGTTTTTGTTCATAACTGAGATCTTTCGTCTCACTAGAAGTGAAGGCTGCCCACTCCGTAAAGGCAACAACGACGGGAAGGAGAGCCCCATGTGCAACCACTCTGCTCATCTTGCCCGCTGGAAGATACGAAGTCCCTAAGTGTATGGACGAAGACATATACTTAAACACTCACAAAAAACTTACATCTTAAGCCCAGCATCACACCGGCAACCAAAGCTCCAGCGGGGGCGTTCCACATATCATCTCGGTGCCGAATCTGGGCCACCGTACACTTGGTTCCGTAAAAGGCGGCTCCTGCCGCGGCTGTTATCGAGGGAGTAAACAAAATTTAGCCAAATATTCCACCGAAACCTCGCATGCCTTTTTAGCTTACCGAAGAACAGTGACGAACTGGCGGCTTCTTTCAGGATTTGCTGACCGGGCATTGCTACCCACCAGCCGAACGCGCTTCCACCCAACGCTCCCGCAACAGCACCGACACCGCCGGCTTTGAAAGCCTCCGCCCCGCATGAGGCATCCAGAATATGATTTTCAAAGACAGACTTTGAGGAAATCGGAATCCAGCTCATTTTGATATTTAGTGGACGGCAGAATGATGGACGAATGCACTTTCCTCTCCAAATTCTGAACTTGCCCGATGTGTGGCGCAGCTGAACACGTGCCCGTGGCACAGTTGTCTGGACATTACACCCCGATCTTGCTGCCGTCTCGAGCATAGTTCTGCATCATGTCTACGATTGACACAAATAACTTGCGAACAAGTCCCGATCCTTTGACGGCATCACCAAGAGAGCTGTCTGAAATGCAGAAGAGGGCTAAAAGAAGAGACAGACGCGCCTCGAACGCAGAACCTGATGAGGAGCTGCCCGTTCAGTGGACACCTGAATTGGAGATTGTGCTGTTCCATGCTTTAGCGAGATTTAGACCAGTGGGTATGCCGCTGCGGCTTTTCATTTGTCCTTGTTCAAGTGCTTAGCCAGTTATGGCTCTCCTGATTGTCGTAGGTGTCCACAAACATTTTCGCATGTTGAGTGTTCAACGATATTTCAACAAGGAAACAGGGTTGGACCTGACGGTGAACCAACTTTGGGCGCATCTGTCAAACTACTACGATCTTGATGCTTTGGATGCTATGGTTAGCCTATCTGTTGTATACGTTGTGAAATCAGAGAGGACAAGCATCTTACGGAGCCACTCTACCCTTTAGGCTGATGAGACAGATGACGATATAACATTTGAAGCCAGACGAAAGAGAAGCGGATATCCATTCAAGGTTGTTGCTGAGTTTAGTCTACCAACGGATGATTTTGAAAGCATCATTGCGGAACACCGGAAAGCGGTCTCCCCTGTCCCTGATCGCGGAGCATCCACGAGACGTGGAGGTCGAGCCTCATCGCCAGCAACTGAATCGACTAGATCAACACCAGAACCACAAGCGGAACCGGAGAGTAAGTACCTTTTTTCATATCTGGCAGCGTCACATGCACTCCTTACGCCAATATTCATTCCAGCACCTGCAACAGCGCCAGGAAAGAGAGGTGTAGGTCGACCGCGAAAATCAGCAAAGAAAGATATCGTACAGCCAATTTCAGAGCCTTCACTGCGGCGAACACGCGCAGCGTCCGCGTCAAGTGCTGCAGCAACCCCTACCCCGACTACCAAGAGGCCAAGAAGAAATGTGTAGGGTCATATTTCTCATAAATGTATAATATCTTGTAGCTGTCATTGAAATTGTGAATTTTTTGGTTTGTATTGACTCTCGCCTCGTTTTGCTGATCATAAGGTCTCATAGAGGCCCTCCTGATCAATGAGCGCCATCACTTGTTCTGGGACAAGATTCCTCAGCTCTGCTCTGATTCGGGTAGCGTCCTCCACTTGGCCCGCATGTTTGCATTTCCAGAACTCTTTCAGCATGACTCGTGCCTTCGTGCTGGAAGCCTGTGCTGTTCCTCGTGGGTCTTCCAGCCAACCTTGCATCGTGACGATATGAGCTTCGAATCTTCCTACAATTGGACTCCGTTTACGGGCTTCCTCCAGCCAATCGCCTAATGTGTCATGGCTTTCCGACGAAGCCCCTTCCATCACGCGATCAGCACATATGATCCGGCTGCTACGGAAAAATACTTCCATGTCTGTATCCATATTGGAATTCTTGTAATACTTGGGGTCAAAAAACCGTATTATAGTATCGTAACCCATTATAAAGTGTAGGAACACGGGGGCTATGCCATCCGACGATAACAGGGAGTGTAGGGCGTGGGCTTTGTCGAGGAATATGCCACGAGTGGTGATGGCAATACCGATTCTATCATCCGGTACATCACACTTTGGGGCAACCGTCTGAACAAGTGCCTCCATCATGAGAAGGCGGTCGGTGACAGACGTACCAGACAAGGCTTTATCGGCGTTCTTGGTTGCAAAGAGCAAAAGATATGCATCAAAGTGTTCCGAGACTTCGGTGCCCTGATTCGTATGCCTCGATGTCAGGTCTGTAGCTGATTTGGGGTAGCGGTTTAAAAGATTCAGCTTCATTGTGTTCTCAAGTAACTTTGCGTGCGCGACAGTTGGTGGGTTGAAGGAAGAGTCCAGAATTGCAACATGTGCTGGACGTGTCTTCCTGATTTTTGATAGGATCTTTGACCACCCATAATTGGCAGGGATGAGTTGTACGCCCGGCGTATCAGAGAGAGAAGACTCTTGGAAGGATTGGGAAAAGTCATTGAGCTCTTGTCGGGAGCTCGTCGAGATCGGCATTGGTGGAGGGTCTAATTAGCAAAGCAAGGCAAGATCGCAGTACCTCCAGATATGGTTAAATGAATGACAGCGCCCCTCCCGCTGCTCCAGTTCCAACTTGCTGCTTGGCACAAGAAGGTAATGACTTTTCGCTTAAGCCTTCTGGACACCTTGTGGCCAGAAGCAATCCCCAACAACAGATTGGTCTCACGCGTCTGCAGCTACTAGAAATCCTATGTCAGTAGTGGGTTCCAGGGACATTACCCCTTATGTATGTGCCGTCTGGATGTTTTGGTCGACTTCGGGTTTTGTCCCGGAGATGTACCGCATTACTTCCCATTACGTACCGTTATTGTATACAAACGTGTTCATTGGCCAAAATGGAACCATTTATCTAGGTTCTGCGATGCATTTTGTGTCCCCTCGAATATTCCTCCACTCCAGGCCCGAGCCCTTCCCCTTCTATTTCAAACCTGCACTCTGATGCTGAATCGATCAGAAGCGAGAATAGCAACTCCACAGCACGCTCGAATGCCAGTAGATCCCAAAAAGCCAGAAAGTTTGGCCGGCTTCTCGGATCTTCTGCCGGAAAGGGGAACTCTGTAGAGGCAGTAGAACCGCCAGGACCTCGGCGACCACCTCCAACAGGTGCCCTAGAATTAGCTGCGGACATCAGAGAGCCGCTTGGATTGAGAGTTGAAGATGTGGACAGATTGCGAAGAGAAGTGATAGAAACATTCGGTTCAGAGGTAAAAAATAAATGAGCGTCCAATGGCTGCCTTCTGGACGCGATATTGATTTTGGAATCAGCACATTGCAGCCGATCTGATGATTTACCTCCAACTGCTCATCCGTGACATGGGTATACTATCTCCAACAGACTTCCATGATGTTGATGTGTATCAGGCATGGAAGCGATTTGAGCGAGAAGCGGTCGAGAAGCTGATTAGTTCCACTGGCCATGGAGCCGTCTCAGCAGTCGTCGAGGGTCCAATCGCGGATTTGTCTGGTGAAGATGATGCTCTGATTTCTTTTGCCGTACAGAGTGCAACCGGTCTGTACGCGAAAGATCAGAACGGTCTCAGCAATCCATATTGTGTCATCACGTTCAATGGAATCAGTTTTGTTAGCCAAACAGTGGAGAAGAATTTAAACCCACGTTGGAACTTCAACGTGCCATTGTATGTTGGCGTGTCATTCAGCTTATTTGGACTTCCGTACATTGAAACTGAGCGCATGGTAGAAAGGTCAAGGCAGCATCCGATCCACTCCTCTTGACAATATGGAATCGTTCCACGGACCGGCCTCGCGATCGTCGTGGCGACGCATTTTTGGGGATGTGCACTATAACCTCCGGACAATTACGTCAAAGTAGATTCGACCAACATTACAACCTTGACAAGCGCTCTAATCGAAGTCACATCAGTGGACAAGTACATGTTGTCGCTGAACGGATCACAATCGATAAGGATAAAGCAAACGTGTGGAGGAACGCACTGAGAGCTCTACACCCTGATCCTCGGGCCGCATATGCGACATTAGTGAAGAAGTTTTTGAGTTTTGCAGTAGCGAAGTATGAGGGAGATTCGCTGCTACCGGAAGGATACCAGAAAGTTTTAGACTGCGTTGCCTCTATTTGGCGAGTTGGTCTTCCATACAGGGCCATGATGTGAGTTAACCGTGTCGAAAATTGGGTTTATCGCCCTTTCTTCAACACTTGATCATTAACCATCGTCTCTTACAGTTATTTTGATACCCTGACTTCAATGTTTTCTCAAGCGATCATTCCTGCGAGCGTTCTACAACGGGAGGCGTTTACTAAAGCGGATAAGCTCTCCACCAACCACTTTGTTACTCTTTCTGATGTGCGTCACACCAACTCTGAAGGCAGTTCTGACTGACATGTACTCATACCCTTATCGGATCAAGCTTGATATTTTTCGGCAAGCTTGTGCAAAACTTTCGTCTCTCCTAAGCCATCAGCTCAGCACATTCTTCAATCACCCTCTGACCACCCAGAGAGCGCGCGAGTTGGATGCAATTGCCGGCATGTTGGCCGCAATGCAAGCAAATAAATCATTGGGCATGGCTGATGTTGATGTCTCTAAAGTGGCTAAGAAGTTACTCACGGTGAGTGATGCGATTTGAACGTTATTGTCGCAGGCCTGTACTCACTGAATGGATTACCAGGATGCGCTTGAGGCCAGATACCATGGGTTGCATGCCATAGCTCACGCCTCGCGAGAATCTCTAGACGACGGGCTCATTAATCTGGTGAAAGCGGTGAGACACGAGCTGGAGCTTTATCACGCACACCTCGATACGGCGCTATACTTTGGGTATTCCGGTTTCCCTGCACATGCATCCATAAGACTGATATTGATCAAGTTATGCTGGCGTTTAGATATGTCCATATACCAGATCTGGCTGCCAAAGTCTTTTCTGATCGGCTTATACCAGAGCTTGATCGATATGCGAATGCATATTTGGCTTCTCCGGATTTAGCTAATGCATTTGAGCTGTATCATGAAGTGCAGGCGATGCGGGGTGTATACGAAACAGTGGATTATAAGTATGTTTCCATTACTCTCTTGGGTTGGTGCCATGATTGATCGGTGTGGAGGATTTTGCAGGCTTGCGGAAAAATTCCCCACACAGACTTGGTTTACTCCATTCCTACGGGAATGGATAAGTGTCTCAGGTACCTGAATAAGCGCTTTTAGGCTAAACGGTCTCATCAGTCGTGTTTTCCGTAATGCATTTTCGTCCTTCAGAAAAGAAGTTCATCGAATGGATGCAAAATGGTATTGATGTGGATGAGGTATGTCCTATCTCTTTCGTCTATTGTGTCCTCGGGCGCATGATGTGATAATGCTACATCCGTTTCTGGCAGTTTTGCCCGTCATCTACCACAGTCCTCTACTCCTCCTCCGTGTTGGATATGTTCACCTCATTCCAACAACAAGTCGACTTTGTCGTCAATCTAAAGTGGCCAGATCCTGACGAAGAGCGTGCAGTGATCTTCAGATTGGCACAGGTGAGTCTCGGCTCATGCACCATATGATTACGTCGCAGCTAATGTCAGCTCGACAAGGCGGTTACCGAGACACTTCGGTCTTACTGCGATATTATGCTACACCGAGTGGGCGGAGATTTTCGACATTTTACTACAAGCGCCGCGGCTTCAACAGTACCTACCAGCGGAAAGAAGAAGAAGCTTAAACTTCAGTTTGGCAAGTTTAAAAAGACGCGGCAAATTAATCCGGACGAAATTCGAATACCTTCCAAGGTGAGTCTGGGAGGTGTTCAACGCACCAGTTATTTAAGTATGCAGCAAGCTGTCTCTTTAATATAAACGAAGGCTTGCGTCAGAATCAACAATATGGATGCACTTCCTGTTCGATTTGACGATTTCTGCCACAGAATATTCCCACTTTCCCCGCAAGCTCCAAACGTGTCCAACGCTGACCCTGACGTTCCTCCACCACTCCCACCAAAACCTTCACCTGGCTCCATCCTTCGAAACACCCCATCGCTGATCCGTCTCACGATTCTCCACGGCCAGCGTCTAACGGCGACACGGCCATACAATATCCAATTCTCCCTGCGCCTCCGTATGGGAAAGCGTGAAATTGGAGAGACCCGGTCAGTGCCTCAGTCCGCGAGTGCTGTCTGGAATGAAGTCTTCTACTTGTCATTGGGTGCGGCGGATTTGAACGCTCCGCTGGAGGTTTGTCTTATGCATCGGGTTCCACCAGAAAAGGCTGGTGAATCAGAGAAGCTGTACATGTTCGCGAGGGGGACTTTGGGACTAAACCCCGCCGCAGCAGAAATGGAAATCGCAGTGGATCTTGGCGGGAGTGGAAAAGTCCTGGTGCAAACAAAGGTTGAAAGCGATGTAGCTTCTTTGAAAAACCGAGTAGTATCGGATGTCGAGAGGGCACTAGAGAAAGCTGTGAATATTTTCGCAGAGAAGGTGAGTAGTTACTGATATTGCTGGAACAGCATGTTAGTGATACTTGCGAAACTTTCGACAGGTTTGCTACGACATGAAAGATAGGCTGAAAACAGTTTCTCGCAAACACAAAGTCAGCGGATACAAGAACCTTATCACAAAACTGAACCAAAAAGATTCAGCTTCTTCGCTGTCTTCTCATACCTTCTCGCCGACTCAGGTTTCCGATGAGGAAATTGAGAACGATTTGGAGTTGTTACTGGGCTACATCAATGTGAACCTCGAGGTACTTACCGAGTCCATGGAGCACTCGTTAGCGTTACGAGTTGTCAAAGGTGTCTGGGTAAAGGTGGTGAATCATGTGGAGGCATTGGTAGTTGGAGAGGTTGGCGATGAAGGGAAAGACAAGAGGGAATGGGACGCGAAAAGGATTGGGTTCATAAGACGAAGTATAGAGGTAAGGTTTAAGAAACGTTCAGCATCGAGGTTGCTCCCTGAATTCTTGTTCTGTGTCATGCAGTTCCTGGCAGCATTTTTTCACAGCGATGGCGAAGGACTACCTAAAGAAGAATTGGAAACGGAAAGATTCAAACAATTATGTCAGCTTCTAAATATGTACCACACCTCAAAGAAGGATTTACAGCGACTGTACCTTGCCCAGCAACAAAGTGCAAAAACAGTGGCCGGCGAGGACGTGCAGGGGGGAGATTGGATTCTGAAGCTGATTCGCGTCAAAGGAGGAAAGGACTTTGTGGATGAAATTGTCGCTAGAAGAGTGCGGTGGGGTGGGGAGGCGACCACGATGTGAAGCTCGGCATTTTTATTCTTGGTCAACTTTTATTAAACCTTACCTCTACAGTGCTTACCAAAAATGACCTACTAGAAGCTCTTACGTAGATATAATCCGACTACATTTCTTCGCTAGCAATAATATAGTTTTGTGTAATATTCGCCAAATATGGAAATTAGCTGCGCATGGCAATGTAAGCTCATTTGTACAAATACGGCAAGATGACAAGTGGGACCCAGCCAATAGCCGCGCGACATGTGCAGCCAATCAGCGGACGACAGCAGTTCGCAGCAACCAAACGCGTAAAGGTGCCCCGAAACTGCGAGAAACGGCTGAAGGCCGCCGTCTGGCTTATAAAAGGAGGGTCAACCTGCGTCCTTCCTCCCCCCCAAAACTTGCTTTTTCCTATCCTCTCTCCCCTCCCCTTCCTGCGTGGTTGTCTAGTTTCTCGAAAGAGAGGTATGCAGTCCCCCATCTATTTCACTGTGCTTGGAACCGTTCCCAACTCACCTTGTTTTCGCTATAGCATCCACTATGAAATCACGAACATCTTCAGCACTGCGCTGGATAGCGCTTTGGCTGGCCATTGTGGCAGCCTGCTGTGTAGCGAACGTCTCAGCAGCGTCTGAGGATGCTGCTGCAGGACCTATTATCGGTATTGACTTGGGTACAACGTACAGGTTCGTAGTCAGGCTGTCTTGTGCAGGCGTGTTGACTACAATGTTAAAGTATATATCCCACTAGTTGTGTCGGTGTTTACAAGAACGGCCGTGTTGAGATCATCGCGAACGACCAAGGAAACCGTATCACACCATCATACGTCGCCTTCACCGATGAAGAACGTCTGGTCGGAGATGCCGCGAAAAACCAAGCACCAATGAACCCCCATGATACCATCTTCGACGCCAAACGACTTGTTGGTCGCCATTTTACCGACAAAGAAGTTCAGCAGGACATGAAGCACTGGCCCTTCACTGTCGTCAACAAGAACGGCAAACCTATCATCAAGGTCAATGTGAAGGGAGAGGAGAAGACTCTGACTCCCGAAGAAGTTTCCGCTATGGTTCTTCAAAAAATGAAGGAAATTGCGGAAGGATACCTCGGGGAGAAGATTACACGCGCTGTGGTTACCGTTCCCGCCTACTTTAACGATGCTCAGCGTCAGGGCCCCAAAGATGCTGGTATTATTGCTGGTCTCAAAGTCGAACGTATCATCAACGAACCAACCGCCGCTGCGATCGCTTACGGCTTGGACAAAAAGGGCGGCGAGCGCAACATTCTTGTATACGATCTTGGTGGTGGTACATTCGATGTGTCGCTTTTGACCATTGACGATGGTGTCTTTGAGGTACTTGCGACCAGCGGTGACACCCATCTCGGTGGTGAGGACTTTGACAACCGTGTCATTGAGCACTTTGTCAAGTTGTGGAAAAAGAAGACTGGCAAGGATGTCACCAAGGATCCCAAAGCCATGGGCAAGTTGAAGCGCGAAGTAGAGAAGGCCAAGCGTGCTTTGTCCTCCCAAATGTCTGTCCGTGTCGAAATCGAATCCTTCCACGATGGCCAAGACCTTTCTGAGACTCTTACTCGGGCCAAATTCGAAGAACTCAACATGGATCTGTTCAAAAAGACCATGAAGCCCGTCGAGAAGGTATTGAAGGACGCTGGATTGTCCAAGAACGACATCCAAGATATCGTCTTGGTTGGAGGTTCTACTCGTATTCCCAAGGTTGTTCAGCTTTTGGAGGATTTCTTCAACGGCAAGAAGGCCAGTAAGGGTATTAACCCTGACGAAGCCGTCGCCTATGGTGCCGCAGTTCAGGCTGGTATTCTTCTCGGTGACAGCCCTGAACTCAACGATGTACTCCTCGTTGACGTGAACCCTCTCACCTTGGGTATCGAAACTACTGGTGGCGTGATGACGAAACTGATTCCTCGTAACACTGCCGTGCCCAACAAGAAATCTCAAATCTTCTCTACTGCTGCGGACAACCAGCCTACCGTCTTGATCCAAGTGTTCGAGGGCGAGCGTCCATTGACCAAGGACAACAATCTTCTCGGCAAATTTGAACTTAACGGCATTCCTCCAGCTCCTCGAGGGGTTCCTCAGATTGAAGTTACTTTCGCACTTGACGCGAACGGTCTCCTTACAGTCTCAGCCGTGGATAAGGGCACAGGCAAGAGTGAATCCATTACAATCAAGAACGACAAGGATCGCCTGAGTCAGGAAGAGATTGACCGCATGGTACAAGAGGCCGAGAAGTTTGCCGAAGAGGACCGTCTCACCAAGGAGAAAATCGAAGCCAAGAACGCTTTTGACAGCTATGTGTACTCTTTGAAGAACCAGCTCTCTGACGACTCCCAGCTCGGTGGTAAACTTGAGGGTGACGACAAGAAGCAAATCCAGGATGCATTGAAGAAGGCGCAAGACTGGTTGGAGGCCAACGGTGCCACCGCTACGAAGGAGGACCTCGAAGAGCAGAAGAGCGAACTCGAGGCTGTGGTGAACCCCATCACTGCCAAACTCTACCAGCAGACTGGTGAAGAAGGTGGTGCATCGGAGGAAGAAGCCCACGACCACGACGAATTGTAAGACTGTCGAGTCTTTGGGAATGGGTGTTGGAATTTGGGGGCACACTGCATGTTATTTGATTAGACGTCCTCATGTGAGCCGCAGAGCACTGTGTAGTGATTCTCTGAAAATCTGCTTGGATTTCATATAGCTCTATTATGCTTCCAACGTGTATAAATGGGGATGGTTGGCTATTTTCTTTTGCTTGTTACATAGAACACGTTTTCACGTTTCTCCTTTTTCATTCTTTTGGATTGACTGTCTTTTTATTTTACCATTGTATTGTATTGTTATCTGGTTGCAAATCACAATGTTTCATGGTAGCCTTTAGTGTAGAGGTGACAGAAAATGGCACTAGCTACTACACCAGGGAATAAACCGGCGACAACCGGTTCGGAAAAGCTAACTAAGCTACTACTAGGCAATTATACACGCAATACGTAACGGTTGGTTCTAACCGGATAATTGTCCACCACCACACGCGGTCCCTACTAGGCCTTGATCTGGAATTCTTGATGGCACTGAAGCCAGACTCTTGCATCCAGGAGCGAATCGACTGGGCAGCGTCACAAGCCAGAGGATGTTCAGTGACAAGACTTGGAGACTAAAACTGCATGTCAGCGACAGAACAATATGAAAAGAGATGATGCCATTGGTACTTACCAACCAAGCTCAACAAGTGTAGCAGCATAATAGTAGGCTTTGTTATCGGATCCAATTGGTTGCCGCTGGTTCTGATCACGATTGCTGTCGGGCGGTCGAGGTCCTCGGCACCACCACATCGGCGTTCTCATGACTGATGAGAGTTGGGCAGATGCTTTGAGTCGAGGGATAAAGAAACAAGAGGAAAGAGACAGAAGGTCCCCCTTTTATAGACCTTTGGCATGCGCCTCACCGCAGTTTAAAAAAAAAAACATTACATGCATGCCACACCGTTTTGAGCGATAGAGGGGGTGCTGATTATGCGATATGATTAACCGGAGTGAGCCGGATAATAATGAATCCTAGTGCCATTTTCAATCACCTCCACACTATGTGATGTGAATCTTGACACAAGTGTCAGGGTACGTGCCGAATATCGTTAGTACTGTTGGCCATGGAGCTTGCGTGATGAGAACGATGGTTGTACGTAACGATCAGTTGCGGGCTTGCCGATTGTGACGCCCATCGACTCAACAATGAGCCAAATAAGCGCCTTAATAACTATGATAATACCATTTACGACTAGCAACTTTCAGCTTGAACAAAAGTTCAGAAGCGTCATACAAACCAAGTTAAAATGAGTCTCCATCCATCAACGGCTACGATTCCCGCTGAGGCAGACGATCCCGAAGGTCGTCGAGAGCGTTCCTACAAGGTTCCAATGCAGTGTTTAGTTGCTTTAAATATAACGAGTGGAAGATTCAATCAGGTTTTGTGTCTTGTAGGCCGCAGCCCATAATCAAGGCAACTATCCGAAAGGCCGGCTTCATGCTGCAGAGAAATTTGCCGAGGTTTGCAGTTCAACCATCTTGTAAGAGTCCGCTCAGTGATACCCTCAACTAAATCGACCGTACTTGCATTCACAAGCTCCACGAAAAGCGTACGGGCGAAAAGGTCGATCCCAAGCTTGAGGCAGAAATTGCGGATGAAGAGTTTGATCCGGAAAGGCCGGATATCAAAAATGATGAAGAATTGAAAGAAATACTGGAAGAATAGTCGGGGTTGTTTAATGTCAATCATTGGAACTGAGCTGTCATGAAAAGTGTTTTTAAATGTTTTTGGAAGATTTCAAACAGAATCTGCAGTCTGCCGCAACTTTTAATGCATTGATTATACACCCCTTGAGCACTGCATCGGTTCTCAACACCAGAGATAGTTTAAACAACAACCAACGAGATCAGATACGAAATACGACGTGAGCAAGAAAGCACTGCATGGCCATGGCGAATGGCGAAGACCGAAGCCTTCGGACAACAATTACCTTCCGCGCGTGTGATTGGCTGCACCTTACATCACGTGGTTAATTTTCTATCACACCAAACCCGCTTTCAAAACCTTTTTCAGTGTTGCCCCCTCTCCATCTGTTTGTCCCATTTCCATCTCTTGGAAATCATTTTTGTTTTCACAGCTGTCGCATTCTCTTGACAATGAGCCACAGACGCACGACTCTCTTTGTTGCTGGCATTGGCTCTCGTACACGTGCCAGGGATCTCGCCTTTGAATTCGAGAGGTAACGGTTCCGCGCTTCCCCGATCGTCGTTCCATACTCTTCCGCGCTCACAGCTTCCACTTGCCGTAATTCCAGGTATGGCAGGCTTGTCCGTTGTGACATTCCCGCTCCAAGGGGAGCTGCGGCCAAGCCGTAAGTATCGATATTGATATGTAGTATGCTCATATCCACCGTCAGTCTTTCTTTTGAAAGAAGTATCGCTCGTGCGGACGAGGACGATTCACAATAGTCGAGTCCTTTGCGCGGCGGGCGATCGTATCGATTTCTTACGTTGCAAGTTGTCTAATCTATACCCTCCCTTCCCTTCCCTCTCACCTTCGCGTTTCTCTCTCGCCTTGATGACCGGATTGGCTTAGCAGTTATGCGTTTGTTGAGTTCGAGGACCCCAGGGATGCTGAAGATGCTTACTACGAGATGCAGGGCCGCAAGGTTGACGGTTACATGCTGAACATTCAGGTTTGTCTCATTCCTTTTCCTCCCTCCATAAAGATTCGGTGTTCACAGTTATGGTTTGCAGTGGGCTAAGAATGCCCCTAGCCGCAACTGGCGCTATGACGATCGTCGGGACCGCTCCCGGTCTCCTCCTCGTCGTCGGAGGGTGTCTCGTTCAAGATCCCGCTCTCCTCGTCGTCGCTCCAGGTCTCCTCGTTCGCCACGGAAGACCGCCGCCGCTCCCGATCACCCCGTGAAGATAGGCGCGACGACCGCGACGACAGACGTGAGGCCCACATTGAAGCGGAGGTCAAGGATGACCGCTCCCCTGTCAAGCGCTCCCCTAGCCCGGAGCGTAACGGGCATCGCAGCCCTTCTCCTGACCGTCGTCGTGAAGATGACGAAGATCGCGGTCGCTCACCTTCCCCACGCGACTAAGCAGGTCATGGTTTTTCCGAGTATGTAACGGGATCTCAATTATGAATGTTCATACGTTGCCTGGATGCCATGGTTTGTGGACGATGTTAGTGCGCGTGATAATAGGGTTCTGGGATTGCTATTGTTGCGCTTAGTGTAGTTTTTTGCCTTTTTTGCCTTTTTCTTTTGGACACGCAGTGTCGGATCTTTGTGTAGTTGCCCACTGTCCGTGAGTGGGTAACTTGCCTGTGAGGGGCCAAAATAGCGGAATTTTCTTCCATATACGGTACGCTTCCCTTCCTTTCGACATTTCGTCGGTTTCCGGCTTTGAAAACGGTCGGGGGCTTTACTTTACCGTCGGCGGTGTTTCTTCCACGACGATGCTTCACCTGCCTGTCGATTGCGATTCCGCTTTTCGTATCTAGGCGCATCTATTGTCCCCTCCTCACATGTCCCGCGAGCGGTCAGCTTACATTCCAGCTCTCTAATCAACGCATTACGTCTTTGCAATCGTCGTCCATCTACAGGGCTGCGTGCCTAAAGTCCCGACCACGAGCGTATTTTAAGGTCAGTGTCTTTGTTGCTTTCTGTATTGCATGTCATTTCGCTCTAGCGCAATATATTGTAAGTGCCTGGGATTGCATTCTTGTTCATTCTGTACCCGTGTGTGTAACCGGGCAATAGTATCGGAAACAAATGATGCACGAAAGTGGATATCAGTGTCGTTCATCACCATTCATCACCATCCAAGGATAACACTGCAAGATGACAGTATTTATCAGGTCTCAGGTCTGACTGTGTTCGACCCAAACGCGTCTTTTTTTGTAGTTCCAAACCCACCGTAACTGTGGATATTTGAACGGGATCTGTTTAATATGTGTAATATTGCAATGGGAGCCAGACACCGGAACTATGCAGGATCATATGCACTATGTACAATTTCAGATCGCAGTGTGGAAGAGATATGATATGGACTCCCCATTGTGAGTCCGTCGGATCGCTTCGGCCAAGACGCCGCTGATATCGATAAAGTGGAGCTTCTTGGATGCTGCTTGTTTCCAGTCCGGAAATGGATACGTGTTTGTGACAATGACCTAAGGATTTTGCAAGAACGTTCCACGTTAGGATCAAGATGAACAAACTAACAGGACTGAAAGACTAACCTCATCTACTGCTTCGCACTCTTCGATTTCTTGGACCGCATTTCCTGAGAGGATACCATGGGTTGCAATGATATAAACTTTATAGGCACCACACCGCTTCAAGTGCTCTGAAGAGTCCAAGAACGAATGTGTTCCATCAATAATATCGTCCTTTTAGAGAATATATGAACGATAATCTTCATGTCAACCCAATGCAGTCATAGCGTACCAGCATGAAACAAATTTTATCCTTGACGTCTCCAACGAGGGTTAATCGGGTTTCGATGCCTTCCAGTCCGTCATCCTTACTATGAGCCGGTTGGTTAATGTGATACCGCTCCCGGTGAATCAGTGCAAAGTCTATTCCAAGTTTGTCTGCTAATGACGTTACTCTGTATACAACGTTAGAGTATCGATCAAAGCGCAAGCAAACGATAAAGATTGTACCTTTTGGCTCCGCCGGCATTCTTGGAAATGACTACACCATTTTGGTAATTTGGAAATCTCTCGCGAATGTATCTTGCAATGCAGGGCTCGGCAACTAGATTGTCTACGGGGCTTTTGAAGAAGCCTTGAATTTGTGACGAGTGGAGGTCCATTGTAATGATATGGTCGACTCCTGCGGTTGCAAGCATGTTTGCCACAACTACAAGAACGACAGCATGTAAGTTTGGCGTTTGATCATTTTCAGCAATTTAAAAGAACTTGCGTTTTGCAGTGATGGCGCCTCTTGCCTTCTTCTTCTTTGACTGCTTATTGTAAGGAAAATATGGTAATCTGCAATGCATGACCGTCTGATCAGTTCCACTGCCGTTTGACCGTTTCTTGACCATCCATGTTCGTTCGTCAACCTACACAGCAGTGATCCTCCTCGCACTAGCAATCTTGCAAGCATTGATCATAATCAACAATTCCATCAGATGATCATTGATAGCCATCGAACCCGACTGAATAATATAAACGTCTTCATTTCGCACCGAGACGCCAATCTCCACGGCTGTTTCTGCGTTTGAAAATCGTTTCATGGTTGCCGGTGCTGCAGGAATGCCTAGTCGATCTATGATAAGCGCGGACAGCTCAGGATGGGACGACCCCGTAAAGATTTTAACCTGTGAAAACAAAAAGAGGTTTACAATTCGTGCTCATTTAACTGGGAGAGGACGTAAAAGAAAGGGAACGGGACGTTTTGCACAATAATCTATAGCTCCATAGGTACGGACGGACCAATGTTCCCAACAATTGTTTGACTCTGTCCAACTGACCCTTCGCATATCTTTTCTTCTTTGGCCTTCAACAACAGTGGGTACGGTCTCTACGTTTGCTATCGCAGCAGCAGGTGTATCCTCGCAATCGGACGGCGTGGTCAGGTCCACCTTGAGGAAGCAAGGTCTTGAAGAGGATGGGAATTCGCTTCGTTTTTTTCACACACACACACACACATGTATGGGTTCCCAACACTTGCAATCTTCAATCTGTGTCATGTGACTAGCTGATTTGCTTTCCGGATGGAGCCGTAATGATTCCAATGGCAAAAAGCCAAATCATTGATCTCCTTTGTCTTTTATCGCTTACCATCGAACAAATAATCCACATGGCAAGTTTGAAAGAGTCCAATATCTGGTAGCTCATCAAAAGGCAAGCAGGGCGGAGGGTAAAGGCGGGGGGAGGATTGGCCCGCAAAAGGAGAATCCCCAACCGGAGGCCCAACAAAGTCCCATTTTGGCGTTTGTTTTGTGAAGGGGCCGAACGGTTGAAAATTCCACCCGACTCGGCGACTCCTTCTTTTTACGATCAGCACGACGGAAGAATTCCAAAAAGTGCTATCGAAATGACCTTGAACCCCAAAAGGAAGAAAAAAAACCTTCTGCATTGCAGTTCGATTTCTTTGGTAGTGACTCACGGCTGAGGACTTTAAAAAAAAAAAAAAAGGTTTCTACGCTCGGAGAACAGCGCAAAAAAAACGAACAAGACAAAAAAGAAGGCTGTTTGTTAAAAGTGCCGGTTGGGAGGCACGTTGACTTTATGAAGAGGTCAAAAAAAAATATCAAGTTGATATGCAGGGTCAACCCTTGCCTTTGGAATTGTCTTCCATCTCGTAGACCATAGCCCTTTAGCAACCTAGCAAAGTCCAAGCAACTGGCAAAGAGTCAAATGCATTTTGGACTCGGCCACCGCAAAAGCCAAGCACCAGAACCTGATGCTCAGCGCGCTCACTCACTACCTCGACGCCTCAGGTCATTTCTACCCAAAGTCCCATCACCTCTTCACTTTGAAATAAAACCCAAACACTGCCAAAGACGGAGTTCTGTACACTCTACAGACTCGAAAACGTCTGATAAACGCTTACGCGAACCACGGAGGTCCTTGTCTGACGGACAACTTATCGTTCCAAAAGCAGCGAGCAATAGAGCAGATGACCAGCGACGCACCACAAAGTCTTTACCACGGAAAGTGGCGCCCCAAACAACAAGGTCCATTCCTTCTTCCTACCAGCTCAAGGGTTTTGCGGCCTTGTTCGCTGGCTTGGAGCTGCTAAGTGACTCTATGGACCCTACCGGGAAGACGTTGGAAAGCTTGCTGGAAAGCGGAAACATTGTCGGGTTGTACCTAGCGGGCGGTATGTAATGGGATGAGAAATGTTGACTCTCGGCGAACACTAACAAAATATTTCGTGGTCCTTTCAGGCTGGAGCGAACCATGTCGGCATTTCACCCAACAATTGACATCCTTTTTCAGCAACAATAATCAAAACTTTACCGTCGTATATGGTTCACTAGACCGCACACCAAGTGAACACGCCAACCACCTCTATGACACGGGATTCCTTTCATTACCTCATGAACCGCCATCGTCAGTATCACCTCAAGGTACCTTATCCAAAACAGAAAAAGTGCTACGATCGCTAAATATTGAAGGAATTCCGAAACTGTTAATACTGGGTAAACATGGAGAGATGATTACGATGCATGGGCGTTGTGTCGTGCAGTGGGGTGGGGAGGGTGCCGTAGATGCTTGGCGGAGGGGTGAAACCGGCCTGTACTCTTGTTTCGTCAAGACGTTCAAGTTTTGGTGATGTATTTCCATATTACTGTACAAATATTATTTAATGATTTAGCGCGAAGCGTTTTAATACACCCTGAAAGATATTTGGTTTTGACAACTATATACAAGACAATGTTCCGGCCTTAACCGTGTTACGCTTTTCGCCGCTTCGTCGTGCCTTTTGTTGGAACCTTCCTTTGGGCGCCGGATTCCTGCGTTGTGACCTTTGCCTTCTCCTTAAAAAGCTTCTTTTGGAAGGCTTCAAAATCCTCATCGGCCAGCTCTGGCCCACCATTGGAACTAATGTCGTCCTTGTTCTCCTCTCCATCGTCATCCATTGACCTCTTCTTTCGCTTGCTTCCAGCCTTCTTTCCCTTTGTGTCGGCTTTCTTGGCATATTTTGCTTCCAAGTTCTGCACCAAAGCATCCATACGACTCTGGCCCCGTTGTTGTATCAGCATGCGAAGGCCATCTTCTCCTTCATCCTCTATAGATGCCACTCCGCGTCTTCGCGGGCCCTTTGCTTCCTTGTCTTCATACTTCCCTTTGATTTCTTGCCACAATTTCTCGGCCTCCCGTGCCTCCTTTTCCGATTCCCTTTTCCTCTTTGCAAGCTCCTTTTGGTCGATTTTGGTGAATTTTTTGTATGCTTTAACATCCCCACCGCTGATGGCCGCTGTCACGATTTCACGGACGCGATCGAGATCGTCAAATGTCATGAGGGGGACCGTTTCCAGAATATAGAAAACGTCGCCTTTGGAAGATTGATATGCTTCCAATATCTCTTGCCGTTCCTCTTCAGAGCCTGAAGACGGAATCAGTCAAATCTCCTCAGCCTTTCCTCATGGCTCTGTCCTCAACTCACCTTTGTATTTTTTCTCAAACTCCTCGATACTCTCCTTCGTCAGACCAACCCATAGCTGCCTAAAAAACTCCTCCCAAGTGGCATCGCCTTTATCTCCAAAGAAGCCGTCAGATTCACCTAGTTCCCCAGTCTGGTCGTAGTGTTTGCGTTTGACAGGATCTGATAAAACTTGGTACCATACGGCGATCTCTTGGAACTTTGCTGTTGCGGCGGCTTTCTCTTCTTCACTCGCCTTACTGAGTTTGTCTGGGTGATACTTCAGCGCCAGTTTACGGTATGCTTTCTTGACTTGTTCCTGCAGATAAAGTCGTTTACGGGGTTGTTAAAAAGCTCCTTTGCGCCTGACCAGAGGCTACCTCTGAAGCGTCTCGGGAAATATTAAACTCTGCATACAGGTCAATTGCCGGTTCGTCCATATCATTGTCGTCGCCCTGTGCCGTCTTTGATGTCTTTGTTCGAGTCATGCGTGCTGCTCTGGTTTAGATTTCAATACAGATTGGACAGAGTTACCAGCACAGAGATGTCCCGGCAGCTGGACACTCGCAGATAATTTATCCCAGAAAAGCAAGTATGACTCAGTGAAGGCCCAGCACTTTCAAGCGATGTTTCTGGAGAATTCGGTCGAGTTCGTGTTTTGCTTGCAAACGCTGGCAGCTCTTACTTAACAACCATCCCGCCCGATCCTTCTCTCCTTTGAGACCGTTTCGGTCATCGCTGTGGTGCTCCCATATTTTGTTTCTCGTCAACGCATAATACACAATGACACAAACCCAGAACGGTACCGGGACGAACTGGAAGAATGTTAACAACTGGTAAGAAAATCCTAGCGATCGCGGCATTTTTCTTATGCCATTTGTTCACGTTGTACCGCTTTATGATAGGCATTGGGTTGAAAAAAACTGCATGCCTTGGGCCAAAGAATATCTTACAAAAGAGTTAACTGGTACCGCGGTGGAGAGTGGAGATTGTAAGGTTTCTGTCGAGGAAGTCCGGGATGTGACGGGGGATGTGGATATCAATCAGCGGAAGGGAAAGGTCATCACGATATTTGATATTGCGCTGACCCTCGGATGGACTGGTGTGTGAAAGTAGAAGAGCAATTGACTATCTGTCGATTCAATTTCTTATAAATTCTAATTACAGGTGAGGGATACGGTACGACCGCATCTGGGAAAATCGTCATCCCAGAGTACATGCACGACACGGACTTGGATGATATAGTTGTATGTATCGTTCTGGAGATACATATTATGGCGATAGGCTGACACCGTTCGGCTACAGTTTGATATATCATTGGATTCTCCAAATGCCGATCGGGAAAAGATTAAGGAAGTAGTGCGAAAAGATCTGACCAAAGTTGTACGAGAAAAGCTTGGAAAGTTTGCAAAGGATCTTGTGGAAGGTTAGTTTAGATCGCCGCGCTATAGTTTGAAGGTTTCGATATTTACGAGCATATTCATAGCGCATCTCAAGGACGTGTACATTGCACCGGACGAAATGAAGGGCCACCCGGTATTGCAGGCCTATCAGCCCAAACCACCGGCCCCCGGTGACGCAAAACCCACTGCATCGAAGGGGAAGGAAGGTGTGCTCGGCGGCTTGACAACCATTAAACAAACGATCGAGTTTGTAGCCTCATCACAAGATATCTATGAAACGCTCTTGGACAAACAGCGGGTTCAAGCTTGGACACGAGGCAAAGCAGATATCTCCCGCGAAATTGGATCTGTGTTCAATTTCTTTGATGGCAATATCAGTGGTACCATCGCCGAGCTGGTGCCTAACAAAAAGATTGTACAAAAGTGGCGATTGAAGACTTGGCCGGCTGGTCATTACTCAACGGTCACTTTGGATCTGAACGAGGGACGTGACAATACGATTCTGAAGCTCACCCAAAGCGATGTTCCGGTTGGTGAGAAGGATATTACAGAGAATAACTGGAAAAACTACTACTGGAACCCCATTAAGGCGGCGTTTGGGTAAGTCTTTGTAAAAGCCAAACAAACTGTGCCGTTGCTGGCCGAGGCTAATACGAACTCTATGTATTCAGATACGGAGGTCTTCTGTAGGGGAGCACTTTTACATATGAGGATTGGAATCAGGCTGTATAGATTGGGCTTAACTTTTGCAGAGAGCCAGCAGAAATACATTGTACTTATTCAAAACGGTTAGAGAAGAAAAGATGTTGGTTGGGTGTGTGCTGATCGACTTGCACGTGATACAGATTGCGCGTTGACCTTTGCAATGCGTGAAACCTTGCTGGACAACGTCCTTTAACAACAATTATCCAAGTCGACTCCATATAAGTTCTATAGGAGCTTCCAATCACTGGCATCTTCCAATCTTCTTTACAAGCGCTACGATCATGTTGGTTTTAATTTATGCGCCCGAGGTCAAAGAGAGCAGGAAAAGACCATATTCATGTTCATAATTCTGTAGGGTCAAAGCATCCAGAGCGTCAAGCGCCAAAGCAAAAGGATCACCAGCTCCACCCACAAAGAAGCAAAGGGTTGTGAATCCCCTGAATGTTACTTTTGAGTAGACGTTCCCGTTGACATTCCGCCACACCATTATTCGTTGTAGTTGGACGAAAATGCTGCAGACACACCCGGCTCGAGCCCGCCCTCGACGCCTGTCCAAACCGGAAAGGCTTCAGCAGCGGAGATCCAGGCAATGGACGTCAACTCTTTCCATAAACCGTTCAAAAACCCGCGTTATGCAGCACCGAAATCAGTCAAAAAGTTGAAACAGCTTGCGTCTGCGGATAAAGCTTTGGATATCCCGATGGATGTGCCTACGTGTAAGTAGCTGTCGAGACCCGCAATATATGACTCAAACTCATAGTCGATTATGTTTTGCTTGTAGACTGGAACATTGAAGCACCACCCTCTTTCCTTCCTCAAAAAAAGTATTGTGATGTTACGGGATTGGAGGTAAAATATTACTTTCATGCTCCTTGTATGCACTAATAGTCAACGCATTGACGATCATTCTTTGTCCAGGCACCGTATACGGATCCGAAAACGAGATTACGATACCATAATGCGGACGTATACCAGTTCATACGAAGCTTACAACCACATCACATACAAACATACCTTGAGCTTCGCAACGCCGCTGTAAATCTACGATGAAGATCAACACTGATAGTTTTTGTTTCTGTAATTATTATTAATAGGATTTGTATATAAAGTGGTGGCAGACCGACAGTATGCAAATATACAGCAGTATGGTCATATCCCGCGCACGCCAATTCAAAATGGTCTCCCGCCACGACTGGCGCCACGCCACTGACCCCGCCCACCTCCATCGTAACCTCTCCCGCGCCCCCTTCCCCTTCCTCGAGGATGACCAAATCCACGTCCCCGTCCCCATCCGCGTCCACGACCTCGTTCCCAGCCGTCACCAAACTTCTCACGTGAGGGGCCATGTAGGTCAATTGACGGTGTTTGTCGGCTCACCCTCTCGAGTACAGACTCTGCACCTGGAATCCCGCGAAGTAAATCTACATCTACATCCTCTATCCGGAATTCGGTTGGCCCAACTGTCGGTTCCTCGATCATAGAACTGGGAGCGGATGCGACAGGCGGGGTATTCACGGCCGCCGGGAACAGGGTATTTAGATTCGGTGCTGGTGGTAAATTGAAGGCACGTTTTCGTGGCTCCGCTGGTAGATCTGAAGGAGGGGTTGAGGATGACAGGCGCGGATCACCGAGTTTCGGGTAGGAGGGTTGTTCTGTCTGAAACGGATCTACTCGAGAGTTTGCAAACAAGTTAAAAGTGGCAGGTATTGTCGAGTCGTTGGATGGCAATTCAGGAGGTTGTCGAGGGCTGCTTTTAGCGCTACTCGAGCGGGATTCTGGTGTGAGCGCGATAGTATTTGGGATACCCAATGACGCTCGATATATGCCCACCCAATCAACGGCCCGAGGGGCTTCCTCTCCACCCTGCCCATACCCTTTCCTCTTTCGGCTGCTCCATCGCTGCTCTTCGTGTACTAGCCGTTGTACTTGTTCCTCTGTCAATTGGTCGTGCGAAAAGGGACACGATGGCCCTTTGGCACAACCTCCTCTGGCATGAAAATAGACACAAGGCTCCAGTTTCAGATCGTGCGACCATGGGCATTCGTTCCCGCGGACGCATTGGCCTGATTTGAAGAAACGACACGGAAGGCGTTCGCTAGGTACATATGGCTTGCCTTCCCCGGCGTGAGAGAAAGGGCAGTGGTTGCCCATGAAGCACCGGCCTGAGGCCCAGTATTCGCAAGGGGTTGTGGCAGCTCTTTCGCGGTGTTTGCGTTCCCGTTCCGCAGCGGCATGGCGGACTTGGGCTTCTTTTTGGGACTCGGACGTAGGCACTCTTGCTTGTAATCGTGGAGAAGATGGGGCGGCCTCGGCTAGCAGGATGGGGTTGGTAACTGTGGTGCCAAATAGCAGCTCGAGTCTTTGGTGTCCTTGGAGTTTGGGTTCTGTTTCGATGTCATCCGTTTCCGGAAGAGATGAGTTGTCGGAAGCTCCATACGGTAAGTTTGGGGTGGTTACTCCCTTCTTTTTCCGTTTCTTCGACTTCTTCTTTGTCGTCTTGACCCGCTTCGCTTCCGGTCCGTCGTATGGGACATCATCAGCCTCTGATTTCCGCTTCATCAGCCGATCCTGATCCATCCCCTGCCATTGGAGTGGGAGATGCGCTCCATTTCCATTTTGTAGCATCCAGGACATCGCAATAGGGTCAATCGCGAAAGGTCGATTCACGTCGTCGCTCTCCGATTCTTCATTCGATGACCAATCATCGCCTTCGTCTTTAGAATCCTCCTCCAGACCTGTTTGACCTCCTTCATCGTCTGTTGATTGTTTCACTTCTGTGGTTGGCGGTTCCCACGAATCGGAAACTTCCCCTTCCTCAAGCTCACTATCTTCCGCAGAGGTTGATTGGGTAGGTAGGGCCCCGACAATGGGTAATGCAAAAGGAGAACCAGATGACGATCTACTGCCGTTGGAAAGGAGGGAATTGATCTTTGGGGCTACAGGCCGAGTCTCCGGCGACTGTTGGATGGGAAGTGCAAACGGCTTGAAAAATGATTGTGGTAGGGATGCGGAAGACTTCCCTCCCCTGTTATCTCCGGTGACATTGACATGATTTTTGTCAAGGTCTGGATTATGGTGCTCTTTGCCGCTTTTGTCCTTGAGCTCCAGCGGCGAGTTGGGCGATGTAGGCAAGACTGGAAGGCTAAACATATCTGATGATATAACTTCCACTTTGATCGGGCCCGCTTCATCCCGCTTTGGTGGCTCCTCTTCAATGTTGGTCGACGAGTCGGTTGAGACAACTGTATCAACAGCATGTTCCTCAAAGCCTTCTTTCAGCCCCTCACCCCAACGACCTTGAGGAATGGTAGTAGACGGAACCTCGAGAAGAGGCACCGTAATAGAGCTGCTACCCACTTGAGAAGAATTTGGGTTTATGTATATACCACTATCAGACTGCGTTGGCAAGGGTGACGGTAGCGTACCCATAATGGCTCGACGACTCTCTGTGGTCGAGGTTTGTTGGTCTGTGTTGGGTACGTCAGACATGTGGTGTCCGGGGCGGTATAGAAACCACTCAAGTACTAGTTTCTTTCTTCCTTTTTTTTAATAACGATTCGAAGGTTGGCAATATGGCCGCCAGCAACGAGACGATCCGCGCATCAAGCAAGTGACCAGTACTGTTGTTACCATGGTACCCGCTGGGTCAGTCGCTGGCAGGAAATGAGACGAATGCCCAGTACAAAGATGAACTTTACGACTTTTGACACAGCACGCAGCCAACAATACGGACGGACAGAGCTGCAATATATCGATACTCTTATCAACCTGACTGACCCATCAGTAAACGGGTGATCTTTTAGATAGATCATCCTTTTGCTTGCATGTTCAAGCACATAAAGTTCTTTCATCTACTCAACCACTATCAGAAAAGTCAACAGTCTATTTTCCTGCTCGGAGAGTCCTTACTAGGTGATTTCGTGAAGGATTACTTGGACGAGACCGAGACTACCTCCAACTACGACAAAGCGCATCATTACGCATGTGTGACTACAAAGCACAGTCACTAAACACTCCAGTCAGCAACTCATTATCAACGTTCACTTCACTCCATCTTCCTCACATTGAAACCAAATCTCAGCTATGGCTACCGCAATGGAGACCGACGAAGTTCCCTTCCAGACTACAAAAGTAGTTAGCGATGCTGCATCAGCATCTGGTCTCATCATTACCTTGTAAGTTTTGTGAGCGAGGTGTGATTGCCCTTCAATATGAACACTTTTCTCTGAGCCGAGGCCTTCCCCGATGGATAGACATGCTCTCGTCATTATAAATATATCGGATCAGTGGACACGAACGAAGATGCAGCAGGGCGACGTGAACCCAATAGGTCAGCTTTAAAGCAGTTGGCAAAATTATTACACGCTTGCACGCCAAGCTGACGACCTGCTTCCGTTCCTCCAGTCATTGGCGCCCTGCTCGGCACACAATCAGGGCGTGAGATTGAAATATTCGATTCGTATGAGCTACCATTTACAATAGTAGACGAGAAGCCTGTAATGGATAAAGTGTATTTTGTCAGCAAACAGGAGCAGCGTAAGTTGCCTCACTGGAGAGATTGAGACTGAGGATAAAGTATTGAATGTGGCTACTGACCATGATCACAGTTAGGCAAGTATTCCCTACATACGACTTTCTCGGATGGTATTCAACAGGAGCACAACCATCTGCAACCGAATTGCATCTTCATCAACAAGTGAGTCCCACCTTGAGGAGAATTGGCCAAAGCGAGATCTGACCATCTTACGGCTTGAATCAAAAGATGATTGGATATAACGAAAGCCCTTTATTTCTGCAACTTAACCCTCTCGTATCACCAACTGCAAAAGACTTCCCAATCTCAGTATATGAATCTATAATTGATCTCGTCGGGGGACAGGCCCAGCTCCTCTTTCTCAAATCGCAGTATAAGATTGAGACAGGAGAAGCGGAACGAATTGCCGTCGATCATGTGGCGCACGTTACAAATGCATCGACAGATAAAGGATCAACATGTAAGTATTAGAATGAGCAGAGGTACTGAAATGTGGAGGAGCTAACGTGTGCGCTGTTGTCCTGAATCAAGTAATCACACATCTTGTCGGTCAACGAAATGCAATCAAGATGCTCCATGCCCGAATCCGACTCATACATGAATATGTGTCTGATGTTGAGAGTGGTGAGTGTGCAAGGACAGGTGATCGGATGACCAGGATGACCAATACACCGCTTCTCCTCAGGTAAAATTCCAAGAGATCACAATATTATGCGCCAAATTGCAAGCCTGGCGAATAGGTTACCGACGATAGATAGTCCTGAATTTCAAGAAGAGTTTCTCGTTGTGGGTATTCACGTTACAAACTGCTTTGTTCATGGACAGTCTCTGATGATTGGGAGCTTAGGATTATAATGACGTACTTCTCATGACGTATCTTGCAACGATAACGAAAGGGACAAGTGCTATTTCTGAGGTAAGAACTATTTACAAATGCGGGACACTGTCCAGGAAACGATGAGATTTATATACTGTCCCGATTTATAGCTGGTGGAGAAGTTCAACATGGTTGGGCCCAAACGTCCGGGAGGGTTTCCTCGTGGGCCGGCTGCGTATCTTGGGTAGATCCCGGCACGCAACGTCGCACGCAACGTCATTCTCTCCAAAAATACATCTTTGGAACAGATCTTTCGCTGTCCTATCCATTTGGACTGAGCATTGCTTCCATATCGGCTAGCTGTTCTTTCAAGTCCTTTGAAAAAATAAGCTAATGAGAAGGCGAGGATCCAGACACGTGAATATTCTCACCAACCTTATATCGCGCGTATTCCCTAGCAATGGGCGCGCGATCTTCGGCGGTCTTCAATGCCCTTCCATGTTCCCTCATGAAATCTTCCTGGAACTTGTGTAAGCGCATTTGCAGGAGCTTTTTCTCGTAACGGAGCTTTTTATATCTTCCAGAAAGGAGAGAGTGAGTTCCTTGATAGTCCGTAATAAAAGCAATGTGGTTAGCGTACTGTTTGAGGTTGTCTGACATTGGCGGATTTGGCGACATGGCTTGCTGAGTTCTGCTTGCGTCAGGTTTGGATGAGCTCTAGACAGCATTAAGGAATGACGGGCATCAACGCTCCATTCATACAGGAACGCAACAATGTGCCAGAGACATCACATTTCTCACCTCACCCTCGAGCATAACTTTCAATGCACAATATCTTTGATACATATCCCTCATCTCCTCCCGGTCTTTCTTAGTCGGTTCAGAGTGTTTGTATAACTCCTTCAGATTAACAAGTTCCCTCTTTATAAGTGCTTTCTCAGCTGCTGCTTCTGTTTGGGAAAGGCTTGAAACGGGCCGGGATGATGAAGGTCGTGCGGGGGTTGTTGGCGTAGGGGACGTCAGCGTAGCGGCTGCATTGATTGTTCGACTCCATGAGATTTGACACAGAATGACTGGTACAAAAGCAGGCAAACGAACCTTGCAACAAAGTTTTCAACTCCTTGTACCGTGCCATGTTAGGACGTAGATCTGGTCCAGCAGTTCCACTGTCCTTGGCTTCTTTAATCTTTTTGTAGAGAGATTTCACCTCAGTTTGCATGCTTTCTGTACTGCTGGTGATGGTCGTTGATCTACTGCGCGGTTGTGGAGGGGGCTTCTCATGAGCATGAGATATTGTTCGACTGAGGGGGACGACCATTATAATGAGCATACCGCATACGCTGTTGCCTAATGTAACCAGTTTTTTGTTTACCTTCGTTCTCGTCCCTGTGCATTGGCGTTCAGTTCAAGATCTCGCTTGACTTCGTGGCGTAATCCGGAAGGTTGTATCACAATATGGTCCAGCCTTCCACTTCGGCCCCCGGGTGAGAACGGTGTGATGGGTGTAATGGGTGTCATCCCAGTATCTCCGCGACGTCCCTCTGGTTTTCGTCGAGACAACTCTGGAGATGGAAGCGAAGTTCGTGAGGTGGCTGGCTTGAAGATACTGGTGTCCGACGAGTGCGCGGTATCTATGGATAGCGCTGGGACATGGCGGCGAGTTGAACGGGGGCTGGTTGATGCGTCTTTGAGGAGATTTGGGTCGGAGCTGTGGGAAGGACGATCCGCGCTGCGGTGCGGAGATGGAGATGAGGGATGGTGAACTTGACGTAGAAACAAAAACACTTACCTTGTTGAATGTTCAGCGGGTTCTGATGTCTGTAAGTCTAGCTAATAATGAAGGGTTAGAACCCATATTCCGATGAATAAACAGCTATAGAGACAAACTAACGTCATTCAGACTTAGGCTTAACTTTCTCGCATTCTTTTCAACAGCCTGCCGATCCTGAGGTGGATGCGCCATCTCCCGAGTGGGACTCTTCTGCATCACCAATGCCGCTGGCGGTGGAGGGGCAGGCCTTCCTGGTGCCCGTCGCGCCTTTGGCTGACGTTGCTCGTCCGTATCGTCTTCCTCGCTTGCATGCTCGCTTTGATCCTCACTTTCTTCACTTGCGCTGTCCGTTGTTTCTGTTTCATAGGTATTTCCTTCCGTATCCCATGTTTGCATATCATTTGAAGACACGTCGTCACTGATAGGGAGTTGGAAGGAGACAGATTTACGTTTGTTGTAAGGAGCAGCGGGACGTGCAGCGGGTGCTTGTGCAGAGCGGGATTCGGGTAGCTTTGCGCCGGCTTTATAGGAGGACTCAGAGCTTTCTGAGGAGGATTCAGAGTGGGAGGATGCGGAGTCAGAAGGGAGCTTCCGAGAGATTTTCTGCACTGGCGGACGCCGTGTAGGAGGTTTTGGTCGACTTTTTGTGGGCTTTCGGTGATGGTCAATATATTAAATTGCGCCATTTCGAACACAGTTAAACATACCAATACTAACTGCTTCTTCTCAGGAAGGGTTGCTGTTCCGCTATTCGATCTAGTCAGGAGCACGTATTTCGTTTAGTTTCTGTGTGGGCCCTTAAAGAGAGCCAGAAAATATTTCATATACCCATAAGTCCTATTTCTGCTAGCCAACTCTCCACTGCTTCGTAGAAAATCATTAGATCTTAGTTCTGAAGCACTGGAGGTCTCTTCCGGTTCGGAAACACTTGATGCGTCTGAATTAGTCGCAGAGTCATCTTTTGCATTCTCTTCGTCCTCTTCATCCGTATCCATTTTCTTGGATGCAATAGGAAATGGCCCGGATGATGCTGCCGAGTTTGCAAGCCGGCTCTGAGCCACACGAAGAGATTAGGGACATCATCAAGCTCGTAGTAAAGGTAGCATGCCAAGTAAAACCTTGAGCTCGCGAATCAACGCCTTTTGAGAAACTTTGACCTGCCCCTCGCTTCCAATGGGATCGGAGGACGATCTTGGACGTTTTGTTGACACTTGATCCACTGGTTTGACGATCTCGTCGGATTTCGTCTCAGTTAGGGTTGCGCCGCGCTTTCGGGTCTTGCTCAGGAGCTTACTGAAAACATTTCGTTGAGACGGCTGTGGATTCTCGCCTTGGATCGAGGGCATTGGGACACTGAAGACAATTGAGACGGTTGAGAAGCTTTCTGACAGAGAGCAAATGGGATGGAGACTGCTACCTGTCGTTTCCTATTATATTTGACGTATTGGAATCCTCAGTATTGTCATCAAGAGGGTCCTGAAATAAATCGGGTGCCTCGCTCGACTTCAAAATAATTCGGGGCTGAGTCTTGGATTTGCCATCTCCCGAAGTATCCTCTTGTTTCTTTATGCTCGCATTTTTAATGTCTTCTTTGAACAAAAGATCTTCATCGGTTTCCTCCTGTAATTTGAGATTGCGCGAATTAGTACCTTCACTGCCTCGCATCTCGAAGCAGAAAGGAAGGAAATGATCCCAAACACACCCACGTACCAGGCACCTACCGCCCCAAACACCTCCCCAAAATGATCCAAAACGAACGCCAAAACCTTTGAAACCACCAAGCTTTCTGCAAAGTAGGAAGTCTGATCGGTCCCTCCTCCGTATGTTGTGGAACTTCCCGGTTTGTTTGGCTCCGATGGACACCGAAAGATATTCGGAGCAAAGACGACTGAGATGTTTGATGTGGTCATTTTGTTTTCGGAAGAGTAGAATGCTACGCGGAGGAGGTATAGTAGAAGGTACTTGAACGCGGAGCGGTTTTGTGGAGGGAGTGTTTGCAGCACCATTTGCATGTCTTCAGCGGACCCTAGGTGGTTCATGAGCTTGTTAACAACGTGTCCGCTAAGAATATCAGAGAAGGAAATCTACGTATAGGATCATCTTACCTGCAGCATCTTGTAGCTCTTGGAAATATCGCTCAGGCACCAGAGCTTCGGGCAACTCTCGTATCCATTGTTTGAAAAGGGAGGCAACAGAGGGTATGTCCTGCTCGGGCACGTCATAAAAGTCCACGGCACCCGCTGAGACGAGTATCGTTGTTTAGGGGTCCGTGAATTTGCATGCCTAAGTTTGGCTCACTACTTACTCTTCTCTATACGCTCCCTCAGATCCTTGACAACCTTGGTAGATCCTGCAACCCTAAAGATCCCTTCTGTTCGTAGAGCTATAGATCACAAGAATAATCAGCACGCTTGCAGCCATTGTGCCTGGTTTGGGCATGAGATTATAGAATATGCACCCTGCTCTGAGCTTAAGAATGTAACAAATTTTCGTAGCACTGTCGGAACTTTAACTTCTTCACCGTCCTTTGCTAGCGCCTGGTCTCGTGCAGTCAGTACCTCCAGAGGAGAAGCGAAAACAGCTGGCGCAGCAGCCGCTGAAAAACGACGCAGGAATTTTTTCATCTCAATCGATGGTCTCGAAAGACGATGTCAGCTACACGGCCAGTCAACTACTCTGACGCGGTCTCCGTAGGCGGAGGTTGCTGACATAAGGTTATTTGCTTAGAAAGCAAGGCACGTGGATCGACTCCAAGTCCATCAGTTGGAACGTACTTGCCAAACTCAAGAGGTTCAGCATTGACGGGTATTATTGGAGGAGAAATGCTGTAGATGGGAGAAATGCCATTGACATCAAAGAACAGACCATCAGCAAGATCCTGCGAAGGCGTGCTTCACATGGGGAATGCAAGTGCAATATGCATACATAGACCCACATGCAGCAGCAGGTTAGGTTGGCCCAATCACCAAAAGCTCTGCGATGGCCCTGAGAGCTTCATGCCAGTTTGCGACAAACTTCCACCAAAAGGCCAATTTTTTATAATGGCTCTTTTTAGCCATTTTTATTTTGTTACTCTTTTGTCTGTCAATGTCGACGCTAACCGTCAGTCAAGCACCGTGGGTATCTCGCGCGTCACAAATCTGACTGCAATCCGTACTGGCAAAGGAGATGCCTGATCCAAACTCGCATCACGTCCACTTCAGCTCGTCCCGCGGCGAGCCAGCAGAGAACCACCACTCTCCACCAGCAAAGCTCAAAACACTTCTAGACGAATTTGTGGCTTCGCATCCTTATAAACCTCAAGATGACGACGTTCAGGAAGACACAGGCAGAGACCTACATAGACTCCACCACGGCATACATGAAATCCTCAGTCCAACGGAAAAGTTTCTGGTCCTTTTGGCATCCGCCCTGTATGCATACGGGACCCCTACGCATTTCCTTGCCAGACATATGCAAGACGTAGGTACAAACAAAGTCAAAGGACAACGCAGAAACTCTGCATTCATCGCGACACTAGGTAGCGAAAGGCTTGGGCCACGAAGCTCAGTTTGTGGTGCTGCCAACGTACATGCTGGTAGCTTTTAGAAAACGGAATCAGCCAGGTATGTAAATGGTATACTCTGGGGTCTTGACGACCGATGACAGCTCCATTTTTGATTGCAGCATCCTATCCTCTGTTCTTTTCAACCACTAGCGGATTGGATATGTACAAATTGCAATTGGTTGACGAACTTGCCCGTCGTGTTGCATCCTATGCTTCCCAAGAGCCGCCCTTTGGCAATGTGTCGGCACGTAGCCGTGGCACTATGGACGGTGTACTCGATCCAAATTTAACTTCGATTGGAAGACAGAGAAGCGGACTAGCGCGAGCGATGACAATGGGCGCTCTATCTGAGACGTTGGAACGTCAAGGCAGGGGAAGATGGCTGCGACAGAGGAGTGGAAGCGATGGACGAACGCCACGAAGCAGGTCCCTTCAGAGTTCATTTGCCAGACATGCGCATGATGTGCCAGCACCGGCAAATGTCACTACATCTCCCATGACCTCCTCTCCGATTGATGCTCAATCTAACGACGTGGAACAAGGGGGAGAGGAGTCCTCCCACCCGCATAGGGAAGAGTCCGATCTAAGGGAGCAAATCTTGCATCTTGCGAGTTTTGGGCCTGGTAAGCAGATGTATCTGGCGTTATCTCCGGTATCGCGTGCAGTCTTTGAATTTCATCGAAATTAAGGCTTCTTTGCGGGACCGTTTGGGAGTCTGAAAGCGCGTCATTCTGGCCGCCACAAGGACTCCGAAGGAGAGACCAGCGATAGCGAGAGTGATGTATCTCGCCCACTTCTTTCCAGAAAAAACGACCAATCAGCGTCCTACCAATCAACTGAGGGAGGAGTAAATGGAGCGACTAAAGATAAACATACTCGCAGACCATCAAGCGCAGATCTAGCCGATGCGTTCGAGTCCATCGCTGTCGAAGATGCAACGAAGAGGCTGAAGCAGATTGTGTCTTTACCTGATCTTTATCCGGAGGTGAGATATTTCGATCGACGTCTTTTCCCCGTGAATCCTCATTTGATTTCTTCTATAGTGGTTCCAATTCATACTTGCGGGTGTTTCCTCAGGGTGTGGAGCAGGTCTGTTTTTTGGTGGAGGATGGTACGATGTCGCTGCGGCAGGTGTTTTTGGAACAATTGTTGGGGGCCTCGGTGGTGTATTTGAAGGACGACGAACTCTTGACAAAGTTTATCATGTACGTCATCAGTGAGACCGCGGCTACTTGGGATGCGTTGGCTAACGGGCATCTCGCAGTTCATCGGGGCCGTCTTTGTCGCTTTCGCTTCGCGTAGTTTGATTCACTTTGGAGTCCCTCTCTGCTACTCGGCCACAACGATATCGTCCATCATGTACCTCCTGCAAGGACTCACAATTACCCTCGCCCTAGTAGAACTAGCTACCCGTCACATGATCAGCGGGACAACGAGGTTGGCCTACGGGCTCACCATGACAGGTTTGATCGGATATGGTCTAGATCTAGGATCAACACTTGCTACACGCGTGCTTCACATCCCGAAGGTACCTGAGGAAGGGTCAGGCACATGTGCTGATCCTGTTACGCCTCTATGGCAATTAGTCCTGTTTCTGCCGACAAGTCTGGCTCTCAGCATGAGTATTAATGCCCACTTGTTGCAACTGCCTTTCATGACATTTATCTCTGCCATTGGATATGCGGTGTACTACTTAGCCGATCAGCTGGTGGCCGTAAACCTCTCCTCGGCAATTGGAGCCTTTGCTGTGGGCGTTGCGTCGAATGTGTACGCGCGGTGGACTGGAATACCTGCGATCGTGGGAGATCTTGGTGGATTAAACATGTTATTTCCGGGTGGGTTGGCTGTGAGGGGAATCACGAAGGTGATTGAGGGTGTCAACATTGCGGAAGGTCTGGGGCTGATTACCACCGTAATGATTGTGGGATTAAGCCTGGGAGTAGGTCTGTTTATGGCTGGGGTCGTGGCCCCCTTACCAGCAGCGGAGATAAACAGACGGCGAGGACAGCTGAACATGGAGATTTTGCACTTCTGATAGATTGCTAATATGGTCGCGGATTTGCAACATTCAAATAGGCCAGGCTTTGCAACATGTATAGTTAGGATAGAGTATAAAGCTTGTGGATACTTGAGTGCACCCTTCATGAATATCTGGAAATGCCCATGCAGGGTATTACTGTTCAAGCAAATCCCAACAGAACTTGACATTTCACCGGAATGATATCAATTGGACAAGGCGGGTGGCTTAGCTACGTGTCAGGCCTGCAGATCCAGTACTAGGATTTCTTTATCGCTCTGATTATTGCCAGTCTTCAGACACAACAAAAGAACACTAGTGTCGTATTCATTCCTTCTTCATTCTTGCCTGGATAAATGCCCTGTGCTTGTTCTATTCATGCGTCTCCCCTCTGCGCGGTGCGGACACAGGATTCTGGATTAGCAAAATCCACCAGTATGTAACTCATCTTGCAAATTCCTAACGGCATATGCTTCTCCGAGAATCTGCTGATATGACGATAGTGCGACGTGGTGACCTTGCCATCAACTTGTTAACATATGTCCAGTGACTTGAAACGGAAACGTTGGCGAGAACTTGGGACAAATAAACGAACGATACGCCATTTTTCCTCAGCTTGAGATCGAATGTCTGTGAACAGCACGTCAAATGTTGACAGGTCTCGCTACCCCACTCACTAGGTTTGGCATCAGAGAGGTCAAGGCGGGTTCTAGGGTTATGTCATTAATGTCATTTGGCGTATACTCTTTCAGTCCGAGATTGTACACCATAGGATGTTGACGTTGAAGCTGACGATAGCCCGTGGTTTAAACATATGGTGTACATCATATTAGCAAGGTACAGCAAGGTACATCTGAATCCAGCTTACAAAATGTAATTTCGGGATTTATCGATGCTGTCCACGCAAATGACCTATCACGCTGGTTGGAAGAATTAGGTGAGTGTCACCTATTATGACAGGCATTCGTCCCAGAGGATTTATGGCTAGATGTACATCGATATTCACTAGTGGGGCAGGATGGGCCATAAGCAAATGTTGGTTTTGCCTTATTTAAATGAAAGATGCGCTACATGATTTTCACATCGAGCGATTCCATATTCGCGGAAAGTTGTTATCCGGCCATATTTTCAGATATGTCCCAACCCGGGAACATAGTGGGTGGGCCAGAAAGACTGTCAGTCTGCAGATAGATGCAGCCACTGGATCGAATGAAATGAAATGCAAGATGCCTCCCTCGATTTAGACAAATGAACTATGGACAAAAGATGCTCCATCATGAGAAAACGGGTCCAATATACAATGAACAGATTGCAATTACTATCCCTCTGCGGCCATCTATGAGAGGAATATTCGCAGCTGCCACT